CCCCCCCCCCCCCCCCCCCCCCTTGATTCAAAGCCTTCAAGTTCAGGGCTTTAACCCAAAAGACGACGATATGATGATCAGTATTTGAGTTTAGGATTTACGTGGACAGGACCAGCTGATGAACCACGACCTTTAAGTGTGGTTTGTCAAGATATTTTGGCTAATGACAGCATGAGACCCGCTAAACTTCGACTGTTTTGACTGGGATGGACAGTTCTTGGATCTGTTCTATTCATATTGAACCATCATCCTAGTTTTAAAAACGTTATATTAAAATACTTGTTATTACTCTGTAAATTATTGCACTTTCATGCAAATGATGATAAAAGTGAGTTAACAGTCTGACATCTGTCTGTGTCTTTATATATATACTGTGTGTATATATATATATATATATATATATATATATATATATATATACAGTATATATATATATATATATATATGTAAATGTGTTGGTGTGTGTGTGTGTGTGTGTGTGTGTGTGTGTGCGCGTGCGTGTTTGGGAGGAGGGGGGCGCCAATGGATAAGTTGTGTCAAAAGGGAGGCCCACTGTCTTAGACTTTGAAAACCCCTGGCCTATACTCACGTGACTGCTTCGTTTCAAAGGTTTAAACACCCTCATGGGTTAGTAAAGTGTATAGCGAGAGATTAGGCGTCGATTACATACATTTCTACTGTTTCAAAGCACTGCATCTGTCTCACACACCAGTAATTAAACTAAAATACAATAGTAATTTATAGTAAAAAGGTTTTGAACCATACCAAAGCGTATTAGCGTATTATTTTACAACTATCTTTAAAGAAAACCACTGCATATCGCATATAGCATATATGCATATAGCATTCGCCTCCCATGCAGGAATCGCTGGTTCGATCCCCGATTGGAACAGAATTAGTTATAATATGAAAATCTTTTGAATACCTTGAATGTTACCACAGTCATCAGTGGTGTGATGTAATATATGTTATGTGTAAAAACTACAGTAATTTGTTTATATTGCTGTTGTATTACTACATGGATGAGTTGGTCAGTCGTGAACATTTGACATTATGGCAACACAGTGCTTTCCCACACTTTAACCAGAAGAGGTCCTCATCGAGCTCTGATTTAGAAAGCTTCGAGTAACGAACCTTTTTCCAATACAATTGAGTCGAGCACTTCACTGGTTTAGAACGCTTCATTTCACCATCACTAGTATCAACTTCAACGAGGCCTTCAAGTGATTCAAGGAACATTCAGGACAATTTCTTTGGTACGGCATGCAGCCAACGAGGTATTTTGCTTTATATTTGTATGTTGTGTTTGAAGTTTGTTTGTTTGTGTACATATGTTTTGATTTGTATTAAGTACATTTGTTCCGTATTCATTGTTTAGTTTTCACGGTGGATTTGGGGGAAAAAGCCAACAAATAAACCAGTAACACGGAAACCACTTGTGCTAGCGTATGCTTGAGGGAAGTTATACTGTAAATTAAGGCAAATTAAGCTATGAGTAGTAGTGGACAACCAGTGCCATTTTGTTCACACGTCATCTGACCGGGGGATACCAAACAAGGGCAAAGAGGTGGAGCGCGAGCAGAGCTACAAATGTCTTGGAGCATTTTGCTTAGCTTAGCTTTTCTTTGGGAGGAACGCTTCATACTTCATTACCTGCGACTGGTTTGTGTTCTGACCACATGTGCTTGGCTGTATACTAAATCAATAAAGTGTTTAAACTTTTAAAAACACTGCTGTAACACATTGAGCCACTAAACATTTACATTTAGTCATTTAGCAGACGCTTTTATCCAAAGCGACTTACAAATGAGGACAAGGAAGCAATTTACACAACTATAAGAGCAACAATAAATAAGTGCTATAGGCAAGTTTCAGGTCTGTAAAGTCTAAGAAGGAAAGTATTAGTAATTTTATTTATTTTGGGTACAGTTAATGGTTTATCCAGAGAGGCAATTGCAGATTAGGAAGTGAAGTGGAGACTAAATAGTTGAGTTTTTAGTCGTTTCTTGAAAACAGCGAGTGACTCTGCCGTTCTGATGCAGTTAGGGAGTTCATTCCACCAACTGGGCAGATTGAGCGTGAGCGTTCACGAAACATTGTTCTTACATTGTTCTTATAATGTTCTTCTACAGAAGTATGGATTCTGCTACATTCATTCTTCCGTGGCGGGGCGCCACACCAAAATTCATCCCGCCATAGATACATTACAGCTTGTTATTCAAAATATTCAGTCGTTTTTTAAATAGCGGGTTAAAATCGCACTGAAAACATATGAAAAGGTAAGTGAATAATAACAGCGCAAACTTTTCTGTGACCATAGTAGTGCTGTGCGTTCTGTTTAACCCTTTAAGGGGACGTGCTGACTGACAGGTGCGTGAGACCAGCAAATACGGTGTAGCTTTCAGTTATGATGAACACAGTGTCCATAATTATCCTTTATTTATAGATGAAGGTCTGTGGCTCCGCATATAATGACTTTATCTTGCTGGAGTTTATAGCCGCTTCACTTTACTTCAGGATGCATTAATGCCGCGGTCCGCTCCGCAAGTCTATCACAGACATTCATAAATATTCCTAGCAAATCTAATAAATGTCGGAGACAGACTCGCTACATAAACACACTAAATCACACTTCAGCCGCAATTATTTGAGGGCACGCAAGAAAATCTGCACTTGAGCAGCGTATATTTGAGGTCGCACAAGAAGTTTTGTGCACAAACAGAGGAAATCTGCGCGCAAGCAAAGATTGACATGCTTATAGGCTATTACAGGGTTGGCCACCCCTGGGCAATTACATTAAATCGATCTTAATACTGCACCCATGATATTTGTCAATGAAATAACGCCACATGTAGTGGTAGATCTGTGTAAAATGGCCAAACCCGAATTACTTCCAAACACTTCAGATATAGTCTGTTAGTGAATGCAAGGCTATTGATGAAATCCAGCATAACACTGTATGACAACGCTTCAGATGACTGTTCTAGAGCCTACAGCTAATCAATCTGTCAGATTCTGGAGTGCATTACAGCTCTAAAGAACATTATAAATGATCATAAATAAAACAAATACATTTATAGAGATGACATATAAGCATATAATTTTCCTCACCTGGGAATTAAAGGCCAAATGAATAATTGTGAGCATAATTAAGTGCACACAGCATGCCATATCATCTGATAATTAAAGGAAATAATCCCAAAAGGCAACTGACTGTGTAAAGCCACATAAAACAACACAAAAATATGAAATATATACATATATATATATATATATATATATATATATATATATATATATATATATGAGCTGAGGTGACGAGGCAGCGACCAGCGAGACCTAGCGGTCACCCCTTGATTATGCAGACCTAGTATAACTACATAAAAATGAAACGGATGGGTTATAAACAAATTCTGGAAAGGGGGAGGCATTCTTCTTCTCTTCTTTTATTTTACTGGTGGGCTGGTGTCATACGTAGGGGGAGGCTTATGACGACATTTTATCTCAATTGTTGTTTTTTTCATAATTGATGTGGAGGCCAAAATCAAAACTGAGTAATGGCACAGCCATGGTTACTATTATCGTGGACTTGTAGTGAACTTGACGTCAAGTGACTTACACTTTATTTTGAAATGTTGCAGCTAATGCTCACGTCTCACCCGAGTCTCCCACAGTTAGCCTGACTGGAAGATTTCCTCGCAGTTTTGGTGCTGCGAACATTTAAACGTACTTTAGCAGCCGCTCGCATGAAAGCAGGGAAAGTCACAGCCAATCATAATGTCTGTAGCCAGAGTCAAGTAGAGAATGCTGTAAGGATGGTTCAATCTCTCCATAATATCGGATCCGAGAACTGTTATGGAAATCCATGAGCGAAGACCACAAGAATAGTCACGCAATAAACTTTGTAATTTGAGAAGATTAGCTAGGAAAGCAGTTGTTTGGCTGTCTCAGTCACCCATCCTGATCACCCTCTACTATACCCTCTCCACCAGAGCAGCTCACTGAAACACTGAATGTCCAAGTTTACAATATGACGTATCTTGTGAATCTGTAACTTTAGCTTGTTATGTTTGATATCCTGTAAAAGGTCTCTACGGGATTAGTAAACAGTCTCAAATTTGCAGTAGTCACTCGTATTATGATAATGATTGCCTGTTGATCTGCGATCGGTCCTGCTGAAGTGTGAAATTGTCTGTCAGTTATGAACTTTAAGGTCCAGGTGGTGATTGGTTTTTAGGTTAGCATATGACCAGAGGGAGACTTTGGTGGAGCTTTTATTATCTTGAATTGATGATTGTTCTGAGTTGAGCATTTAAAGGAAAGGTGGAAAAATATCATTGGGATCTTGTAGCGTAGATATCGGTGTTGCAGTGTCATGCATCTGAGACTTATATGCTGCAACCGTACTTCATCCATCTCTAACTCTTGAATTTATCTTTGAGTAATTGATGTTGTATCAATATAGCAGCGAAGACGAATTTTAGATTAGCAAACCTGACTGTTGTTCAGCCTCATTATTGAAGAGTAATGAATGAACACAAACCTATTAGTTCTTCAGTCTCTTCCTGTTTAATTCTGCAGGGTTCTGGATCACTCATCTTCTCACTGTCCTTCAATAAACTCTGTCTTTGTCTTTCACTGATGACAGCAGAGCTTCAGGAGAACAAACAGAGAAATCTGATTCATTTACACTGATAGAGGAAATAAACATTATGATGTTATATCTTATTATACAATGTGATTATGTGATTTGATAAGGTCAGGTGATAACAATAACATTACCTTGAATTTGTAGATCTGAATATTGATGAATGTCAGACTTTAAACACTTAGTAAACATTAAGGATCAGCAGCAGATCAGCTCATTTTATAATGAGTGTTTGTAGGATAAACTCATAATTGTAATTCATTTAAAAACCTTTTGCATTTATCCTTATACAGTTTAAGTATTCACACCAATAACGTAATCAGATTGTGAGCAATCGCGCGTCTCTACAGAAACTGAAAAATTAGAAAAACCGTTGGAAAATAAAGAGGTAAAGTTGGTTTTATATTCGCACATTCGTTCATTTAGAAGTCTCTATATTGTTTACCATGCTAATTTGAATATTTAGTCGGAATTAGCATACAAGAATGACTTCTAAACAACATTAACACTATCTTCACTGTGAAATGTTGTACTTTCATAGTCATTTGCTTCTAATGTGATTCCCCTATTTTGAATTTGCAAATAATACTTTTCTGAATTTATATTAAGGAGAATGTCTCAATATCCTAATATAAAACCAACTTAACCTCTATTTAGAAAATAAAGAGCGCCAAAAACTTAATTGTAGTTTTCTGGATTAAAAGTCGTATATCTGCTTTAGTAAATTCCCACTCACAAATCATTACTATGTTACAAACTCAAACACACTGACACAAAAAACCCAATCATATTGTCATCTCAGAGCTGCTCTCTGCCTGCTGGATTGTTTTGGTCAGCAGACACACAGATAGAGGTGAACTCAATGCAGAAACTAGTCGCAGATTGTCGCTTTAATAAACTGTAAAGTGTGTTTTATTGTTGTGTAAACACGAGAAAAAGCGTCAACGACTCACCTCAGCTCTGAAGACTCGACGCGGAATGACCGCGTCAGACAGTACTGACGTCATCAGGGCGAGGCGGGCGCATTCATTCGGCGTCGAGTCTTCAGAGCTGAGGTGAGTCGTTTTCGCTTTTTCTCGTGTTTACACAACAATAAAACACACTTTACAGTTTATTAAAGCGACAATCTGCGACTAGTTTCTGCATTGAGTTCACCTCTATCTGTGTGTCTGCTGACCAGAACAATACAGCAGGCAGAGAGCAGCTCTGAGGGGACAATATGAGTGAATGTGTTTGGGGTTTAACGTTTGTGTTTATCAGCGCTTGTAACGTTATTTGTAAAATCGAAATGAGTGATATGTGAAGGGAAACTGTGGGAATATTCTGCGGCAGATGTGCGAATTTTGTCCAGAAAATGTTAAATATAGTTTTTGGCGCCCTTTATTTTAACGGTTTTTCTGATTTCTCAGTTTCTGTACAGACGCGCGACTGCTGACAATCTGATTACTTTATTGGTGTGAATACTTAATAAAACTATACACTGATATAAATACAAAACTTTTTTTTTTGTTACAATAGTGATGAGTTCATCCTGCAAACGCTCATTAAATCTGCTGCAGTGTTTATAGTCTCATCAATATTCAGATCTACAAATGTAAGTTAATGCTATTGTTATCACCTGAATTGAGCAAACCACATTGTAGGGATAGTTTACAGTTTAATTCAAAGAATGAGCAGTCTGGTAGATGAAGAAGAGCCGGAGTCAGAGATTTAAATAAATAAATCAAGTTTACTGAAGATAGTTTGCAGTTACATCCGTGGAAGCCAGCTTTAACACTCGCAATGAGTTCCTACCCAGCTAACATAAGACCAGCGGGCCACTGGCGGCCCGCCGGTGGCAAAGTCGGCGGTCCACCGGCGGGCGCCGCCCGCGGTCCACCGTCAATTTGCTCATCGTTATTCCAGCGGCCCACCAGCGGCTGCCGCCGCTTTTCCGACGGTGGTCCGCCATCGCACCGCTGGTTTTAAATAAGTGTCTGCTGGCGGCCCACGGTCGGTCCACATGTCATTTTTAAATATTATATTAGCCTTTACAATTGTATTCAATATAAATATGTCCAATAATGAAATCAAGTACAAAATACTTAATCATTATAACATTTATTTATAATACTGCATAACGAGCATACGTTAAACACTTAATGAAATGTTTCAAAAACACATACGTTAACAAATATAACAAAATAAATATAAAATACATACAAATATAATATAACAACATACATACAACAGTTACATTGTACAGTAGTTTTATAAGTAATGTTAATGGTTTAAATATGAACTAATATGAACAATACCTGTACAGCATAATTTATGTACAGCATTTACTAATGCATTAATAAAATCAGTCATGCTTGTTAACATTAGTTAATACATTGCGAGTTAACATGAATAAACAATTAACAACTTTTTTCCATTCACCAACATTAGCAAAGATGAATAAATACTGTAATAATTGTATTGTTTATTATGTAGTAAATACATTAACTAATACATACAACCTTATTGTAAAGTGGTAGCCATTCAACAATGAGTTTTCTATAATAAAGACAAACTTTGAGACTTCTCATTATAAAAATAAACTATTAAAAACATTATAAATAAACTTGTATTATTTATATTTTAACATTATTATAATTATTTATTATAATATTATAATAAATTATAACATTCTTATGACATTTAACGTTATTATAAATAACATAAAAATAAATGACATTGTGGATAAATATAAACATACATATTACAATAAATGTAAACGTGCATTATTATTACAAAATCAAACTAAAACATCTGGAGGTTATTAACAACTACACTGGGGCAGCACAGTGGCTCAGACTGTCACCTCACAGCAAAAAGGTTGCTGGTATGAGTCCCGACTGGGTCCGCTGGCATTTCTGTGTGGAGTTTACATGTTCTCCCTGTTTTGGTGTGGGTTTCCACCACAGTCCAAACACTTGTGCTATAGGTGAATTTGAACATAGTGTAGAAGTGTCTGTGAATACGAGAGTGTATGGGTGTTTCACAGTGCTGGGTTGCAGCTGGAAGGCCATCCGCTGTGTAAAACATATGCCAAAGTAATATCCAGTTCCTTACGCTGTGGTGACCTCTGATATTAAGCTGAAGGAAAATGCAGGTTCTTTCGTCTGCCCCCTCATGATTAGCAGATCCTAATAAAAATGTCTTTGAAGGTCCCATCCGCTGTCTCTCTTGTAGCAGGCTTCTTTCTTATCCTGAAATAACAGAATCATCAGTCATCATTTTTGTCCATCATCAGTAACTAGGTCATTATGGACATTAATGTTTGTATTTTTTATTGTCTTTTTATTGGACATCAAGACTGCATTGATTTGATTGATAACATTAATTTACAGTTTAAAAGTAGCACTGAAATATTTTTACAGTTTAAAATAATGATTTTTAATGTCAATGCATTTTAAAATATATTTGGTAACACTTTATTTTGATGGTCCATTTGAGTATTAATAGACTGTCTGCTTAAAATCTGTTGATTCTGCTCCTTTAACAGACATTTAACTGACTATAAGAAACTTACCAAGTACATGTCAACTTACACCAACCCTAACCGCAACCCTAACAGTCTACTTATAATCTAATGAGAATTTGTTGGCATGTAGATGCAATGCAGCTTAAATTCACCAAACAGACCATCAAAATAAAATGTGACCATGTATTTTATTAATGTGAGGTCAAAGCTGATTTGTTAGCATCATTACTCCAGTGTCAGATGACCCTTCAGAAATCATTCTAATAGGCTAATTTGTTTGATGCAGTTGATATTAATATTAACATTAATAAAATTTATCATTGGGAATACTTTTAAGTGTCACTATAAAATTACTTACCTTAAATGAAGTCTGGCAAGGAAAACAAAGTGGTAGAGTGAGTGGAGGACGATCAAAAATCTAGAAAAAAGTAATAAAAAATGTATATATTACTAACACATTTTAAGAAATGGATACTTGTATTAAACAAGGGTGCATAAAACTAATCAGAAGAGAGTTAAGATTTCTAATTCAAATACTTTTCAATTTAAACTTTCTATTCATCAATGAATCCTGAAATAACAAAACATGATAAAAATAAAAAAAATCTTGCTTGATCAGCAGCAAATTATAAATACAATATTACATTTTGGACTGGAGCACTGATGCTGTAAATTCAGCTTTGAGAAAAGCAATGTAAACAATTTTTTAAAACCACTCACTTATGTTTAGATGTCAAAACTTTAAAATAACTGCAATCAAGACATGTATCATGTACATGATAATGTAGGGATTTCTTATAAAAATGCACATTAATCTATTTAATAGTTAATTATAGTTTTACCTGTGTTTCCTCCAGCTCTGTGAATAGCTACCTTCATCTTGGCTCTTCTCTTCTGTTGTAGGGGTAATTTTGTCACTCCTGAAACCACAGAGCACTTTTTAAAATTAATATTAGTTTACATTACTGTGAAATATCAAAGTAACACATATGTACTAACTTTAACATTTTAATTCGCTCTTGTTGACAGTACAGTGCTTATTTTAGGCTAAATAAAGTAGACTACCTCCAATAAAACATTGTCAAACCTCTCATCTACACATAAAATGTAATTAAAAGCCAACACTTTTATAAACAATAGCTAACGTTAGCCTAATGCTAACGTTACCTCTGCTAAGACTCTAACGGACTTTTTCCAAAGACACAACAGTCTCTATAAAAAACATGTTCAACAGAAATATGTCAATTACCAGTAAGAAAAGTGTCAGAAACAGTTGTATGTAACATTTGCGTGATTTTAGCGACTAAACTTACCTGAAATTAGTGAAAACTGCCGCATGAGAGAAGTGCTGTTGACGGTCAGGTGTCGTGTCGTTGCTCCGTTTCCATAACAACGCTCTCTGCTGCAGTGCTTGAATGGGGCTCGGTAATGGACACTTTAAAGTCACGCAGCATTTACATAAACATTTAAACAATTTATAAACATATTAAATAATGACTTTAATATTAAATCTTGATTTTTAAACTTAATTTTGTTTTGTTTTAATAATAACCTGTTATATTTAAAACCTCTTTTAGTTTTATATAGGCCTACTAAACTTTGCTTTTATTAATAACTATATTTTTATTTAGTGCCTCATTCGTTTTAAATGTAAAAAGTGTTAAACAAAAGTACTTATATCAGGTACAGAACAGCCAACAACATTAAAAACATCACCGGGTGGGCCATCGGATAGCCACTCGTGTCCCGACGGCGGTCCACCCACGGTAACCCGCTGGCGGCGTGCCACCCAAAAAAACGCCGGTGAGCCGACATAACTTTTAGAATGGGCGGCTTCCCGCTGGTGAGCCGACGGCGGTCCGCCCGTATCAAGCCGCTGAATTTGTGCCGACCAAAAAACGCCGACGGTCCGCCAACTCATTGTTTGCTGGGTAGGCCGCTCTGCTTACAATCACCAATCAATAACAATTATACTCTCACATAACGTCATTAACTGCGTCACACATATAGGTGTCCTAACCTGATTGGTTAAAACACAGATAGACTAGGAACATTTTCACGTGGGGTTCGTGCGTATATTCTGAACAATATCTTAAGCATAAACGTCAGACATCCCTTAGACTGATTAGAGCTGACTCCAGACCTGTGAAACGGATCAACAATCAAATAGAACACACACACACACAAAGTATAATTTGTTTCTTATTCAAGGCTGAGTGTATTCCCAGCCGTCTTTATCAAAACTGGTTTAAAACCGGTATAATCTACATTCAGCCAGTTATATTCTTACTATACAAAGTCTATCTTGAATAAAAGAAGAATCACTTTAAAAGAATTAACAGTAAAAATAGCAAAATCACTTTAGATATTTTAGACAGTATTAACTACTAGAAATAACAATAGAAACAGTTGCTTCCAGTCCTCAGCCCTCAGTTCCACTGAAGGTCTCTGTGACCTCTGACCTAGATTTGTGACTTCTGAAAATAGGTATAAAGAGACAGGCAAATGCACTGAACATTCTAATATTAAGCAATGTGTTAACTTACTCATTAATTCAAATCAATTCACAGTTAAATACTGAGAAACAGGATGATGGGGAGGATAAACGTTGGTCCATGATGAGACAGATTGGAAAGCAGAAATCCGAATCCTTCAACATAATCACATATTGTATCACAAGATATAACATCATAATGTATTCATTCCATCAATCAGTGTAAATGAATTAGATTTCTCTGTTTGTTCTCCTGAAGCTCTGCCGCCATCAGTGAAAGACAAAGACAGAGTTTATTGAAGGACAGTGTGAAGATGAGTGATCCAGAACCCTGCAGAATTAAACAGGAAGAGACTGAAGAACTAATAGGTTTGTGTTTTTTTCATTACTCCCCCCTTTTCCAGAAGTTTGCATTCATTCCTTTGCAAAGTCAATTTTTTTTTTAATTAAATTAGATCCCCACAATAAACTGCAAGAGCATCCATTCATTTTCTTTTCGGCTAAGTTTCTTTATTAATCAGGAGTCGCCACAGCGGAATGAACCGCCAACTTATCCAGCATATGTTTTACACAGCCGATGCCCTTCCAGTCTAGCAGGATAAAACTGTAAAATACAGGAGAATCCTGGGGAAAAACTGGAGGGTTGACATGTATGATTACAGTACAGATCAAGTCTAGACTCTTAAATTGTGACTTGTTAATTTTCAGATGTGTTGGTGAAGGAGGAGAGTGAAGAACTGAGTGAAGATGAGGAGAAACATCATGTCAAGAGTGAAGAAGACACTCACACAAACAGTGAACATGGTGCTTCAATGGAAAAAACAGCTGTACAATGTTTGACCTGCACCCAGTGTGGAAAGAGTTTAAGCTCCAAATCTAATCTTAAGATTCACATGATGATCCACACTGGAGAGAAACCCTTCAAGTGTTCACACTGCGACATGAGGTTCAATCGTTTAGGAAACCTGAAATCCCACGAGAGAACTCACACTGGAGAGAAACCGTACAAGTGTGCACACTGCGACAAGAGATTTAATTTTTCAGAAAACCTGAAAACACACATGCTGCTCCACACTGGAGAGAAAACACACCAATGTGATCAATGCGGCAAAACTTTTTTAAGGCCTTCAGGGCTAAAGAGCCATCTTAGAGTTCACACAAACGAGAATCTTTACTCCTGTCCTGAGTGTGGAAAGAGTTTTACATCCCCGATAGTTTTAGGAAAACATCAGAAGATCCACACTGGTGTGGGAGAGTTTTTCTGCTTTGACTGTGGGAGGACTTTTACTAAAGTTAAATACTTGAAACGCCACCAGATGATTCACACTGGAGAGAAACCTCACGCGTGTTCAGACTGCGGTAGGAGATTCAGACTGTCTTGTACCCTTAAATATCACAAAATGATTCACACTGGAGAGAAACCGTTCACATGTACTCAATGTGGGAAGAGTTTCACACAACTATCAAGCCTCAGTGCACACATGCTGATCCACACTGGTGAGAAAAAACACAAATGTGATCAGTGCAGAAAAACATTTTTGAGGCCTTCAGAGCTGAAGGACCACCTTAGAATTCATTCAAACGAGAGGCCGTATTCATGCTCTGAGTGTGGGAAGAGTTTCATATTGCAGTCAAATTTAAAAAAACATCAGAAGATCCACACTGGTGTGAGAGAGTTCGTCTGCTTTGATTGTGGGAAGAGTTTCATTAGAGCTGGAGGCTTGAGACGGCACCAGATGATCCACACTCGAGAGCTCCCTTACCCGTGTTCACACTGCAACAAAACATTCAGACATTCAGGACACCTGAAAAAACATGAGAGGACTCACACTGGAGAGAAAAATCACGAGTTAAAAAAGCAGAATGAAATCTCCCTTCCTGAAAGCTCTACACTATATTCACACACACCAGATTTCTCAGTTAATCAGCCCCTGTTATACATTATAAAAGGTCCTGTTTTGGTTTTGGGGTCTCCAACAACAGGCTGATGTGAATACAAGCTCAAAGAACACTGTCATTGTCTTATAATATGCAGTCATTTTTACCAATTGATCCCAACAATTGATCCAAACCCTTCCATAGTGTGACGCTAATCTCCGGTGATTGGTCGATTGCGTTCAATGCAAGACTGATAGGAAATGCTCACCACGGCTTATCAATATACTGGAGCAACTATGGCGTCAGTTTGTATGCAAAAACCTGTAAGCAGTTAGCATGTTAGCAGTTCTGGGTCCCTTTCACGATTTTCTACGAAAAATACGATATTCTACGATATTCTACGACACTAAACACATCACTCTTGACTTTTTAAATCGATTCCGCTTCTGTAAAAAGATTATTATACGTCATTGAGCTGAAATGGTCTGGATTGGGTCCGTGTATATTTTAGGTTATATATTTAGAAACGGATAAACGAGCCTTTTTTTATTTTTTATTTTTAAAAGTTGAAAAACATATTGAAATACGAGGCGTTTTTTGTGGTCAAAAAATGGAAAAGCAAAAATTAATAATGATTTGATTGTCATTTTTTATTACGAATAACAACAAAATAAAATTCCCAGAAAACAAAACGAATGAAGGCTTGTTTTCTATTTTCCAAAGCCTCATTCAGGGTGACGCAATGCTGCCACACAGGCTAGCCTACAATGGGCTTTTGTTTTTTCCACTTATTAATGTTATAAAGAATATTTTCTTGTGATAGCGGACATTTTTTCCTCTATAAGATGACATATTTCTCGTATAAGGGCCTTTTATTGGCTATATATTTATTTTATGTTAGCATGTTTCAAATGGAACAACCTTTATTTTGACGTTAAATCAAGCCTTACGTTGCTTTACTGAACACTTTTCTGAAATGAAAGTTTGAATATTGTTAAACCATAATACTTCCACTTCCCAAAGTTTGTCCATGAATTATTTTGAGTGAGGGAGGCATTAATACAGGTGTTAGTTATGCACATTTCAATAAGTCATAGTGTTTTAAAATAAAAATGAACGATTAATTTGATCTGAAAGGAAGCATGCTACACAAACACCCTGATAAGCATCCTGTGTCTTTTAAAAACAGACTATAGCTGCGGATGAGTTGTGCGCGTACGTCATCACCCCACTACATTGGGTCTATCCATAAATCCATATAGCCATGTGCAAATTATAGCAGCAGCCTAAAATATGGGACATCATAATGTTATGAGAGTTAAAACATTAGAAGCTAAACAGTAATTCATAAAATAAACACAATTCACGAATATTTGTTCACAAATATGGCATTTTAGCGCTAGCAATCTGACGGTCTGTTTTGCAGCGCTGCTTATGCTCAAAGTTAGAATGCATTGACTGATATTGACCAAAAACACATTGAATGACAGCAAAAAGAAGCAATTTTAAAATATGTCCATTTTCTAGCATAGCCTGCCGATTTTTAATACCTGAATTTTATTGATTAAAAAAAAATAACCTACTGATATATATTTATTATAGGTTGTATTTTGCAATAGAATAGGCTGTATTTGCAGTGAAGATGTACATAGCAGCGCGCTTCAAGCTCATTATCAACTGTATTACAGTTTTTTTTAATGTCCGATAGTCCGCTTTTGAAGACAGATTGAATGATGCTTATTTTGATTTCGGAGAGATGACTTGTTGAAATGTATGCAATGATTCCAAACGAATGTTCAATGTTACTCTCACTACTGATGTGGAAGTAATTTTAACAATAAACTTTATTTTCCGAAAACTATTCATTAAAGTAACTCGTATATCGTCAGATATGTTGTTCCATTTAAAATGCTGCTATGTAAAAAATTAATTATATATATATTATATATATATATATACAGTATTGTGTATATAACCGGCTGTAATGAGGAAAATATGTCTTAACAAAATCTCGAAAGAAGATACAAGTAATTGACTGGCCTGCCTGCAGTCCCGATCTGTCTCCAATGGAGAATGTGTGGCACAATTTGAAGTGCAAATGCGACAACAAAGACCACGTACTGTTGCCCGCCTTAAGACTTGTTTTGCTGTAAGAATGGGACAAAATTACACTTGAAACACTTCATCACTTGGTGTCTTCAGTCCCTAAACTGCTTTTAAGTGTTGTGAAAAGGAATGGGAACATTACACAGTAATAAATGCCTTCCTGATACAACTTTTTTTTTAAACATGTTGCTAGAACCAAAAATGGAATAGGTGTTTATTTAAAAATAAATAAGTGATTTGCGATGAAACAGAAGCCAAAGTAAATTTAGAGATCACTACTTTCTTTTTTTTCTTCTTTTTTTCTATACTGTCCCAACGTTTTTTGATTTAGGGTTGTAATTGGAGATTGATAGTGTGTAGATAGAGACCGTCATGACAGATTCATTTGTTGATCATTTATTTTAATAAAACCGTTTTATGAAGATACTGCTGACCATAGTGCAGTCTGACTCTTGCCTGTTTATAATACAAATGTGTGAATAAGTGTGTAAAGTGTATATAATTGTTTACTGACATTTTAACGTGATCGTTTTACATTACCATTGCAGTATTTTTGTTTTGCGCGATTTTGACGATTTTCCGTTGCGCCCGCCTCGCCGTGATGACGTCAACGCTGTCTGACGCGTTCATTCAGCGTCGAGTCTTCAGAGCTGAGGTGAGTCGTTGACGCTTTTTCTCGTGTTTACACAACAATAAAACACACTTTACAGTTTATTAAAGCGACAATCTGCGACTAGTTTCTGCATTGAGTTCACCTCTATCTGTGTGTCTGCTGACCAAAACAATACAGCAGGCGGAGAGGAGCTCTGACAGGACAATATGAGTGAATGTGTTTGAGTTTTCTGTCAGTGTGTTAAGGTTTATCAGCGTTAATGAGCAATATCTCAAAGTATCTTATTCTTAAGGGAAACAATGGGAATAAACGTGTATGAATTTTTGTGCAGAGATATTAAATCTTTATTTTCCAGCGTGATTTGTGAGTTTCTGTAGAGACGCACGACTGATGACAATCTGATTACTTTATTGGTGTGTATACTTAATAAAACTATACACTGATATAAATGCAATTAAATTTTTTTTTAATTAATTACAATAGTGATGAGCGCGTCCTGTAAACATTGTAAAATTTTCTGATTTGCTACTGATCCTGATTGTTTCTTTAATGAGTATAGTCTGACGCTCATCAATATTCAGATCTACAAATTTAAGGTAATTTCATTGGTGTCACCTGACTTGAGCATATCACATATTGTATCACAAGATATAACATCACAATGTGTTTATTTCCTCACTCAGTGTAAATGAATCAGATTTCTCTGTTTCTTCTCCTGAAGCTCTGCCACCATCAGTGAAAGACAAAGACAGAGTTTATTGAAGGACAGTGAGAAGATGAGTGACCCAGAACCCTGCAGAATTAAACAGGAAGAGACTGAAGAACTAATAGGTTTGTGTTTTTTTCATTACTCCCCCCTTTTCCAGAAGTTTTCATTCATTCTTTCACAAAGTAAAATAATTTTATGTTGAATTAGATCCCCACCAATAAACTGCAAGAGCATCCAGTTCTTGCATACTCACCTTTTGAAAATGACGTCTATCAATCGTGACTATTGTGCTCAGTTGCATACTTTAAACATTGCACGACTCCACAAAGCAAGCCAGACCCGTAACCATTGATAAAATGAAATTATATTGGACACTTCTAAAGTTAATGAGCAGACCGGAGTCTCATCTCCCATTAAGAAAAGAAAACAACCAAGGCGATTGACCAAGGAAATGTCAGATTTATTTGACATTTAGGTTTAGAGGAGACATAATTATAATGCGGAGGTATAGTCAAAATAAAAAACTAAAATTCAACAACTAAAATTTAAACCCTCTTACCTGCACATAAATTAAAACAAATTAAACAACATTCACTGACCTCCCTACTAACAATGAAACATGAGAAAACCCTCCTCATCACATGCGTCTCTGTATGTTTGTCGCAATAGGGTCCCACTTTATATTAAGTGACCTTAACTAATATGTACTTACACAGGAACTAATAGTTTGTTACAATGTACTTATTGTCTAAATACATGTATTTATTGTGTACTTATGCTTAATTAAATACCTGTATGTAATTACCTTAGTAATTACATTTGCAGAAACACTGCTGACCATTTCCTACACCTTAACCCACCCTTAAACCTACCCACACCACCAAACCTGTCTCTAACCCAACCTCTATCCCAACTCAAGAGCACCACAAGTGTTCTCCAATACTTTATGAACACAGTAAGTACATTGTATTTATTTTTTAAAGAAACTCGCTCATTTTGAGGCAGGAACCGGCGGACGTGCAACAACTTTAACTATGAGGTAAACACAAAACAAAACTTTCCATCCGGAGCTCCTTCACGGGACTCCACACTTGTAAACAATTTGGCTCGCGCGACTCTCGGTCCCGTCCAGACTCGTCAGCGCTACCAAGCCAACCAATCACAGAGCTTGCGCTACGCGTCGTTGCGATATGTAGTTACATTTTTTGAGAGGTGCACATCAGCGATGCACACAGTGTAGGGCTGTGGGCGCCGTAGTATACGCGTGCGTTTGATGCGGAAGTACAAATCAGCCTTAACTCTCTGGCACCATGTCCGAGTGATACAGTAACACTGACAAAGCAACTCAATCTCGTTGCGCCAAGGTTCATGCAGCGTAGCAGTGTCCCTGGCAGCCTTAATGTGCACTTTAGACTGTAGGTTTTAAGGCGTTTGCGATTAAGGTATTGTCCACAAAAACTCGGAAAAGCATGTGAACAAAACAATGGATGAGGGCTTTAATGCAAGTGCACATAAAGGGGATCAAAAGAACTGTCTTGGAATGCCATGTAGTGGAATGATCCTGGGATGCAGCTGATTTTTAAGGCATTGGGATTCGCAGAACTTTTCGTTAAATCCTCGCACAACGTTAATTCTTGACATTTGACAGATCCACGCCGAACGTCAAGCGACGTTATAGGAATGGGAGCATCTTACCATCATTGCTTCAGACTCAGGAAATGTTCTTGGAACTTCACGCCTCCAGAGGAGCTGTAGCTTTTTTTTTGCACCGGGGATGCATGATCCACACGGAAGGGGATAAAAAATGTCGCGCAGTCCACGAGGCTATTTAAGAAAGAGATTCATTCTGACCCTGTCAGTCATATGCAGATTCGCCAGGTCTTGAAACTCTTCTGAAATGGCCGATGTTTCGAATCACCTATGTCACATGGCCTGGGTGTTGCGGATCATGCTTCAGTGCTGTGTTTCAAAACCCTTGCGCTCCGGGATCTCGACGCTGTGTCGAAACGGCAGTTTACATTTTACATTTACATTTAGTCATTTAGCAGACGCTTTTATCCAAAGTGACTTACAAATGAGGACAAGGAAGCAATTTACACAACTATAAGAGCAACAATGAATAAGTACTAAAGGCAAGTTTCAGGTCTGTAAAGTCTAAGAAGGGAAGTATTAGTAGTATTAGTATTTTTTTTTTTGTACAATTAGTGTGATATTCAGAGAGGCAATTGCAGATTAGGAAGTGTAGTGGAGACTAAATAGTTGGGTTTTTAGTCGTTTCTTGAAAGTAGCGAGTGACTCTGCTGTTCTGATGCAGTTAGGGAGTTTATTCCACCAACTGGGCAGATTGAGCGTGAGCGTTCGCGAAAGTGATTTCTTCCCTCTTTGGGATGGAACCAGGAGGCGACGTTCATTCACAGAACGCAAGTTTCTGGAGGGCACATACATCTGCAGAAGCGAGAGCAGATAAGAAGGAGCAAGGCCAGAAGTCACTTTGTAAGCAAACATCAGAGTTTTGAATTTGATGCGAGCAGCAACTGGCAGCCAGTGCAAACGGATGAGCAGCGGAGTGACATGTGCTCTTTTAGGTTCATTGAAGACAACTCGTGCTGCTGCATTCTGGAGCAGTTGAAGAGGCTTGATAGAGTTAGCTGGAAGCCCAGCTAGTAGAGAGTTGCATTAATCCAGTTTGGAGAGAACAAGAGCTTGAACAAGGAGTTGAGCTGCATGTTCAGATAAGAAGGGTCGGATCTTTCTGATGTTATAGTGCGAATCTGCACGAGCGTTTCACGTCAGCCATCTCTACCAGAAAGTCTCCACATGCTTACACCTGATTTACCATGCGAGAGAGAACCACAAGAAAAGGAAACGCATACAACAACACAAAGAAAAACTCACAAATTTCAGACAAATAACTTTTCTTGTAAATAAATGCTTTAAAACAAAACAATACATTACCGCAACCTTGACTAGTGAGAGTACATCTTTAAATGTCACGTCTATGAAGGGAGTCATTTTGAGAGCGTATAAAAGACAAAGTGCAAACATATTTGACCACTTACACATCTCAGCCAAACTAAATGCTCTTTTTCATGATCAATTGACTGTACGGATAAAAACTAGACTCTTACCATGTGACATTAATTTCAGATGTGGTGGTGAAGGAGGAGAGTGAAGAACTGAGCGAAGATAAGGAGAAACATCATGTCAAGAGGGAAGAAGACACTCAGACAAACACTGAACATGATGCTTCAATGGAGAAAACAGCTGTAAAATGTTTGACATGCACTCAGTGTGGAAAGACTTTCAGCTCCAAATACAAGCTTAAGATTCACATGATGATCCACACTGGAGAGAAACCCTTCAAGTGTTCACTCTGCGACATGAGGTTCAATCGTTTAGGAAACCTGAAATCCCACGAGAGAACTCACACTGGAGAGAAACCGTACAAGTGTGCGCACTGCGACAAGAGATGTAATTTTCCAGAAAACCTGAAAACACACATGCTGATTCACACTGGAGAGAAAACACACACATGTGATCAATGCGGCAAAACATTTTTGAGACCTTTGGGCCTGAAGAACCATCTTAGAGTTCACACAAAGAAGAAGCTTTATTTATGTCCTGTGTGTGGAAAGAGTTTAACAACCCCGACAGTTTTAAGGAAACATCAGAAGCTCCACACTGCTGTGAGAGAGTTTGTGTGCATTGACTGTGGGAGGGCTTTTACTACAGATAAATACTTGAAACTGCACCAGATGATCCACACTGGAGAGAAACCTCACGTGTGTTTAGACTGCGGCCAAAGATTCAGACTGTCTGGTAGCCTTACATATCACAAACTGATTCACACTGGAGAGAAACCGTTCACATGTACTCAGTGTGGGAAGAGCTTCACAAAAATATCGAGCCTTAAAGAACACATGCTGATCCACACCGGAGAGAAAAAACACAAATGTGATCAGTGCGGCAAAGCATTTTTGAGGCCTTCAGAGCTGAAGGTCCATCTTAGACTTCATTCAAACGAGAGGCCGTATTCATGCTCTGAGTGTGGGAAGGGTTTCACAGTGCAGTCACATTTAAAAGGGCATCAGAAGATCCACACTGGTGTGAGAGACTTTGTGTGTTCAGAGTGTGGGAAGACTTTTATTACAGCTAGAACCTTGAGACGACACCAGATGATCCATACTAAGGAGAAACCTTACCAGTGTTCACACTGTGACAAAACATTCAGACGTTCAGGACACCTGAAAACACATGAGAGGACTCACACTGGAGAGAAAAATCACGAGTTAAAAAAAGCAGAATGAAATCTCCCTTCCTCTAAGCTCTACACTATATTCACACAAATCAGATTTCTCAGTTAATCAGCCCCTGTTATACATTATAAAAGGTCCTATTTAGGTTTTGGGGTCTCCAACAACAGGCTGATGTGAATATAAGCTCAGAACACTGTTATTGTCTTATAATATGCATTTGATTGTGTTCGTGGTTCATCCAAACCCTTCTATTGTTTCATGCAAATCTGTGGTGATTGGCTGATGACCTTGACTGTTGTGATTGGTCGACTGCGATCAACTCAAGACCACACTCACCACGGCTTATCAATAGACTGGGGCAACTAAGAGGTCAGTTTGTATTAGTGATGGGAAGTTCAGCTCATTTTACTGACTCGGATCTTTGAGTCTCGTTCATCAAGATGAACGAATCTTTTTTTGAGTCATTTCGTTCATTTGGTTCAATTTGCCAAAATATTATTAAAATGTTACGAATTGCTTCCAAACACATCTACAACTAGCCCAAAAGGTTGATCGCACGACAAATAAGTCATAAATAGAATACTATAAGAAGGAGAAAATAATACTTTAATGTTGACCTGCTCTTCTGTCTATGAAGGTATTGTCGTCGCTTTGCTCAGCTCAGCTCTTCATGTCTTCAAATGTCAGGGGTTCATTCACGTTACACTGACAGTCACATATAATCTTAATCAATGCACAGTCTGAGCCGATAGAAGCCATGATCGTTCGTTGTTTACGTGACAGAATGACTCAAACCCGGGGACTCGAGAGATGAACGGTTTAATTCTTTTTCCGGCTCTAAACTCATATGATTGGCCCGTGATGAACGAGTGACTCAGACCCGATAGACGACTCGAGAGGTGAGCGGATCAATTCTTTTTGATTGGCTTCTGCCAATGTGATGAAGACTTGAAATGAACGATACCACCTTCACAAATGTGCGCACGCGTGGATGAACTATTCACTCCCTGAGAGGACTCGTAGTTCCCGAGTCATATTGAAGATTCGTTCAAAATTAACGAATAGTTCATGAACGACCCATCACTAGTTTGTATGAAAAAACTTGTGAGCAGCTAGCATATTAGCACTTCTGGTTTCCTCATTCCAGAGTCAGTGTTTTTTTTTTAAATGGGATTTCGGTTAAATGCTTAAATAAGGTTTGTGGCAAACACAAACTCAAGATGCTTTCACTTTTCTTTTTTTTTTTTAATTGTTACATTTCTTTAAAAAGGCAATTGCTTAATATACATCATGAGGTGTTACGGTTGTAGTGTTTCTGTGTACCGTTAAACAGTGTCCACCAGATGAAGGTGTTTCGTGATCTGGTGTTCCTCTGGAGCAGGGGTCACCAATCTCGGTCCTGGAGGGCCGGTGTCCCTGCAGGATTTAGCTCCAACTTGCCTCAACACACCTGCCTGGATGTTTTTAAGTACCTAGTAAGACCTTGATTAGCTTATTCAGGTGTGTTTGATTTGGGTTGGAGCTAAAATCTCCAGGATACCGGCCCTCCAGGAACAAGTTTGGTGACCACTGCTCTGGAGTGTTGAACATGTGCGGTGTTTTGCCGTGTTTACGTTTAGATCAGGTACCGAGTGTTACCTGTGATGTGCGTTTGGATAAAGACCAAATGTGCATCCCAAATCGCATACTAATGCACTATACTAAGCCATTTTGTAGTATAAAGAGTGTAAGTAGTGCATTCACACTAAAAACTCTTAAAATAGTAAGTGCACTTTAAAAACCCGGATGATGCACTTATTCAGCCAGTAAAATGAAGTGTATAATGATAGACACTTCACGCACTTAACGACCGCAGGTTCACTGTTGCCAACTATTTCCAACAAAAGGGCGCTAAGCTCTTTGTCATACGCTTATATGTTAATTTGCATATTACTGACGTCATCACGCTCTACCATTTCTGTTTGTTTAACAGCCATTAGTCAATAATAGAGGTATTTATATTTGCTCTTCGCTTTATATAAGCATGTCAATTTACCTCAATGTATTGCTGTTTGAATACAGTATATCAGTGTAGATGTGTAGTGAATTTGCTAATTTCTTAGACGTAATAAACTCAGACAAGTTTTGAAACTGTCTCTAAAATATCTGTGATTGTGAACAAGAAAATAATAAACGGTCAAATTAAATTGTTAAAATAAAGGAGAAGCAGATCGGGTTGACTGTACAAGGGGAATACCTTCACACTGCCGGTGCTAAATCATTTGCCGTCGGTATGAAGAGAGGTGATCTGCTGTCAGGCTCCAGGTGGGAGAGGCTGCTGTACGAGGAGGACTGGGCCGCCTGTCAGTGCTCTGAGGCGGGGGAGGGGCCGATCACCCACAGCTCATTGAGAGGAGAAGGGACGGTACAGTATGGACAAATGACAGTCTATAAAAATCTCTAGTAACACACAAAAAAGTTGCTAGATTTGTCGCTAGTCGCTTTTTAGAAAAAGACCGCTCGGGCGGTCTAAAAAGTCGCAAAATTTAGCGACCAATTCGCTAAGTTGGCAACACTGCGCAGGTTTGCTCTTGTAGTGGAAGGGGCGGAGCTTTCAGGCGCACATGTTGGATTACTTTATTTATTTTGGATTAAGAAAGCAAAATTCTCCTATGGGAGTGATTATAGCGCCTCCCGGTGGTGAATGCGGTAAAACTCAAGGCAGGTTTCATTTGGTACTTTATTTATTTAACTGATTTGACAACCGTCAAACATCATCAAAAATGTGAAATGGGTTTAATTTCCGCTTAGTAAATGAATATTAGCGCTCTGTTTAGGATGACACTACACACGTACTATACTGTTAAGTGTAAGTGCATGAGTGCATAGTGTGCCATTTGGGACGCAGCTCAAGAGAACAGGACTATGAGCGTTCATCCATCCTCTTCAGCTTTGGAGTTTTTTTTGTTTGTTTGTTTTCTTTATATTTATGTATCATTTCACTTAAATTTTTTTATTAAAATACATTTAAGTTGATTTGATTTTCTGGTGTGGATCTTTATTTGGTTTTAATACTTCATTGTTGAGCCAAGAGGTAGTAACAAATGGTCCGTGTATCTTTTGGTCATTGGATTGTTATTTTAGAAACGGATATTGAAGAAGGAAATACGAGGCGTTTTTTTTTTTTCTTTTTTTTATGGTAAAAAACTGAAAAGCAAAACCTAAAATTTATTTAATTTAAATTTTTTTTTAATTTGAAATAACAAAAAATAAAATCCCTAGAAAAAACAATGAAGGCTTGTTTTTTTTTATATTCCGAAACCAAATAGGCCGATTTCATTTACGGTGATGCAATGCTGCCACACACAGGCTAGCCTACTATGGGCTATTATTTTTTTTCCACTTAATAGTTATAAAAGGTATTTACTTGTGATCGCGGTTATATTTTCCTCATTAAGACTTTATATTTCTCATATAAGGGCCAGTTATTGGCTATTTATTTATTTTTGTTAGGCTAGTAAAAGCTACTGCCCAACACTGTTGACTGGCCTGCCTGCAGTCCTGAACTGTCTCTAATAGAGGATGTGGGGCGCATTTTGAAGCGCAAAATGCAACAGCAAAAACCTTGTACTGTTGCCCACCTTAAGACTTGTTTGAAGGAAGATTTGGGCAAAATTACACCTGAAACACTTCATCACTTGGTGTCTTCAGTACGTAAACGTCTTTTCAGTGTTGTGAAAAGGAACGGCAACATTACAAAAAGGTAGATGCTTTACTGATACAACATTTTTGAAATGTGTTGAAAGAGCCAAAAATTGAATAAATGTTTATTTAAAAATAAATAAGTCATGAGGAACACATTAAATAATGTTTGTTTTATTGTCTGTAATGAAATACAAACCAAAGTGCATTTACTAATCACTACTTACTTTTATTATTTGTTGTTTTTCACACTGCCCCGACTTTCTCTGATTTAGGGTTGTAATTGGGAATTGACACTGTGTGTAGATATGTTAGCTTTTCTGCTCCTGTGTTAGCATTTAGGATCCAAAAGTGGTAAAAGATATATTATCTTGTGAAGATTATCTTGAAAGAATGAACAGTGTTTGAACACATGCAATCATTGAGAAGCCTATGGGATATTAATCTCTTCTTAACCATAACCGCAAGTAATAACGAGAGGATGTTTATATAATGGATGTTCATCGCCTGTAATTCTGTTATTTGTTAGGCTGTACATGTTTTAACATGTATAAATCAAGCCTGTTCAGAAAAGAAAAGCTGTACACTTTCAATGACAGATATGATACATTTGTGCGTTTTTATTTGCTGTCATTTAAAAACTATATATTAATTCTTAAATCTTATTAAAACATAATTTAGTGTCAGCGCAATAGCCTAGTGGTTAGTGCACCGACGTATGATGCAATAGCACGTCAGGGCGTCATGAGTTCGTATCCCAGCTCGATGACATTTCCCTACCCCCCCCTCACTCTCTCTCCCACTTCGCTTCCTATCTAATAAAGGCAAAAATAAAACATAATTAAGTTTTTTTTCAGGAAAAGATGATTTTAGGTTTTTGTCTGTCAGCCGTTAAGTAAATAAAATATTACGTTTACTTTTTAAATCAAATATACATATGTAATAATCAAATAAATACATTGAAGAGTTCACAAAGTTTTAAAGTCGGTAGGGCTTTCTTATTTAGAGAGTGATACTACTAATCATAGATATATAATGAATCTTAAAGTTGCGTTTCTTATTAGTAAATTTACATTGATGAATGTAAAAAATTGTTAGCAAAAATAATTTATTAATTTTGCGTGTTTTTGTTGACCCACCGTTGTTCCCCTCTTGCATTGATGACGTCAGCACCGACGGGTTCATTGGCGCAATGGAAAGCTGTCAATATCGCGCGAAACAAAAATACTCTAGAGTGCAGACAAGCAAAAACAATCGTAAATGCACGTTAAACACCTTAAACATGTGAGGTAAAATTTTAATTAGGCACTTACAACGTTGTTAAAATGCACTCAAATAACTCTAGTGACAGACATTAAAATAAAATCTATTCCTGAGGAAACTAAAATTAGTACCTAAAATGTTTTTTCATAAAATGTAAGAATACAATTACTAAACAAAATAAATGAAAACACTAACATTAAATAAAAAATGCAAACATGTATCATTGATTCAAAAATTGACGATAATATCATTAGATTTATGGTCATGTAAAATGGTCACGTTAAAATGTCAGTAAACAATTATGCACACTTCACACACTTATTTGTATTATAAACAGGCAAGAGTCAGACTGCACTATGGTCAGCAGTATCTTCATAAAATCATTTTATTAAAATAAACAATCAACAAATGAATCCGTCATGACGGTCTCTACAAGTGAAGGCATTATCTACACACATTATGGATCTCCAATAACAACCCTAAATCAGAAAAAGTTGAGACATTATGGAAAACACAAATAATAAATAATAAATAAGTAGCGACTTCTAAATTTACTTCAGCTTGTATTTCATTACAGACAATACAACAAACATTATTTAATCTGTTCCCCATGATTTATTTATATTTAAATAAACATTTTTCCATTTTTGGTTCAAGCAACACGTTTAAAAAAAGAAAAAGTTGTATCAGTAAAGCATTTACCATTTTGTAATGTAGCCGTTCCTTTTCAACACACTGAAAAGACGTTCAGGAACTAAAGACACCAAGTGATGAAGTGTTTAAGGTTCAGAATAGGTTGCCTATTCTATTGCCTGATATAACCTATAAGCATATGTATATATATATATATATATAACCAGTAGGTTATTTTTTAATCAATACAAGTATTAAAAATGAGTAGGCTATGCAAGAACTTAGTGGGGTGATGATGCACACACAACTCATCCGCAGCTTTAGTGATAGTCCATTTTTAAAAGACATGGGATGCTTATCAGCATAATTAATTGTTCATTTTTATTTTAAAACACTATGACTTATTGAAATGTGCTTAGCGAACAACTGTACGGATGCCTCCCTCACTTGAAATGATTCGTGGTCAAACTTCGGGAAGTGGAAGCACAGGGTGGGCTTTTTATGTGGATAAACCTTATTAAACACACTGGGAATATCACAAGAACAACAATGGTGTGCTTCTTTTTTACTTAACGTTATTCGTTCATGAGTTATTTACAAGCTCCCTTACATATGCTAATGTACCACAAACAAGACGTTAATTTCACCAACCATTCCCATTTTATTAATGTGTATCCATATAAATGGCCCACCCTGTATTATGGTTTTAACATTATTAAAACTTTCATTTAAAAAAAAAAAGTTCAGTAAAGTAACGTAACGCTTGCATGTAACGTCAAAATAAAGGTTGTTCCATTTAAAACATGCTAACGAAAAATAAATAAATAAATAGCGAGAAATTATACGAGAAATGTGTCATCTTATTGAGGAAAAAATGTCCACTATCACTAGAAAATACCTTTTACAACATTATTAAGTGGAAAAAATAGTAGCCTATAGTAGGCTAGCCTGTGTGTGGCAGCATTGCGTCATCGTGAATGAGTCGGCCAATCTGGTTTCGGGATATAAAAAACAAGCCTTCATTCGTGTTGTTTTTTGGTGATTTTATTGTTTGTTATTCGTACTAAAAAATTTAAATCAAATAATTTTTACATTTTGCTGTTCCATTTTTAAAAATGAAAAAGAAAAACGCCTCGTATTTCAATATGTTTTTGAACTTTAAAAGGAAAATCAAAAGACGGCTCGTTTTTCAATATTCGTTTCTGAATGAAAATCCAATGACCAAAATATACACAGACCTGTTCCAGACCAGTTCAGTTCGATGACGTATGAGTCCGACATCGCCTGTAGACCCATTGAGCAACCGTCTTTTTACAGAAGCGGAACCGATTTAAAAAGTCAAGAGTGATGTGTTTAGTGTCGTAGAATAAAACATGAAAGTATCTTGAGTTTGTGTTTGCCACCAACCTTATTTCAGCCACTTAACCAAAATCCCATTCAAATAACCCACTGACTCTGGGACGAGGGAACCAGAACTGTTAACATGCTAACTGCCTACAGGTTTGTGCATACAAACTGACGTCATAGTTGCTCCAGTATACTGATAAGCCATGGTGGGCGTTTCCTATCAGTCATGCGTTGAACACAGTCAACCAATCACAACAGACTGGGTCATCAGACCAATCACCGCAGACTGGCATCACACAAAGCAAGGGTTTGGACAAGATTAATTACTGAACAAATCATTGTCGTTGGGATCATTAGGTGAAAATAACTGAGTATTAAAAAACATTGACAGTGTTCTTTAAGCTTATATTCACATCAGCCTGTTGTTGGAGACCCCAAAACCAAAATAGGGTCTTCTATAATGCATAACAGGGGCTGATTAACTGAGAAATCTGATGTTTGTGGATATAGAGTAGAGTTTTCAGGAAGGGAGATTTCATTCTGCTTTTTTTAACTCGTGATTTTTCTCTCCAGTGTGGCTCCTCTCATGTGTTTTCAGGTGTCCTGAATGTCTGAATGTTTTGTTGCAGTGTGAACACGGGTAAGGGAGCTCTCGAGTGTGGATCATCTGGTGTCGTCTCAAGCCTCCAGCCGTAATAAAAGTCTTCCCACAGTCAAAGCAGACGAACTCTCTCACGCCAGTGTGGATCTTCTGATGTTTTTTTAAATTTGACTGCAATATAAACCTCTTCCCACACTCAGAGCATGAATACGGCCTCTCGTTTGAATGAATTCTAAGATGGTTCTTCAGCTCTGAAGGCCTCGTAAATGTTTTTTTGCATTGATCACATTTGTGTGGTTTCTCTCTAGTGTGGATTTTCAGATGTTTTTCTAAAACTGTCGGGGTTGTTAAACTCTTTCCACACACAGGACATAAATAAAGCTTCTTGTTTGTGTGAACTCTAAGATGGCTCTTCAGCCCCGAAGGCCATAAATATGCTTTGCCGCATTGATCACATTGGTGTGGTTTCTCTCCAGTGTGGAGCAGCATGTGTGTTTTTAAGCTGTCTGAAAAATTAAATCTCTTGTCGCAGTGTGAACACTTGTACGGTTTCTCTCCAGTGTGAGTTCTCTCGTGGGATTTCAGGATTGCTAAACGATTGAACCTCATGTCGCAGTGTGAACACTTGAAGGGTTTCTCTCCACTGTGGATCATCATGTGAATCTTAAGATTAGATTTGGAGCTTAACCTCTTTCCACACTGAGTGCAGGTCAAACATTTCACAGCTGTTCTTTCCACTGAAAAATTATCTTCAGTCTCTGATTGAGTGTCTTCTTCACTCTTGACATGATGTTTCTCTTCATCTTCACTCAGTCCTTCACTCTCCTCCTTCACCATCACATCTGAAAATCAATCAAGTCACATTTTAAGAGTCTAGACTTGATCTGTACTGTAGTCAACCCTCCAGTTTTTCCCAGGATTCTCCTGTATTTTACAGTTTTATCCTGCTATCATCCCGTAAAGGTATTTCTCCTGTATTTTCAGTCTTTCTCCGAAGGGTGGCAGATAAACATTAAAGAGCCGATCCTCCCTATACGCAACCCATACTGCCGAACCACCAGGGAATTCCCTTGCTCTTAAATGTGAGTCTGTTCTGTGCTTTCGCTTTGTTTAGGCATGAAAACCCTGAAATAAATATAAAAACAGCAGGATTCCTTTTCATAACAGGTGCCGTCTCTCCTTCATATGCAATCCTCAAAACAGTCATATAGCAGTGCGTGACTGTCAGCTAACGTGCTCATAGTGATAAATAAACTCTGTTTCCCAAACAGATTCTGTACTTGTGATTTGAAGCGGAGCGAAACTCTATTTTGGGTGCGTGATTATGCAGACATACACACATTATTATTAATAGTAACATCTAAAGACGTCAATCTTGGTGGGGTTTTTCTGTCCTAAAATTTCATCCTAAATGAGCATCAAAAGTCAGGAAAGCAGTCGAATGCTTTCATTATAAGGTTAGATGTGTGCATTTTTAAACTGACACCTCTGTTATTTAATGTAATCAAACTAAAAAAAAAACTAAATAAATAAGAGATTCATTCGCTGCTTTTTAATCCGAATGTGTACGTTATACAGTGAAGAAACGGCTGATGAGATTTGATAGTTTGATTCTATTTAATTATAATAGCTATTAATTTTAATAGGCTGAACTGTTTGCTAATGTATTTGCTGCTATCTATTAACTATCTATTTTTTTCTTGTGTAAATAATAATAATAATAAAACATATTACTGACCATTTAATTCTTTATTTACTATGAAACAGCTGTTTTTACAATGAAACAGCTCCTAATGAGCATATTTGGGGATTTAAAAAAAAGGAGGGGGGGCTTATTATGGTGGGCATATCCCTTATTTTAACATCCCAATGTTGACAGGTATGACTTTAATATGATTATGAAAAAGAGCATTTAGCTTGGCTGGGATGTGTAAGTGGTCAAATAGGTTTGCACTTTTATACAGAAAAAAAAGGATTGAGCCCTGTAGTGGCAATTTTTTTAAGGAGGCTCTCTCAGTGGTCAAGACTATGGGCTCTATTTTGACAATCCATGTGCAAAGTGCAGGGCGCAAACGCATTAAGGGTGTGTCAGAATCCACTTTTGCTAATATAAGAACAGGAAAATACGATTTGCGCCGTGGCGCATGGTCTAACATGGTTGAGCCTATTTTCTTAATGAGTTATTGGTGTGTTTTGAGAATAAACCAGAGTCTCATCTCCCATTCCCTTTAAAAGTCAGTTGCAACGCACCATAGCACATTTGCTATGTACATGACGACTTTGTAAGTGGAAAAACTGATTGCTTTACTACTAAGAAAACAGTTAAACAGAGCATCTGCAGCGCGAGAATGAGAGGCCTCTCATTATATACTTTCACTTTCACTCTTGTGGATAGGGAAAACTTGTACGCACAGACATCAATTAGCCTATAAATAATTAATTTCGTTTGTTAAGCGCAAAGATTTGCTTCAAAACTATTTCTAAATTCAGTTCTAAATTCCAGCAAACGAATAAATGAACAATAATAATGAAGTGTGTTCAAAAACCTGAGTTATTTCCTAATACACATGCTGTGCCCCATATGATCTAAAACCTGACAGGTGGACAAATCTAAGCTTGTTTTTAATAAAACAAATATAAATATAGATATAATAAATAATACTGCTAATAATAATAACATTATACAAAAGCAAATTGTTATGAATGAACTGAAAAAGCCTCCCGAGATGAAGAAGGCATAAAGGCGGTGGTTTTTAAATTTATGTAGGCTAGAAAATAATATGTTTTGAAATATTTTAATCCTTTATATTTATATCCTATAAATATCCTTAATATATCCTATATATATCCTTAATATTTTAATTCTTTTTCATATGTAAAGATATTTGCGTATTGCTCCACATCTTGTGTGTATTAAGCAGTGTGTAAGCGAGGCGCATAACTAACGCGCTCTGCACTGGACAATAGACCAGCTTTGTTTTGGTCTATTGAAAAATCTATTATAGTTTCTCAAAAAAGCAACGCGCCAGCAATACACCTCAAAACAGCTCCTTTTTAGAGCAGAACACCTATGGGTGCACACTGCACATATGAGTGCAAATGCATTTGCTATTTAAACAGCGTGGCGCAAACTGAAACTAGCAAACAACTGAAAAGCTGAAACTAGCAAACAACAATTGCGTCGCTCCTTGCGCCAGGTGTATGATAGGGCCCTAATTTTTACCCAAAGTGTCTTTTTAAGTTTAAATCTTTGCAAAAAAGGTCACGCGATCATACATCAACGATGCAGAAAGAGTGTGTTCACTTTTCATCTAGTTTGTAATGGCCACAAAGTCATCAGCGACATACAGGATGAATCAGTTACATCAGCGCTAAACTTCATTTTTGACCATCTACATTACAACCTTACATCCCATCCGGACATGTAGTTTGTTAAATCACAATGTGCTTATCCAGATCTTGTCTGGTGATGAACAGAAGTTGAAGTGGTCACGCTTGGTCTGGCTTAAACAGTACATCCATGGAAGAATAAAAGAACCTGTATAATGTATATAAATGAATTTCCACCACAAGCCCCTTCATAGACATGATGACACATTTAAAGTTGTACTCTCACTAGTCGAGGTTGCGGTTATGTATTTTATGTATTAAAGCAATTATATAAGATAATGTGGAGTTTGCATGTTCTCCAGTGTTCACATGGGTTTCTTCTGGATACTCAGTTTCCCCCACAGTCTAAACACATGCAGTACAGATGAACTAAATAAGCTAAATTGGCCTTAGTGTTTGTGTGTGAATGTAAGTGTGTATGTGTGTTTCCCAGTGTTGAGTTGTGACTGGAAGGGCATCCGCTGTGTAAAACTTATGCTGGATAAGTTGGCGGTTCATTCCGCTGTGGCAACTTCGATTTATAAAGAAACTAAGCCGAAAAGAAAATGAATGGCTGCTCTTGCAGTTTATTGGTGGGGATCTAATTTAATAAAAAAATGTTTTACTTTGTGTAGGAATGAATGCAAACTTCTGGAAAAGGGGTGAGTAATGAATAAACACAAACCTATTAGTTCTTCAGTCTCTTCCTGTTTAATTCTGCAGGGTTCTGGATCACTCATCTTCTCACTGTCCTTCAATAAACTCTGTCTTTGTCTTTCACTGATGGCAGCAGAGCTTCAGGAGAACAAACACATTATGATGTTATATCTTGTGACACAATAGGTGATAATGTGAGTTTCTAAAGTCAGGTGATGCCAATAAAATGTTGTGCAACAGTTTTAAGCAGGAGATTTTTTTTGTGCAGCTGTTTATTTGTAAACAGAGAGGGAAACCCCTGTTTTCGAATTACAGTTTGCTCAAAAAATGTTTAATAAAGTTTTAAAAAAGGCTTTACGTCTTAATTAACCATTAATGGGAAAATACCTGATAGATATTCTATATCGTTATTTCTCCTAAAAATACCAGGATATTATATTTTGCCTATATCACCCAGCCCTACTTAGCCTGCTTTCTCGAGTTTGACAAACCTGCCATTTTGAAACAGAAAACCCAGGGTTTCTCTCATTACAGAGTTAACAAACTTTGAGTTTTCACCGAAACATCCTTTCAAAAACGGGACCCAGCTCATTTTATACAGCGTGTTTGCAGGATGAACTCATCACTATTGTAACAAAAAATGCATTTATACCAGTATATAGTTTTATCAAGTATTCACACCAATAAAGTAATCAGGTTGTCAGCAGTCGCGCGTCTGTACAGAAACCGAGAAACCAGAAAAACCGTTAAAATAAAGGGCGCCAAAAACTAACGTTTTTTTCTGGATTAAAATTTGCTTATCTGCCGCAGTATATTGCCACTGTTTGCCTTCACAGATCTTTACAATATTACTAACACAAACGCTGATAAACTCAAACACACAAAGTTAAAAAAAGTAAAACAAACACATTCACTCATATTGTCCTCTCAGAGCTCCTCTCTGCCTGCTGTATTGTTTTGGTCAGCAGACACACAGATAGAGGTGAACTCAATGCAGAAACTAGTCGCAGATTGTCGCTTTAATAAACTGTAAAGTGTGTTTTATTGTTGTGTAAACACGAGAAAAAGCGTCAACGACTCACCTCAGCTCTGCAGACTCGACGCTGAATGAACGCGTAAGCACTGACGTCATCACGGCGAGGCGGGAGCTACGAAAAAATCGTCAAAAACGCGCGAAATAAAAACGCTGCAGACAAGCCAAAACAATCGCTAACGCATGTAAAGGTGATTTACAGTTTTCTTTCTCTGATGTTGTGAACTTTATTTTACTAATGGGTAAAGTAAGTGGTAAAAATGCAGACCCTCTTTTAGATGTTTTCTTTCTGAGGTAGAGAAAATGGCTCAAAGCTACTAATACTTCAGAAACTAAAGTGAAATAACTGCTCTCTGTACTTCATTTTCAGAATATTCATTGTTATCATGTTGTTTTTCCTTTTATGTATGTCTTTTGTACTGCTCCTTGTTGCAGTTGTAATAAAGATTTTAATGGTAAACATGCCTTGCGATGTTGATTGTTCTGTTTTGTGATGTAAACTTTTTTGCAACAATAAAAAAGTAAGAAGGAAAGAAAAAAACGCTAAACCATGTTAAAAAAAGACCTTAAAAATGTGAGGTGAAACTTTTAATGAGGCATTTAAAACGTTAAAATGCACTCTAATTTAAAAAGCAAACGTATAGGCATATGCTTCATGAGTGACAGACAAATGACTAATTATCCATTCCAAAAAATGATGAAAAAAATCATTAGAAATAATTTTATTGTAAAACGTTCATGTTAAAATGTCAGTTAAGAATTATATACACTTTACACACTTATTCACACATATATATTATGAAGAACAGGCAAGAGTCAGACTGCACTATGGTCAGCAGTATCTTCATGAAACTGATTTATTAAAATAAATGATCAACAAATGAATCTGTCATGGCGGATTCTTCACTTCTAAAAGTGAAGGCATTATCTACACACAATATGAATCTCTAATTAGATAAACACTACAAACTATAAAACACTACTTACGAAAATACTGAACCAAAAAACAGACAAATCCAAACGCCCGACACAAGCTGTAAAAGTGGGCTTCATTCCAGACCAGTTCAGCTCGATGACGTATAATGAGTCCGACATCGCCTGTAGACCCATTGAGCAACCGTCTTTTTACAGAAGCGGAACCGATTTAAAAAGTCAAGAGTGATGTGTTTAGTGTCGTAGAATAAAACGTTAAATTATCTTGAGTTAGTTTGCCACCAACCTTATTTAAGCCATTTAACCAAAATCCCATTCAAATAACCCACTGACTCTGGGACGAGGGAACAAGAACTGCTAACTGCTTACGGGTGTTTGCATACAAACTGAAATCATAGTTGCTCCAGTATATTGATAAGCCATGGTGAGCTTTTACCTATAAGTCACGCGTTGAACACTGTCAACCAATCACAACAGACTAGGTCATCAGACCAATCACTGGACAAAAAAAATTATATGGGAGTCGTTATAGATCATGACAATATGGCCATCTCATTGGCCCATGAACATTTCCAGCTTGTTATTAAACTATTTCATAAACTGTAACAAGAGGCAAATCAATCATAACCTAATGTTATGCTAACATAACAATCCTTATCGATATGTGGCTCTTTTTAGATTCTTGGAAGCTGTAGAAATCAAAAATGTAAAACAGGAAATATGCTGGGAACAATTAGCCATTTAACCTATTAGTTCTTCAGTCTCTTCCTGTTTAATTCTGCAGGGTTCTGGATCACTCATCTTCTCACTGTCCTTCAATAAACTCTGTCTTTGTCTTTCACTGATGGTGGCAGAGCTTCAGGAGAATAAACAGAGAAATCTGATTCATTTACACTGACTGAGGAAACAAACACATCATGATATTATATCTTTTGATACAATACGTGATTTGCTCAAGTCAGGAGACAACAATAACATCCACTTAAATTTGTAGATCTGAATATTAATGAGCCTCAGACTATAAACATTCTTTAACAAACAGTCAGAATCAGCAGCAAATCAGCTCATTCTATACTGTTTATAGGATATAGCTACTATAGGATGAGGTCATCAATATTGTAATTCATTTTTAAAAAAAGTATTTTGTAGTCTTCATACCAATAAAGTAATCTGATTGTCAGCAGTCTCAACAGAAACCAAAAATCCCAAAAAACCTTTGGAAACAAATGAATTACTTAATGTTTGCTGCATCAAAATGTGCATATCTGCAGCGGTAAATTCCCATTGTTTCCCTTAAGATACTTTGAGTTACTAATACAACCGCTGACAAACTCAAACACACTAGCACAGTAAGACCTAAACACTTTCCCTCTCCTTTCTGCCTGCTGTATTGTTGTGGTCGGCAGACACACAGATAGAGGTGAACTCAATGCAGAAACTAGTCGCAGATTGTCGCTTTAATAAACTGTAAAGTGTGTTTTATTGTTGTGTAAACACGAGAAAAAGCGTCAACGACTCACCTCAGCTCTGAAGACTCGACGCTGAGTGAACGCGTCAGTGCTGACGTCATCACGGCGAGGCGGGCGCAACAGAAGCTCGTCAAAATTCCTTACTACGGGAAAATTTTTTGTTTGGAAAATAATTTTTTAATCCATTTAATTATCTTCTTAAGTACATTTTACATTTACAAATGCACATTCACAATAGTAAACCTGCCTTTGTGGTCTTCTTTAAGGATATGGAGAATTAAATAAAGTTGATTTCTGAATCGTCTAATAAGAAAGTTTTAAAAACTGTCAAAATGTGCTCTGCTTTTAAGATCTTCATATATATGTAAGTACGTTAAATTAACCCTTGTATTTACAAAAAAAATCTTTAATATTTTATGCTCTCTTTCTCTTTTATGATATTTTTTCATTGTCTCATACTGTACTTTTTGTCAATGTCATTTGTTGATTGGTACTGTAATTTTAGTTTTATGTTCTGATAAGCATGTATGTTCCTGGTTTCAGCAATAAAAAAATTATTAAAAATGTTTTTTTTTTTTTTTTACAAAATAAAACTTTTACCAAAAAATAAATTACATTTCCTTAATCTTCTTATCTTTTTAACAAAATTGTATAAACATAAATGTAAATTTACAAACCAAAAACCTTATATATATATATATTATATTTTAGAAACTTTTTATATTTTTTATATATTTTTATATATTTTTTAAAATATATAAAAATTATATTTTAGAAACCACTGAAATTTGTAAATTATATCATATTTTTAATGTGTGATGTATAAACCCATTTCGTTTTTGTTTTCTTTTTTCTAAATGTTTTATTTTTTTATGTACTGTGATTGTATATTCTCATTTTACGAATAATAAAAATATATACATCGTCATTAATGTGGCAAACAAAATACTACTGAAAGGAGGAGGGGTAATGGCAAACTATTTTGACATTTAATTAATAACCTGGGCGAGGCAGTGGCGCAGTAGGTAGTGCTGTCGCCTCACAGCAAGAAGGTCGCTGGTTCGAACCTCGGCTCAGTTGGCGTTTCTGTGTAGAGTTTGCATGTTCTCCCTGCCTTCGTGTGGGTTTCCTCCATGTTCCTCCTGTTTCCCCCACAGTCCAAACACATGTGGTACAGGTGAATTGGGTAAGCTAAATTGTCCGTAGTGTATGAGTGTGTGTGTGTGTGTGGATGTTTCCCAGTGATGGGTTGCGGCTGGAAGGGCATCCGCTGCGTAAAAACTTGCTGGATAAGTTGGCGGTTCATTCTGCTGTGGCGACCCCGGATTAATAAAGGGACTAAGCCGACAAGAAAATGAATGATTGAATTAATTAATAACCTGTACTACTATCTATTTTCATATTACTAGTATTAATTATTTTAGATAGTAGTATTTTTTCCGTTAAGTACTATTGTGTATTTATTATAAACTAGTGCCTATAGAGGAATTACCAACCTGCGTCACACGGGTTCCCGGTTGCAAAAAACAGACCGGTTGCAATAGCAAACGTGGTGTTGTGCGGTAGGATGCCAAATTCGACTTAACTTTTACCATACACCACACTGCTTTAATGCCAACTGCAGACGTCTTTGGCTAAAAGGGAGCTGAATAGAGTGAGGAGCTAATTAAAATGCTGGACTCTGCAGTTCTCATGTCATATCAGGGAAATTCACGTTATACTCATTACTCGGTTTTGATTGCAGCAATGACTTCAGCAAAAACAGTTAAACATGGTGAATTAAACTGTGGACACTCAATGCTCAGAATAAAATGTAAACATGTGAGTTCACATACCCTGCCGTACAGTTGCAGTTGTTCTGCTTGTTGATGATTACCCAGGCCTTGTACAGCTCCGTCTTCTTGTCTTTGGCTAGGCAGAACCTCGGTTTTTAGCACTACATAGTTTTGAATCTGGTCATCATATAGCATTATTTCTTGCACATGACCACACATGAATGCAACTTCATATATAAACAATACAGGAAAAAGCACATCACTATATGAAATCGTATAACAAGGCTACAATTAAAAGTTACACTCTCCGACTATGTGTGTTTTTAATTTATATGATTAAAATGAATTATATTAATGTGCAATTGGGCTTTTGTATATCTGAAATAGTAAGGTGAGTATCAAGTGTTTCTATATTTAAACTCACTTTCTGATAAACTTAGATTATATATTTCACACACAAAAAAATGTAAAGTATATTCATGTATAGGACACTTAGTAATCTGAAAGGGTTGACTTAAAACTTTTATTATTTGGCCCTGTATCATTTAACTCCCCCTCTCTACTAATCAGAGCGGGTTAGCCCACAGTTTTGGGCTGTCCCAAAGAAGTGGGACCCACAGTGAGCTGCTCGCAATGACCCTGAATGAGCCACTGAATCTGGTTCTACTTTGTACATACAGAAAACCATTATACAATGCATATTCAGAACAACTTCACGTGACTATAAACTGGGTCATGTTAATAGTTAGTTACTCACAGAATTTAATAACAAAAAAAAATGAACAACTGTAATATATTAAAACAGAATTATATTTTAAATAAAATCAAACTTCAATAAACACAAAACGCTATTTTTTCCTTACTCCAAAGAATTGAATTAAAAGTAAACCCCCTCTGAGTTTTGGCCCTTCCTTAGTCCTTCAATCCCCCCTACTGGACGCATCAGGAACAACAGGGGTATAAAACTATAGATCGTAAAACTGCCTGGATCCAAGTCTGCAGACGCTCCATATAGGGCTAAAAGCAGTATTCCCAATGGCTAATGTATGTAAAAAAACACCTTACTCAATCATTTGAGGTAAAACTTTAATTTTAAAATCACTTAAACAGTTTAAAAGCAAATGTAATAGACATACTAGATGGCTGCGAGATATTTCACTAAAATGATCTATTCCTGAAGAAACTGAAATTTGTTTTTTACTAAAATGTAAGAAAACAATTAATAAAAAACACCAAGTAAAACAAAACACACACATATCATCTTTCAAAAAAGAAAAATGAAAATACCAATGGATTTATGTTATGATTTATGTGTGAAATGATCACGTTAAAATGTCAGTAAACAATTATATACACTTTACACACATATATATTATGAAGAACAGGCAAGACTCAGACTGCACTATGGTCAGCAGTATCCTTATAAAACTGATTTATTAAAATAAATGATCAACAAATGAATCTGTCATGACGGTCTCTACAAGTGAAGGCATTATCTACACACAATATGAATCTCTAATTAGATAAACACATCAAACTATAAAACACTACGAACGAAAATACTGAACCAAAACAGACAAATCCAAACGCCCAACACAAGCTGTAAAAGCAGGCTTCATTTCAGACCAGTTCAGCTCGATGACGTATAATGAGTCCGACATCGCCTGTAGACCCATTGAGCAACCGTCTTTTTACAGAAGCAGAACCGATTTAAAAGTCAAGAGTGATGCGTTTAGTGTCGTAGAATAAAACGTGAAAGTATCTTGAGTTTGTGTTTGCCACCAACCTTATTTAAACCATTTAACCAAAATCCCATTCAAATAACCCACTGACTCTGGGACGAGGGAACAGAACTGCTAACATGCTAACTGCTTACGGGTGTTTGCATACAAACTGACATCAAAGTAAAAATAAATGCATATTATAAGACAATAACAGTGTTTTTTGAGCTTGTATGCACATCAGCCTGTTGTTGGAGACCCCAAAACCAAAACAGGACCTTTTATGATGCATATCAGGGGCTGTTTAACTGAGAAATCTGGTGTGTGTGAATATAGAGTAGAGCTTTCAGGAAGGGAGATTTCATTGTGCTTTTTTAACTCGTGTTTTTTCTCTGCAGTGTGACTCAGCACATTAAAGTCTGATGATTCTTTGAAACTCTTCCCACACTGAGTAGATGTGAATGTTCTCTCTCCACTGTGAGTCGTCTTATGTATTTTCAGGTGTCCGGATTGTCTGAATGTCTTGTCGCAGTGTGAACACTTGTACGGTTTCTCTCCAGTGTGAATCATCTGGTGCAATTTCAAAGCTCCAGCTCTAATAAAAGTCTTCCCACAGTCAGAGCAGACGAACTCTCGCACACCAGTGTGGGTCTTCTGATGGTCATTTAAACATGACCGTCGTGCAAAACTCTTCCCACACTCAGAACATGAATACGGCCTCCCATTTATATGAAGTCTAAGATGTTTCTTCAGCTCGTAAGGTCTCAAAAATGTTTTGCCGCACTGATCACATTTGTGTGTTCTCTCTCCAGTGTGGATCAGCTTGTGTGTTTTCAGGTTCCCTCTATTATTGAATCGCATGTCGCAGTGTGAACACTTGTAAGGTCTCTCTCCAGTGTGAATAATCAGGTGACGCTTGAGAGTCTCTTTGAGGTTGTAGCTCTTTCCACACTGAGTGCAGGTGTAACATTTCACAGCTGTTTTTTTCATTGATGAACTACGTCTGACCTTCACTTGAGTTTTTTTCTTACTCTTGACATGATGTTTCTCCTCATCTTCACTCAGTTCTTCACTCTCCTCCTCCACCACCACATCTGAAAATGAATAAGTCACATTTTAAGAGTTTACATTTTACCTAACAGTGAAATGATCATGAATAATATGTTTGGCTGAGATGTGTAAGATCTTTATAGACATGACACATTTAAGGATGTGCTCTCACTAGGCAGTGAGAGACCAGTTTCCTTAGTTATAATCAATGCAGGAGCAAAGACGAATGTTGGATTAACAACCCCACTGTTCTCCAGCCTCATTATTGAAGAGTAATGAATAAACACAAACCTATTAGTTCTTCAGTGTCTTCCTGTTTAATTCTGCAGGGTTCTGGATCACTCATCTTCTCACTGTCCTTCAATAAACTCTGTCTTTGTCTTTCACTGATGGCGGCAGAGCTTCAGGAGAACAAACAGAGAAATCTGATTCATTTACACTGATTGAGAAAATAAACACATTATGATGTTATATCCAGTGATACAATATGTGATTAGCTCAGGTCAGGTGACGCCAATAACATTTACAGATGTGAATATTGATGAGCCTCAGACTTCAAACACTCATTAACACAAACATTCAGGGTCAGCAGCGGATCAGCTCATTTTTCAAAAAGTATTTGCAGGATGAGCTCATCACTATAGTGATTACAACTACAACTGCACTCATATCAGTGTATAGTTTTATTAAGTATTCACACCAATAAAGTAATCAGGTTGTCAGCAGTCGCGCGTCTGTACAGAAGCTGAGAAATCAGAGAAACCGTTGGAAAATAAAGGGCGCCAAAAACAATCTAACGCTGTTTACTGGATTAAAATTCGTATATCTGTCGCAGTACATTTCCATAGCTTCTCTTCAGATACTAACATATGCGATATTACTAATACAAACGCTGAAAAACGTGTACTTACTAACACAAACTCAAACACCAAGTTCATATTGTCCTCTCAGAGCTGCTCTCTGCCTGCTGTATTGTTTTGGTCAGCAGACACACAGATAGAGGTGAACTCACTGCAGAAACTAGTCGCAGATTGTCGCTTTAATAAACTGTAAAGTGTGTTTTATTGTTGTGTAAACACGAGAAAAAGCGTCAACGACTCACCTCAGCTCTGAAGACTCGACGCTGGATGAACGCGTCAGTGCTGACGTCATCACGGCGAGGCGGGAGCAACGGTAGATCAACAAAAAAGCGTCAAATTAAAAGCTGACAAGCCAAAACAATCGCTAATGTAGATATAAACACACACATTATTCTAAATAATTTTTCATTGGACACTTTAAACGTTGTTAAAAATGCATTTAACAAATTTAAAAAGTAATAAATACTTCATGGCTAACAGGCATATGTCCAAAATAATCTATTCCTGAAGAAACTAAAAATTGTTTATAATAATATGTAAGAATACAATTATTTAAAAATAAATAACATGTAAATACATGTAAATGTGGAGGGCGTGGCCCATGCATCCTGTCAGTTTGTTGTAGTAAACGATTATATTCACTTTACACATATATTACGAAGAACAGGCAAGAGTCAGACTGCACTATGGTCAGCAGTATCTTCATAAAACTGATTTATTAAAATAAATGATCAACAAATGAATCTGTCAAGACGGTCTCTACAAGTGAAGGCTTTATCTACACACAATATGAATCTCTAATTAGATAAACACAGCAAAATACTACTTATTAAAATACATAACCAAAAAAAAAGCGGGCTTCATTCCAGACCAGTTCAGCTTGATGACGTATAATGAGTCCGACATCGCCTGTAGACCCATTGAGCAACCGTTTTTTTACAGAAGCGGAACCGATTTAAAAAGTTCAGAGTGATGTGTTTAGTGTCGTAGAATAATTCGTGAAAGTATCTTGAGTTTGTGTTTGCCACCAACCTTATTTCAGCCATTTAACCAAAATCACATTCAAATAACCCACTGACTCTGGGACGAGGGAACCAGAACTGCTAACATGCTAACGGCTTACAGGTGTTTGCATACAAACTGACATCATAGTTTCTCCAGTATATTGATAAGCCATGGTGGGCGTTTCCTATCAGTCTTGCGTTGAAATGTTGTCCAATCAAAACAGAGTGGGTCATCAGCCCAATCACCGCAGATTGGCATCACACAAAGCAAGGGTTTGGAAAGAATGAATTGTGAAGAAATCATATGGGAGTCTTTGGGATCAATCGGTAAAAATAAATGCATATTATAAGACAATAACAGTGTTCTTTGAGCTTGTATTTACATCAGCCTGTTGTTGGAGACCCCAAAACCAAAACAGGACCTTTTATAATGTAAAACAGGGGCTGATTAACTGAGAAATCTGGTGTGTGTGATTATAAAGTAGAGCTTTCAGGAAACTTCATTCCTTCTTTATTAGTGATTTTTTCTACATTGTGGATCTCTACATGTTCATTAAGTGTTGATAATTGTGTGAAACTCTCCCCACACTGAGTGCATATGTACAGCTTCTCTTCAGTGTGAATCATCTGGTGTCGTCTCCAGTCTGTAGCTTTCTTAAAACCCTTCCCACACTCAGAGCACACAAACTCTCTCACTGCAGTGTGGACCTTCTGATGCTCTTTTAAATGTGCCTTCTGTCTAAAAGTCTTTCCACACTCAGAACATAAATAAGGCTTCTCGTTTGTGTGAACTCTAAGATGTCTCCTCAGCTCTGAAGCCCTCAAAAATGTTTTGCTGCACTGATCACATTTGTGTGGCTTCTCTCCGGTGAGGAGCATCATGTGTGATTTCAGGTCTTCTGATCGTCTGAATGTTTTGTCGCAGTGTGAACACTCATAAGGTTTCTCTCCAGTGTGGATCATCTCATGTATTTTCAGGTGTCCTGAACGTCTGAATGTCTTGTTGCAATATGAACACTCGTGCGGTTTCTCTCCAGTGTGGATCTTCTGGTGTTTTTTCAGGTGTTTATTTGTAATAAAACTCTTCCCACACTCAGAGCATGAGAACGGCTTCTCGTTTGTGTGAACTCTAAAATGGTTCTTCAGCTCTGAAGGCTTCAAAAATGTTTTGCCGCACTGATCACATTTGTGTGGTTTCTCTCCAGTGTGGATCATCTTGTGATGTTTAAGGAGACTAGCCAGTCTGAATTTCTCACCGCAGTGTGAACACTCAAAAGATTTCTGTTGAGTGTGGATCCTCTGGTGGCGTTTTAAGTGTTCAGCTCTTCTAAACGTCTTCTCACAGTCCGAGCAGACAAACTCTCTCACACCAGTGTGGATCTTCTGATGGTCTTTTAAATGTGATTTCTGTGTAAAACTCTTCCCACACTCAGAACATATATGAGGCCTCTCGTTTGCGTGAGCTCTAAGATGGATCTTCAGCTCTGAAGCCCTCAAAAATGTTTTGCTGCATTGATCACATCCGTGTGTTTTCTCTCCAGTGTGGATCAGCATGTGTGTCTTCAGGTTTTCTGAACGATTGAATCTGCTGTCGCAGTGTGAACACTTGTAAGGTTTCTCTCTTAAGTGTATTCTCTCATGTGAATTCAGGTTTTCTGAACTACTGAATCTCTTGTCGCAGTGTGAACACTGGTAAGGTCTCTCTCCAGTGTGAATCCTTATGTGAATCTTGAGACTGGATTTGCGGCTGTAACTCTTTCCACACTCAATGCAGGTAAAAGGTTTCACAGCTGTTCTTTCCACTGAAAAACTATCTTCAGCCTCTGATTGAGTTTCTTCTTCCCTCTTGACATGATGTTTCTCCTCATCTTCACTCAGTTCTTCACTCTCCTCCTTAACAATCACATCTGAAAATGAATAAGTCACATTTTAAGAGTCTACAGGGATCTTGCATCTTTTCCAACGTCAAATTTTAGCACTTTTTAAGCACTTTCAATATGTAACCACAGTAAATTGTGATTATATATGCAGTATGTACTTTCTTTCGCATTTAAATCCATTGTGTTTATAAAAATTACACACTATGGCATTTCAACTTAAATTATTGACTACTTTGGAACAGGGGATGCTGAACTAACACACTTTCAGGAGAGAGTTGCCTCAATTGTGGGTGACACTTTATTGTCTGAAGTGGTAGCTGTACCTGTGGGAGACACCAATGTATTATGCCCTGTTTCCACTGAGTGATACGGTTTGGTACGCTTTTATGGCCGTTTCCACTGTTAAAAGGCGTAACGAATCGTACCGTACCACTTTTTAGGCACCCTTTCGAAAGGGTACCAAACACGAGAAAGGATACCAAAAGCTGGAGCTACACGCAGAGCTGAACGTTGATTGTAAGGGTGTCAAAATTAATTGTTTCTTCGGTGCATCAAGATGCAGGCGCGGACAATTCGGTATCGGTTCAGTAATAATCATAACCGGTTATTATGTACTGACGTCATTTATCTCCTATGCGCTCTGTCGTGAGGGAGGTGAGCGACGGTATTTACAACACTCAGCTAAAGGCTGATTTATACTTCTGCGTCAAACGCCGGCGTATGCTACGGCGCTGACGCATAGCCCTGCGCCGTGGCCGTCACTGACGTGCACCTCTCAAAAAATGTAACTACACGTCGCAACAACGCAGAGCGTAAGCTCTGTGATTGGTCGGCTTGGTAGCGCTGACGAGTCAGGGCGGGACCGAGAGCTGCGTGAATGGCGCGAGCGATTGTTTACAAGTGTGGAGTCCCGTGAAGGAGCTCCTGATGGAAAGTTTTGTTTTGTGTTTACCTCATAGTTAAAGTTGTTGCACGTCCGCCGGTTCCTGCCTCACAATGAGCGGGTTTGAGCCACTTGTACATCCCGGAAGTGTTCAGGAAAAGCAGCGGAGAAACTCAACACAGAGGAACATTTACACCTCACTGCCAACTAGCGTTTCGGAAGTGTTAATGCAGACCGACAGAGACAGCGCGCAGAAGTATAAATGCACAGCTACACTCGTTGCATGCGCCGTGGGTCACGCCAGTCACTAGACGCAAAAGTATAAATCAGGCTTAACTCAGGGCCGGCCCGTGGCATAGGCACCATAGGCAAATGCTAAGGGCGCTGTATATCCAGGGAGGCGCCAGAAATGAGCGCGGTTCAGTTGGTTTTGTTTTCTTTATTCCTGACACACATTCAGTTAATGTTATAGACGGCAATAACTCAAAAACCTCTTACCCTAAAAATACCTAAAGTGTGTTTCCTACAAAAAGACAAAGCTGGTTATGCTTCACAGCTGTCTTTCTTTTCACTCGACATTACGAGTTTAAGCCCTCGCAATATGTGTTTAGCCGGGAGAGCTCGCGCTTAGAGGAGCTCTCAGTAAGGGACCGTTGGAAAAGTGCTTCTTTTTTTCGTTTTTTTTTTCCTGCTCCGCTCAGCTCAGCGCAAGCTCTCCCTGTTGCGAGGGCTTTAGTGTGTGTGTGTGTTTGTTAGGTGCTGTCTATGTTTGTGTATGTGTTTGAATGAGAGACAGTGTGTTGCTGTGTGTCTGTGTGTTTATACAGACAGCATGTTATAGCCTCCCCCCTAAAATATAACGTTGTAGATGGAAAGCATCGTCAATGCACCGTGATGCACCGAGATATCGAATTGAACCGAATTGAAGGCATGATAATCGTAACCGAACTGAACCGTGAGACCAGTATAGGTTCACACCTCTAGTTGATTGGTTACAAAGATACGTCACAAGTTCGTGTGTAGCTAGCCAGAATGAAAACAAACGAACCTCTTTGTTTTTATATACAGCTGTGAGATTACAGCTTAATACTATATGCATATAATAACGAGCCATGGATGACCCGAGCTTAAAACAAACCGTTGTCTTGATGAACACACAAAGCTAAGAAGAACAAAATCTCCCGTGGCCTGTTGTTGTTTTACGAGGCCGTCTAAAAGTGGGAGCGGTTTTCGATTTCTTCCGGGAGCTTGCGATCTTTGATATAACAAACTTCTTGAGCGGATGTTAATAACGTGTTCGTGATTATTGAAGTGTCTCCGACATCTGATCCATTCAGAAAGAAAAGGACAAACGCGAGAGTGAAGCACAAATAAAGGAGAATCCCGACAAAACACGAAAGCAAATTGTTTCAGCAACCTGAATCACAAACAAACTGCCATGTTTATCATCGCCTTCTGGACTATTATGGACTCTGAATGATGCAATGACTCTCTAACAGAGCTTACATGTGATGGTGAAGGTTACAGACACAGATGAGAGGTTTGCTCTGACTGTGGGCTATATTGCATGTTGTTTATGAACCTAAATAAGGACTAAATGTCTGCTGTGTGTAGTTTTTCTGTAATTGGTAGCATATCGGAGACTGTAAGGGTTTGTATGTGTTCAAATATGTTCAATAATTTATTTATTTTATATAATTACAGACGTTACAGTAGGCTATTTCACACTGTCATTGATCTGCAGTTATAATCAACTCCTGTTTATAGAAAAGTTAGTAATAAACATTTATACACAAGTATTTATGTGTATGAAGCATCTGTTTTGTGAGAAGTGCTTCTCATATGATATGTGAACGACCTGTAAGGCTTTACTGTAGACATTTGTTTGAGTGAAAATGATGTTGACTGAAACTCTGTCGTACACCACGCCCACCAAAAGGGTAGCCTTGGTAGTGGAAACACAAGCCTGATAAGCATGACCCATACCAACCTATGCCATACTGTACCAGTCAGTGGAAACGGGCTATTAGAGGAACATTTTGTTATGGCGGTATAGCAGCACCCCTTCACTCTTATCAAGGCAGCGCCTCCGGCATTTCAGCTGCCCAATCGCCTGCACTAAAACTGGCCAACACTGCCATTGCCAAAGACTAAGGGTTGTATACTTTTGCAAATGCTTTTATATGTTTTAAATCACATATATTCTGTCAATTAAACCATTTGAACCATTATAAATGAATAGGAATGTTTTTCACATGTGCTGGTGCGATACTTTGTAGTGTGCAATTTACCACAATTGCCTCTTAAGAGGCGCCAATGGAAATAAAAAAAACACACAAGAAATGCACGTCCGCCAGACATGAAGCTGGCACAGACCATTGCACATTCTCACGTTCATTTCATTATCGGAAAATTCAAACGTGAGCCTAAAATCTGACGTAGGCATAGTTTTTGTGCGTACACAGCGTTGATACATGAGACCCCAGGAGATTGGTCAGTTTCACTGCGGTCAGTGAGTGTTCAGTTTTCTCCAGTTATGATCAATACAGCAGCGAAGACGACTGTCAGATTAACAACCTCACTGTTCCTCAGCCTCATTATTGAAGAGTAATGAATGAACACAAACCTATTAGTTCTTCAGTCTCCTCCTGTTTAATTCTGCAGGGTTCTGGATCACTCATCTTCTCACTGTCCTTCAATAAACTCTGTCTTTGTCTTTCACTGATGGCGGCAGAGCTTCAGGAGAACAAACAGAGAAATCTGATTCATTTACACTGATTGAGGAAATAAACACATTATGATGATATATCTTGTGACACAATATGTGATTTGCTCAGGTGACGCCAATAACATTCACTATGTTTGTAGATCTGAATATTGATGAGCCTCAGACTATAAACACTCATTAACACAAACATTCAGGGTCAGCAGCAGATCAGCTCATTTTTCATAAAGTGTTTGCAGGACTAAATGTAAATAAATTTACTGCATTCATATCAGTAAATAGTTTAGGTATTTACACCAATAAAGTAATCAGGTTGTCAGCAGTCGCGCGTCTGTACAGAAACAGAGAAATCAGAAAAACCGTTGGAAAATAAAGAGCGCCAAAAACGTTGTAATAAACGTTGTTTATTGAATTAAAATTCGTATATCTGCAGCAGTATATTCACACTCTTTCCCTTAAGATACTATGCGATTTTACTATTACTGATCAACCAAACACACTAACACAGAAAATCCAAACACTGAGCTCATATTGTCCTCTCGGAGCTCCTCTCTGCCTGCTGTATTGTTTTGGTCAGCAGACACACAGATAGAGGTGAACTCAATGCAGAAACTAGTCGCAGATTGTCGCTTTAATAAACTGTAAAGTGTGTTTTATTGTTGTGTAAACACGAGAAAAAGCGTCAAAGACTCACCTCAGCTCTTAAGACTCGACGCTGAATGAAGGCGTCAGCGCTGACGTCATCAAGGCGAGGCGGGACCAATAGAAAATAGTCAAAAATCCCTAACAAAGCAAAGGAAATTCATTTTAAAATTCTACACAAAATATACCCGGTCAATGCATTTCTCTCATAAATCTGATTTTGCAATTACTGGTTCTTTCTGTCAGGTAAATGAGGAAACTTTGACTTTGACTTGTTTTTTACATGTAAAATCTCACAAAAGTTTAGGTCAAATCTATATAATTATATCAATAAATCACAATCAACAAAACAAATCTTTAAATTGACAGATGTTATTTGTTATTATTCTACTCCCAATAATAAAAATGAAGAATATATACTATATATATATATATATATATATATATATATATATATATATATATATATATATATATATATATATATATATATATAATATATACACACACACACACACACACACACACACAGTTGAAGTCAGAATTATTAGCTCCCCTGTTTATCCCCCCCCAATTTCTGTTTAACAGTGACATTTAACAGTTTTCAGCACATTTCTAATCATAATAGTTTTATTAACTCATCTCTAATAATAACTGATTTATTTTATCTTTGTCATGATGACAGTAAATAATATTAGACTAGATATTCTTCAAGACACTTCTATACAGCTTAAAGTGACATTTAAATGCTTAACTAGGTTAATTAGGTTAACTAGGCAGGTTAGGGTAACTAGGCAAGTTCTTGTGTAATAGTGGTTTGTTCTAGACTATCAGGAAAAAATATATACCTTAAAGGGGTTAATAATTTTGTCCTTAAAATGACTTTTAATTTTTTAAAAACTTCTTTCATTCTAGTCAAAATAAAACAAATAAGACTTTCTACAGATGAAAAAATATTATCAGACATACTGTGAACATTTCCTTGCTCTGGTAAACACTGTTTCGAAAATATATAAAAAAAAAAGAGAAAAAATTCAAAGGGGGCTAATAATTCTGACTTCAACTATATATATATATATATATATATATATATATATATATATATATATATACACTTTTGACTTTTTTTTAGTATATGTAAAATTCTTTATACACAAAAATTTTTTTCTTAAATCCACTCTCTCATTTGCCCATTTGTAATTGAAATTGATCCTTTGCTTAAAGCTATAGACTTATCTAAGAGCAAAAAATCTTCAAGTTAATAAAAACCTATAAAAGTATGTTTTATTTTTATTAAATCTCGTAATTCCCCTTTCTTTATTTTTCTTTCTATTATTGTTCTTATCACCTTGTAATTGTATGTACTTGTATTTCAGTGTCCTACAGATTACTTCCTGATTTATATTGTACATTTCTTCTTTTCTAAATAAAAGTTTATTTAAAAAAAGAAGAAACAAAAGCACTGTTTAAAGCATTTTTTACAGTCGCTAATGTATGTAAAAACACCTTAATCAATTAAAGTAAAACTTTTAATTAGGCACTTTATTAAAATTATCTTAAATTTAAAAACAAACGTAGGCTGTCACAAGATGGCTGACAGACATTTAACAAAACTGATCTGTTCCAGAAGAATCTAAAATGTAAGAACACAATTATTTATTCATCCATCAAGAAAATGATGAAAATATCATTACATTAATTCGTTAATGTTAAACGAACACATTAAAATGTCACTTTACACACACACATCTGAATTAAGAACAGGCAAGACTGAGACAGTATCGTCATAAAATCATTTTATTAAAATAAACAATCAACAAACTAATCTGTCATGACTGTCTTTACAAGTAAAGGCATATTCATTTTATTTTCGGGTTAGTCCCTTTATTAATCTGGGGTCGCCACAGCGGAATGAACCACCAACTTATCCAGCGGATGCCTTACTATGTGCAACCTATCACTGGGAAACACTCATACACCATACCTGCCAACATTTATCTCTGAAAATCTGTGAGACCGGGGTTGTATCTGTGTCCATTACAATTTTGAGACTTTACAGGGGCTGGAAAAACCGAAAAGGTGGAGAGAGGGGGGAGGGGGTGCCTGTGGAGGATGTGTCTGTGTCCAACTCTTTACAGAGGCTAAAGAAACTGAAAAGTGGAGGTTGTTAAGCCCCCTTTCCACTGCACACAACATTTAGACACAACTGTCAGAGTACGCCCCCTTGTGGCAGTCACACAGAATTTTCAGTTCTGATGTGCACCATGGGAGGACCAAGCTGTTCTAGTGTCCGAAATAAAGGAGTGCAAAAGCAAGAGCCTATATTCTCTGTGCTAAAAAAAATTGGAGGAAATGTGGAGACAACATTAAAAAAATCATCATCATCATTATTTTCATTCGCTTATCCAGAGCTGGGTTGCGGGGGCAGCAGTCTTAGGAGAGAACCCCAGAATTACCTCTCCCCAGACACTTCTTCCAGCTCCTCCGAGGGATCCCGAGGCTTTCCCAGGCTAGCCGAGAGACATAGTGGGACATGCCTGGAACACCTCCCTAGGTAGGCATCCAGGAGGCATCCGCAACAGATGCCCAAGCCACCTCAGCTGACTTCTCTCGATGTGGAGGAGCAGCAGCTCTACTCTGAGCTCCTCCCGGGTGTCAGAGCTCCTCACCCGGTTTATAAGAGTGCGCCCTAAAACCCTGTGAAGGAAACTCATTTCAGCCGCTTGTAGCTGAGATCTTGTCCTTTCGGTCATGACCCAAAGCTCATGACCATAGGTGAGAGTAGTAACATAGATTGACCAGTAAATCAAGAGCTTTGTCTTTCAGCTTAGCTCCTTCTTCACCACAATGGTCCGGTACATCGACCGCATTACTGCTACCGCTGCACCAATCTGCCTTTCAACTTCACAGTCCATCCTTCCCTCACGCGTGAACAAAACCTCAAGATACTTGAACTCTTCCACCTGGAGTAAGGTCTTTCCTCCAACCTGGAGATGGCAAACCACCTCGCCCAGTATGGCGCAGCTGGGGCACCACCCACGAGTTGGGGCTCGTATGCGGGCGCCTGGTGGCCGGGTTTTTTTTCCATGAAACCAGGCCGGGTTCAGCCCTAAGGAGCGACATGGGACCATCCTTCTTTAGGCCCACCACTTATAGGGAGAGTCGTAAGGGGGTTGGTGCATTGTGGAACAGGCGGTGGTCGAAGGTTAGGACCAAGACATTAAAAATGATATTTTTACTACTTTATTACTTACATTTATAAACAGAAAGGTTTTTACTGTCGAGTTGCAGGAGTTAAAATATTTCAACAGATCTGCGACTCAATTCGGATCCGAATTTTTACGTATACAGAGATGATCGGAAATCGACGCAGCTCCCTGACTACTCTCCATTAGAAATGAATGAATTCCGGTCTGACACTTGTCATGTGCAGTGGAAAGGATGCTCTAAATATTATACCAAACACCTGAGGAGCGGGGGAAGGAGTTGAAATTTCGGGAGTTTTTCGGGAGAAATGACAAACCGGAAGGTAAGTCTGACATACGGGAGACTCCCGGGAAAAACGAGTGTTGGCAGGTATATCATACACTCTCATTCACACACATACACTACAGACAATATTAGCCTACCCAATTCACCTGTACAGCATGTCTTTGGACTTGTGGGGAAAACCGGAGCACCCACATGGAAACCCACACAAACACGTGGAGAACATGCAAACTCCACACAGAAATGCCAATTAACCAAGCCAAGGCTTGAACCAGCGACCTTCTTGTTGTAAAGTGACAGCACTACCTACTGCGCTACCGCGTCGCTCTCTACACACAATATGAATCCCTAATTAGATAAACACTACAAACTATGAAACACTATTATCGAAAATACTGAACCAAAACAGACAAAATCCAAACGCCCAACACAAGCTGTAAAAGCGGGCTTCATTCCAGACCAGTTCAGCTCGATGACGTATAATGAGTCTGTAGACCCATTGAGCAACCATCATTTTACAGAAGCAAAACCAATTTAAAAAGTCAAGAGTGATGTGTTTAGTGTCGTAGAATAAATCGTGAAAGTATCTTGAGTTTGTGTTTGCCACCAACCTTATTTCAGCCATTTAACCAAAATCCCATTCAAATAACCCACTGACTCTGGGACGAGGGACCCAGAACTGCTAACATGCTAACTGCTTACAGGGTTCTGCATACAAACTGACGTCATAGTTTCTCCACTATAATAATAAGCCGTGGTGGTTGTTTCCTATGAGTCTTGCGTTGAACGCAATCAACCAATCACAGCAGATTGGCGTCACACAAAAGAAGAGTTTGGAAAATATTAATCGCTAAACAAATCATATGGGAGTCGTTGGGGTCATTTGGTAAAATTAACTGCATATTATAAGACAATAACAGTGTTATTTGAGCTCGTGTTCACATCAGCCTGTTGTTGGAGACCCCAAAACCAAAACAGGAGCTTGTATAATGTATAACAGGGGCTGATTAACTGCGAAATTTGGTGTTTGTGAATATACAGTAGAGCTTACAGGAAGGGAAATTTCATTCTGCTTTTTCTCTGCAGTGTGGCTCAGCATATGTTTATTAAGGTCTGATGATTGGACAAAACTCTTCCCACACTGAGTACATGTGAATGGTCTCTCTTCTGTGTGAGTCATCTGGTGTCGTTTCAAGTCTGCAGCTTTAATAAAAGTCTTCTCACACTCAGAGCGGACAAACTCTCTCGCACCGGTGTGGGTCTTCTGATGTTTTTTTAAATGTGATTCTTGTTTAAAACTCTCTCCACACTCAGAACACGGATAGGGCCTCTCGTTTGTATGAACTCTAAGATGGTTCTTCAGGTGTGAAGCCCTAAAAAATGCTTTACCGCAGTGACCACATTTGTGTGTTTTCTCTCCAGAGTGGCTCATCTCATGTGTATTCAGGTGTTCTGGACGTCTGAATCTCTTGTCGCAGTGTGAACACTCGTACGGTTTCTCTTCAGTGTGGCTCCTCTCATGTGTTTTCAGGTGTCCTGAATGTCCGAAGGTTTTGTCGCAGTGTGAGCACTTGTACGGTTTCACTTCAGGGTGAATCATCTTGTGTTCTTTCAACTGTCTATTTGTAAGAAAAGCCTTCCCACACTCTGAACATGGATACGCCGACTCCATTGCATGAACTCTCAGATGGATCTTCAGATCTGAAGGCCTAAAAAATGTTTTGCCGCACTGCTCACATTTGTGTGGTTTGTTTCCAGTGTAGAGCAGCAGGTGTCCATTAATGTTTGATATTTGTGTCAAACTCTTCCCACACTGAGTACAAGTGTACGGGTTCTCTTCAGTGTGAGTCATTTTGTGATGTTTAAGGGTACCGGCCAGTATGAACGTGCTGTTGCAGTGTGAACACTCATAAGTGTTCTCTTCAGTGTGGATCGTCTGGTGTCGTTTTAGATGTTCAGCCCTTTTAAAACTCTTTCCACAGTCAACGCACACAAACTCTCTCACATCACTGTGGATCTTCAGATGCTCTTTTAAATGGGATTTCTGCGTAAAACTCTTTTCACACTCAGAGCATGGATAAGGCCTGTCGTTTGCATGGACTCTAAGATGGTTCTTCAGCTCTGAAGGCCTCAAAAATGTTTTGCTGCACTGATCACACTTGTGTGTTTTCTCTCCAGTGTGGATCAGCATGTGTTCATTAAGGTTTCCTGAACAACTGAATCTCTTGTCGCAGTGTGAACACTTGTAGGGTTTCTCTCCAGTGTGGATCATCATGTGAATCTTGAGATAGCATTTGCTGCTGAAACTCTTCCCACACTGAGTGCAGGCGGAACATTTCGCAGCTGTTTCTTCCACTGAAAGACTATCTTCATTCTCTGATTGAGCTTCTTTTTCACTCTTGACATGATGTTTCTTCTCATCTTCACTCAGTTCTTCACTCTCCTCCTTTACATCTGAAAATTAATAAGTCACATTTTAAGAGTCTTGTAGTGCAAAAATGAAACTGCATTGAACACAATATAGTGCAAAAAGAATAACTAGCTTATCCTGAAGTAGGCTTAACAAGGTAGGTAGGTAGATATTGACATATAACTGAATATAAAAAACTGTAAAGATGCCCTTTTGAATTGTAAATTTTAAAGATGTTGATTTCAATTTGCTTTAAACTGTAAAGATGTCATTTTACATTGTAAAAATACCGTTTAAATTGTAAAGATGCCGTTTTAAATTGTAAAGATTTTGTTTTAAACTGTAAAGATGCCGTTTTAAACTATAACGATGTCTTTGATGCTGCCATTTTAAATTGTAACGATAACATTTTAAACTGTAAAGATGTCGTTAATGTTGTAAAGACGCCATTTTAAACCAAAACTGTTGTGAAATTCTAAGACGACCCAAGAATCACAGCAGAATCCATTAATGACAAGAACTCAGCGTCACTGTAGCGTCATCGAATAAACTCTGGACTAGTACAGCAGACATTCAGTTCTAATGCATTTTTACGACATCGCCGTTTTAGTCTGTAAAAATGTCGATTTAAGTTGTCAATTTTAAAGATGCTGATTTAAATTCGATTTAAACTGTAAAGATGTGGTTTTAAACCATAAAGACTTTGTTTTAAATTTTAAAGATGCTGTTTTAAATTGTAAAGATGCCTGTTTAAACTGTAAAGATGCTGTTTAAATTGTAAAAACGTCGATTTAAATTAAAAATTGTAAAGATGTTGATTTAAATTCGCTTTAAACTGTAAAGATGTAGTTTTAAATTGGAAAAATACTGTTTAAAATGTAAAGATGCCGTTTTAAACTAAGTATATCTTTGATGCTGTTTTTACATTTTAAACTGTAAAGATGTCGTTGATGTTGTAAAGATGCTGTTTTAAACTGTAAAAATGTTGTTGATGCTGTAAAGATGCCAATTTAAACTGTAAAGATGTTGTTAATGTTGTAAAGCTGCCATTTTAAACCAAAACTGTTGTGAAATTCTAAGACGACCCAAAAACCAGGTAGAACTTTTGGGTATCTTCAAAGCAAAATCCTTTAATGATAAGAACTCAGCGTCGCTGTGGCGTCATCGAATAAACTCTGAACGAGTAAAGCAGACACTCAGTTTAAATACATTTACATACAGGAAGGATGGTCAAAGACTAAGATAACAGGATTGGTTTGCACAACAGAGGGCAGTGGGGCATATGGTACTTTAATTATTTTATTTTTTTATAAAAATGTTATTAAAATTACTGATTTTATGGAATCATATTTATATTAGGAGGTATTTTAGGATTAGATTTTAATGTGTATGTATGTTTCATGTTGTCTTGTTGGTGTCGATGTACAGCAGAACCTTTTTTTCTAAAACAAATTTCTCCTACGGTAGACAATAAATTTTACCTTGACCTACCTTGACCTTGACCTTGATTTACACACATTGCCGTTTTAAACTGTAAAAATGTCGAATTAAATTGTCAATTTTAAAGATTTTGAATTAAATCTGTTTTAAACTGTAAAGATGCTGTTTTAATCTGTAAAAATACCGTTTAAATTGTAAAGATGACGTTTTAAACTGTAAAAATGTCGACTTAAATGGTAAATGTTAAAGATTTTGTTTTACATTTGCTTTACACTGTAAAGTTGCCATTTTAAACTGTAAAGATGCTGTTTTAAATTTTAGAGTAATCACAATACTGTGAAACCATGATAAATAAGAGCATTGGTGGTTGCCTGAGATGTGTAAGTGGTCAAATATGTTTGCACTTTCACTTTTAAGATGTGGCCCCTTCATAGACACGACACATTTAAGGGTGCACTCTCACTAGGTTGCCTTGAACAGAGCAAAGGTGACTTCAAAAGGTGACTTATGCAAGACCTGGATGTGTTTGTGGTTGGGTAGTTGTGTTTGTTAATTATTTGCTTTTTTTCCAGGGTTAAAATATATAAAGTGTCAATAAATGCCATGACACTGAGTGAAGAAGCCCCATTGGTCCATGTGAAGGGTGTCAGACTCGAGGGCTGATTTTACTTTGTGGAGGAATAAATGCAAATTTCTGGAAAGGGGGAGGCATTCTTCTTCTCTTGTTTTATTTTACTGGTTTGCTGGTGTCATACGTAGGGCGAGGCTTATGATGACATTTGATCTCAATTCCTGTTTTTTCATAATCAATGGGGAGGCCAAAATCAAAACTAAACTAAATTGACATATTGTGCAGCGCTAGTAAAAGAAATGTTTCAATCCAGCAAAATGGTTGCCTCCTTTTCTCCAGCTTGCAAAATATGTGTTTAATTGTGTGTAGTAACTTGTATTCGCTCCGCTTGTACTGAATCTCTCTGGTTAACTCTTTATGGGACTATTTATAGACTGATCCACCTTTTAGAACACATAATAGGGGCTCTTTACCATCTAATGAGAGCAAGTATTCATACAGTCATTACATGTAAACGCTACAATGGCACTGAATGCGCAACACGTTTGCGGCGAACGCACTGAATTTGTTTCAATCATGTCTTTCGCTCAAGTTCAAGATATTAAACTCAAATTTGCATGCAGTGACTAGCATTGAAGTGTCTTGTGCATGTTACTGATTGTATTGAACATGCTTATAAACTGGAATCAAGACACTGAGAAACAACAGTATCTGAACACACCGACACTCATCAGTCACTGAAGGAGAAAACTCAAGCTTATTCACAGAGAGAGCTGGAGATTGGTCAGTTTCACTGCGGTCAGTGAGAGTCCAGTTTTCTCCAGTTATGATCAACGCAGCAGCGAAGACGAATGTCAGATTAAATAATAATGAATAAAAACAAACCTATTAGTTCTTCAGTCTCTTCCTGTTTAATTCTGCAGGGTTCTGGATCACTCATCTTCTCACTGTCCTTCAATAAACTCTGTCTTTGTCTTTCACTGATGGCGGCAGAGCTTCAGGAGAACAAACAGAGAAATCTGATTCATTTACACTGACTGAGGAAAAAAACATGATGTTATATCTTGTGATAATATGTGATTTGCTTGAGTCAGGTGACTCCAGTAAAATTAACATATATTTGTAGATCTGAATATTGATGAGTCTCAGACAAGGAATGGGCAGTATTTACACTTTATGCTTTAAATTGGCATTTTGTAATTTGTATTTTATGAAGTTTATGAAAATGGCTTAATATTTTGTATCAAAATACTTCAGTGTCTTGTATTTTTAAAATACAGTAAAATACTTTGTGAAGATGGCATCATGAGGGAAGAACATTATGTAGAAATACTGAAGACATCAGCCAGGAAATTAAAACTTGGCCACAAATGGGACTTCCAAACAGACCATGAGTGTAAGCATACTGCCAAATTAGTTCAACTGTGCTTTAAGGACAACAGAGTGAATGTTTTGGAGTGGCCATCACAAAGCCCTGATGTCAATCCCATAGAAAATTTGTGGGCAGAGTTGAAAAAGCTTGTGCGAGCAAGATGTTTGGTATTTTATTTTAAAATGCATTTCAATGTATTATTGCCCATCCCTGCCTCAGACTATTACTCATTAAACAAACATTCAAGATCAGCTCATTTTAGACAGAGTTTGCAGGATGAGCTCATTACTATTGTAATTAATTAAAAACTGCATTTATATCAGTATATAGTTTATGTATTCACACCAATAAAGAAATCGCGAGCAGTCGCGCGTCTCAACAGAAACTGAGAAATCAGGACAAACCGTTGGAAAATAAAAAAAGAGCGCCAAAAACTATTTAACGTTATGTTTCTGGATCAATAGCATATTCCCATCGTTTCCCTTAAGATACTTTGCGATATTACTAATACAAACAAGAGAAGAACTCAAACACACTAACGTTAACAAAGTAAACCCAAACACTGAGCTCAAATCTTCCTCTCAGAGCTGCTCTCTGCCTGCTGTATTGTTTTGGTCAGCAGACACACAGATAGAGGTGAACTCAATGCGGAAACTAGTCGCAGATTGTCGCTTTAATAAACTGTAAAGTGTGTTTTATTGTTGAGTAAACACGAGAAAAAGCGTCAACGACTCACCTCAGCTCTGAAGCCTCGACGCTGATTGAACGCGTCAGTGCTGACGTCATCACGGCGAGACGGGAGCGATGACTGTATAAAATGGGCGGGAGCAACATCAACGGTGGAGCAACAAAAACGCGGCAAATTTGACCAGTCTAGCCAAAAGCAACACACTATCATATCATTTATTCTGCTCACCAGATCTGTTGTTGATAAAGGCTGAATTACAGCAAAACTTGACGAAAGTGATAGAGATGTATCACATTGTATTTTGAAGCTATGTTGTCAAAGACAATAGCTACGTTTCCATCCAAAAATGCGAATAAACTTTATGCGCAAAACTGGATTATCGCATAAAAGTTGTGCGAATGAAGCGGCGTTTCCATCCAACGAGTCAAAGCGAACAAAATCGTCACTTCCTGATTAACTGGCGCCAAATATCAACAGTAAAAACTGCATTTGCTGCAGTAGGAGAAGCTGCATCAATCTTTTTTAAATGAATGCGCCTCAGAAGACAATCCTGACAAGCAGTGAGCGCGCAGTGGTGTTTGAAGGTGTCAGACGCGGAGCACAGGCGCTCTAGATTCTGGAGGTCATTAATAATATAATAACATTAATACTGAAATGGTAAAGCGTTTTATAATGACCAGAACAACATTTCAGATGTTTTATAATGTGCTCAGCCTGACGTTTTATCCATTCACACACATTTTAAGCATCACATGATCTCTTTTAACAAAATCACATGACCTTTTTTAAAGCGCATGCTGGAGTTTGTGCGGTAAAAGTGTTTCCATCGCAGTTTATGCACATCTTTTCTTATCAAATAAAAAGTTTATCCTACCCAGTTAGGCGCATAAGTTTTTTATGCGCATTTTCAAAATTGATGCACATCATGGCGTTTCCATCAACTGTTTTTTTTATGCGCATTTGCAAAATAGGTGGATGGAAACATAGCTATTGAATCCAGGATTTAGTATCAGCCTCTGTATGAACAGATGACAGTTGAGCTGAGTGATTTGATGAATCAGCATCTAGATGTGTTTGTTGAAACACGCTTCAAATTTCATAATAAACACGATACATTAGCAAAAGATGTAGTTAAACATACCTTATACCTCTTCAGACTGGAGATGAGTAAATGTGTAATCTGTAAATCTTGCATTTTGCGTCCTGAGGCGAGTTTGAAACATGTCTCGCACTGTCGTTACTCTGTAACATAAAAGTCCCACATTCATAATAAGTGAAATATAAGCTTAAAATAACTAAGGGAGGAAAATGATCACTGTTGTATCACTAGAAAACATTTGACATCAAACGCAGCCTGAGGCGTGCAAATTAATGATCTCAGAGCTTTTGTATGATCTTAGAGCTGAATACGAGTCGTGTTCTCTTGATGTCAGCTGCTCGCCAGGTCCGAATGAATGACCTAAAGTAGGCATACATGTAAATGTGGAGGGCGTGGCCCGTACGTCTTGTCACAGTTTGTTTTGTCTTCAGAATGATCTGATTAAAAACTCAGAGTTTTCAGTTTCAGAATAGCGGATCTGAATTCGGTCAATCAACTTTGATTAGACCAACTCAGAGTTAAGCGCGCGCACCACAACTATAAAAAGGCATCATCAATGGAGTGCAGATATTACGAGTGACCTTAGCAACATCTGGAAAAAAGAGATCACCATTTCTTTCTCCAGCTGAACTTGATGTGATCATGCAAAGTTATAGCAAATATGAGCGTATATATTTGAAAAGAAGCAACCATCAGTGAAACTGAGACAGCCTGGGAAAACAGCTGCTCAAGTTAATGCATAATTTTACATTTAAGGTATTTAAATATTGAAGTATAATAAAATAAGTAATGTAATGTGTGACGTTTATAATCTTTTTGTAAAGTTTTATACACGTTTATCAGTTTTAATAGATTTAACAGTGCACTTGTGTGTCTGCCTTTTTTGTTGATCAAGTGATAGAGGTTGATATAACATTTATAATGTAAGCAGAACTAATTAATAGTTTTTAGAAAGAATAATAATCCCATTAATCTAGTAACAGTACATGCCTAAGGTCAGTGAATTTAAGCTAATTATTTATTAAAAAAGGACAAGCCATTCTCGTACATGACTTTGCTTTGTGTGGCTGAAATGTAGGCAATATGTTTCCATCCAAATATATTACATACATTTATGTGCAAAACTGGAATATTGCAGATGCGAATAAAGCAGCGTTTGAAGCCATAAGACGCGGAGACTCTTGACACGCTCCAGAAACTCAGAGGTAATTAATAATATACACTAATACTGAAACAGTTCAGGCATTTTAGAATGACTAAAACAACATTTAAGACGTGTTACAGTGTGCTCAGCCTGCTGGTTTGTCCATTCACACACAATTTCATCATCATATGATCATGACCTTTTTTAAAGGACATACTGTAATTTGTTCAGTAAAAGTGTTTCCATTGCAGTTTATGCGCATCTTTTCTATCGAATAAAAGTTTATCCTACTCAGTTATGCATGTTTTTTATGCGTATTTTCAAAAGTTAAGTGCATCATGATGTTTCCATCAATCGTTTTTATGCACATCTCTAAAATGAGCATTAAAATAGGTGGGTGGAGACGTAAGGCTAAGGCGAGAAATAGCGATTCGTCTTTAAAAAAAGGGGAGGAGACCGACAGAAACTCTGAGTTTAGAGAATAACACCTGCTCCTGACCAGGTTAGGTTTACAGAGTAAGTGACCACGGTAACTGACTTTGAGTTAAAGTTACCTCTCTTTCAGAAACAGGCTTGACTTACCCTGCTTTCTCCAGTTTGACAAACCTGCCATTCTGAAACAGAAAACCCAGTTTCTCTCATTTCAGGGTTAAAATAATCAGAGTTTACACTTAACCTCCTTTCTGAAACAGGTCCCGGTTGTCCACTGGAGTTTTATACTTATGGAATTCACATGAGAACAAGGAAACAGTGGTGCTTGAGGCTCACAGTATGCCCTTTTCTTGTATTATTCTACTATGCCTTGGTATACCAAGATTTTCATTATAAGACCCCTTAGATCATGTTTAAATGTCAGCAATCAAATATATACACTTTACACACTTATTCACACATTAGTATTACAAAGAACAGGCGAGAGTCAGACTGCACTATGGTCAGCAGTATCTTCATAAAATCATTTTATTAAAATAAACGATCAACATCTCATGACGATCTCTACAAGTGAAGGCATTATCGATACACAATGTGAATCTCTAATTAGATAAACGCATCAAAATACTATTTCTAAAACTAAATAAATAACCAGAAAGCAGAAAAAAAAGCGGGCTTCATTTCAGACCAGTTCAGCTCGATGACGTAAAAGTCCGACATCGCCTGTAGACCCATTGAGCAACTTTTAAAAGTCAAGAGTGATGTGTTTAGTGTCGTTGTATAAATCGTGAAATCTTAAGTTTGTGTTTGCCACCAACCTTATTTAAGCCATTTAACCAAAATCCCATTCAAATAACCCACTGACTCTGGGACGAGGGAACCAGAACTGCTAACATGTAGGGATGGCTGACGTGAAACTGACGTTTCGACACAGTGTCGAGATCCCGAAGCGCAAGTGTTTCGAAACACTGCACCGAAGCACCCAAGTCACGTGACTAAAGTGATTCGAAACACCTGGTCACGTGACTAAAGCGATTCAAAACATTGATCATCTTAAAAGCGTTTCGAGACCTGGCGAATCTCCATTTGGCTGCCAAGGTCGAAAAAATTATCGTTTCATATGGCCTAGTGCAGGCTTCCCAAACTTTTCAGCTCGCGACCCCCATTTTTCAAGGTGGTTGTACTGTAAATATGTAAACGTTGCAGACACAACTATAGGCAAATATAAACATGAGCTTATTTACAACCAAAAAATGCAACAGTCTATTAGCCATATAATGTTTTTTAAAATCAATTATGGATTTAATTACATTTTGCTTTTAAAATTAAAGGCTGATGGCTGATTGTTATTTTTATGTTGTTGTTTCTTTAATGCAACTATTAACTATATTCTGTCGGTTATGAATAAAACATGGTAATTCTAATAGTTTAATAAAATTTATTTGAGTTTTGGATATCACCAAGCGACCCCTTGTCATTGTCCCGCGACCCCCCAGGGGGTCCCGACCCCCACTTTGAGAACCACTGGCCTAGTGGACTGTACGTGTGCACGCTGATATTGTGCTTCGAATGATGTTTTGGGTTTGAATCCCGACTTGTACAAATACTCTGAAATCATGGTTTCATGTATTTTAATCATGTTTCTGTTTTGTGTAGCCTAAATAGGATACAGCTGCAGTTACGCCCTCAATATAGCATCAGTTTTGTAACACTGTAAAACTATAATTAATAATTTTACAGTACTGTGATGGTTGGGTTTGGGTAGATGTTAATAAAATACAATAAATGGGAAATGGAATGAATAATATAAATAATTCTTGATAATTTCAGGCCACAGTTTCTGATCTAGCATTAGATCCCTGTTTTAAGACCAAACAAGACATATTTATTTACAAATTGTTTATTCGGATGTCAGACCAATGTTGAAACAAAACGATACAAGAGCAATGCATTGCCAACTGGTATTAAAGCATTTCAAAACTATATTGACCTGGATTCAATCCCACTATCCCTGCATGGTGGACAAACACCTTAACCACTCCACTATGTTACTTTAAGGCTGAAGCATGCAAAGTGGGGTTTAATGCCTAAGTTTGCTCAACTGTTCTTTGCCGCAGCTGTTTCAGTGCAATACATAAAAAATGACCACTAGGTGTCACTGTAGAGTGAAGATTCGAAACGTTTCGAAGCTTCGACACATTTGCTTCGACTGTTTCAGTGTTTCACGAAGCCTCGCTTTGCCCACCACTGCTAACATGCTAACTGCTTACTGGTTTTTGCATACAAACTGATGTCATAGTTGCTCCAGTATATTCATAAGTCGTGGTGGGCGTTTCCTATCAGGCTTGCACTGAACGCAGTCGACCAATCACAGCAGACTGCGTCATCAGACCAATCACCGCAGATTAGCGTCACACACAAAGGGTTAGAAAAAATTAATTGTGAACAAATCATATGGGAGTCGTTGGGATCAATCTGTAAAAATAAATGCATATTATAAGACAATAACAGTGTTTTTTGAGCTTGTATTCACATCAGCCTGTTGTTGAAGACCCCAAAACCAAAATAGGACCTTTTGTAATGCATAACAGGGGCTGATTAGCTGAGAAATCTGATGTGTGCTTGAATATAGAGTAGAGTTTACAGAAAGGGCAATTTCATTGTGTTTTTTTTATTCGTGATTTCTTTCTCCAGTGTGAGTCCTCTCATGTGTTTTCAGGTGTCCTGAACGTCTGAATGTTTTGTCGCAGTGTGAACACTTGAAATCTCCAGTGTGACTCCTCTGGTGTCGTCTCAAGTCCGCAGCTTTAAAAAAACTCTTCCCACACTCAGAGCACACAAACTCTTTCACACCAGTGTGGATCTTCTGATGGTATTTTAAATGTGTCGGATGTCTAAAACTCTTCCCACACTCAGAGCATGAATACGGCCTCTCGTTTGAATGAACGCTAAGATGTCTCTTCAGCTCTGAAGCCCTCAAAAATGTTTTGCTGCACTGATCACATCTGTGAGTTTTCACTCCAGTGTGAACCAGCATGTGTTCATTAAGGTGTGACATTTGTGTGAAACCTTTCCCGCACTGAGTACATGTTAATGGTTTTTCTCCAGTGTGAATCATCTGGTGCATTTTCAAGGCTCTAGCTGTAATAACAGTCTTTCCGCACTCAGAGCAGGAATAAGGCCTCTCACTTGTATGAACTCTAAGATGGTTCTTCAGCTCTGAAGCCCTCAAAAATGTTTTGCTGCACTGCTCACATTGGTGTGTTTTCTCTCCAGTGTGGATCAGCATGTGTGTTTTCAGGTTTCCTAAATTATTGAATCTCATGTCGCAGTGTGAACACTTGTAAGGTCTCTCTCCAGTGTGGATTCTCATGTGTGTTTTCAGGTTTCCTGGATGAATAAATATCCTGTGGCAGTGTGAACATCTGTGAGGTTCCTCTCCAGTGTGGATCATCATGTGTGTTTTCAGCTTTACTAAATAATCAAATCTCATGTCGCATTGTGAACACTTGTAAGGTTTCTCTCCAGTGTGGATCATCATGTGACGCTCGAGATAGCATTGGTGGCTGAAACTCTTTCCACACTGGGTGCAGGTCAAACAGTTCACAGCTGCTCTTTCCACTGAAAAACTATCTTCAGTGTTTGTGTGAGTATCTTCTTCACTCTTGACATGATGTTTCTCCTCGTCTTCACTCAGTTCTTCACTCTCCTCCTTCACAATCACATCTGAAAATGAATAAGTCACATGTTGAGTCTAGTTTTTCTCTGTACAGTCAAAAGATCATAAATAAGAGCATTTGTGTTTGGCTGAGATGTGTAAGTGGTCAAATATGTTTGCACTTTGGCTTTTAAGATGTGGCTCCTTCATAGACATGACACATTTAAGGATGCACTCTCACTAGGTTGTCTTGAACAGAGCAAAGGTGCGATTGTCACAACTGACAGACGCCAAGTTCAAAAGGTGACTTATGCAAGAACTGGATGTGTTTGTGTTTGGGTTGTTGTTTTTAGTAATTATTTGCTTTTTTCCAAGTTTAAAATATTACAAGTGTCAATAAATGCCATGATATTGAGTGAAGAAGCCCCATTGGTCCATGTCAAGGGTGTCAAACTCAAGGCTTGCAGGTCAAACTCATTTTATATGGCCCAAAAGAGCCCGATTCTAAGTTTTGACCTTCCATGCAGGGCAGATTCTCTGGCGTTTGTCGCTGCTATGGGCACACTCCAAGAGTGTGGATTAACTTTTGATATTGGTGGAGACCTAATTTAATAAAAGTGATTGTACTTTGTTGACGAACGAATGCAAACTTCTGGAAATGGGAGGCATTCTTCTTATCTTCTTTTATTTTACTGGTGGGCTGGTGTCATACGTAGAGGAAGGCTTATGACCACATTTTATCTACATTTTTCTTTCATAATCATTGTGGAGGTCAAATTCAAAACTAAATTGTGTATTTGCACAGCCATGGTTAGTATTATGGCTTTTTTTTCCATCTCACATTGAACGCAGTTGACCAATCACGACATACTGGGTCACCAAGATATGACCTTTTATAACGCATAACAGGGGCTCTTTAACATCTAATGCGTAGTATTTATAATATTAATAAAAAGTATTTATGCGAGAGGGGATTACTTACACAGTCAACGCAACAACGTGAATGACGCTGAATGTGTGACGGGTTTGCATTGAATGCACAAAATTAGTGTCCATCATGTCTTTTGCTCAAGTTCAAGATAATGAAGTTGCAGTGAAAACATCCCACGAGTAATGAATGAACACAAACCTATTAGTTCTTCAGTCTCTTCCTGTTTAATTCTGCAGGGTTCTGGATCACTCATCTTCTCACTGTCCTTCAATAAACTCTGTCTTTGTCTTTCACTGATGGCAGCAGAGCTAAAGGAGAAGAAACAGAGAAATCTGATTCATTTACACTGATTGAGGAAATAAACATGATGTTATATCTTGGGATACAATATGTGATTTGCTCAAGTCAGGTGACGCCAATAAAAATCACCTTGAATAAGTACATCTGAATATTGACTATAGACTAGGTTAGGCAGCAGAAAAGCTCATTCTTTACTGTTTGCAGGATAAACTCTTTATTATTGTAACTATTAAAGTAAAAAATTGCATTCATATAAAAAAATAGTTAAGTATTTATACCAATAAAGCAATTAGATTGCTAGCACTCACATGTATATGTATGGTTTAACAACATAACTGGACTGAAGCAGTTTTCATTGACTAAAACTTCTATGTTACGCTGTTTTAACATAATCTACATTGTGAAAGCGCTGTAGAAACAAAGATGAACTGAACTGAAAACAAAAACTGGGAAATCAGACAACCATTGGAAAATTAAGTGCACCACTAACTATTTATTTGATATATTCTGCATTAAACTTATTATATCTGCCCCATTATTTCTCTTCACAGATCATACTTGACGATAATACAAATACAAACACGGTAAAACCCAAACACATTCACTCATATAGTCCTCTCAGAGCTTCTCTCTGCCTGCTGTATTGTTGTGGTCAGCAGACACACAGATAGAGGTGAACTCAATGCAGAAACTAGTCGCAGATTGTCGCTTTAATAAACTGTAAAGTGTGTTTTATTGTTGTGTAAACACGAGAAAAAGCGTCAACGACTCACCTCAGCTCTGAAGACTCGACGCTGGATGAACGCGTCAAGCAGCTGCTGACGTCATCACGGCAGGCGGGAGCAACAATGAAGTAAAAAAAATGCGGCGAATTAAAAGCTGACAAGCTAAAACAATCGCTGAGGTAGACTAAAACCACACATTATATTATCATGCGAGGTAAAAACACACAGAGTATGATGTACACTGAACACGGACAAATATAAACCCAATCACAGTTACTTTATTTCATTTTGCTCACCAGATCTGTTGTGGATAAAGGCTGAATTACAGCAAAACTTGACAAAAGAGTGATAGAGATGTATTGCATTGTATTATGAAGCTATATTGTAAAAAAAATCCAGTACTTACCCTAGTAGCAAAGAATTCTGGCCCAGATTTGGCATAAAGCTGGCACAGCAGGCATTCATCCGGCACTGGCATACAGCATGTGGGCCAAACATGGCCCGGGTTTGGCAGAGGTGGCACCATCTCTAAGGCGGCACACAAGATTTAGGCCAGATTAAAAACGTAGTATTTGGCCCAGATTGAAAAATTTGATAAGTGGGCCATGTGAGTTTGGCCAGTCTTGACCCACATTTAAAATACACTAAAATCATTTTTGAGTAAAGAAAAAATTTTTTACCAATCAGGTCACTGAGAAAAAACAAGGCTCATAGTGTGCCTAAAGCGCATCACTCCATGGGTTTATCAATTTCCTTGCAATCGTGTCACACCAACCTATCTGGCCCAGTTCAGGCCCAGTTATGAGTTATTAACTTGGCTGAGACTTGGCCCAGATATGGTCCGTGTTTGGCCCTTGTCTGGAAGCCAGATTTGGTCCAGTCATGTACCGTAATTCACTGCGGCATATGGGCCAAGCAAAACCTGATTGTGTGGGCCAGAGCTGGGCCAGAGAAATTTTGCTATGTGGGTAGTATCAACCTCTGCAATAACAGATGACAGTAGAGCTGAGTGATTTGATATGATTCAGCATCTACATGTTTGATGAAACACACTTCAGATTTCCTAATAAACACGATACATTAACAAAATATGTAACTAAACATACCTTATACCTCTTCAGACTGGAGATGAGTAAATGTGTAATCTGTCAATCTTGTATTTTGCGTCCTGAGGCGAGTTTGAAACATGTCTCGCACTGTCACTGCTCAGTAACACAAAAGTCCCACATTCATAGTGAGTGAAATATACACTTAAAATAACTAAGAGAGGAAAATGATCACTGTCGTATCACTAGAGACATTTGACTTATCAAACGCAGCCTGAGGCGTGCAAATTAATGATCTCAGAGCTTGTTTTGTCTTCTGAATGACCAGTTGTCCACTGGAGTTTTATACTTGTGGAATTCACATGAGAACAAGAAAACAGTGGTGTTTGAGGCTTACAGTATGCCCTTTTCTTTTATCATTCTACTATGCCTTAATAAAACCAGATTTTCATTATAAGACCCCTTAGATTGTTTAAATGTCAGTAAACAAATATATAGGCTTCACACACTTATTCACACATTTGTACTATGAAGACAATTTCAGCTCGATGACGTATAATGAGTCCGACATCCAGTGGCGTAGCACAAAATGCGGAGGCCCCCCTGCAGGGATCACCGACGGGGCCCCCAGATGAAGGTGTTCATAATCTCCGTAATGAACGACTCGTTCACTAGCTGACAATAATGCAAGTTTCTGGCAGCGCAGCATCTCGTTGTCATATTTCTTTTGCATTGTTTGCTGATTTTATTCAACAAAACTAGCATAAGCCGAGTGTTTAGTGCGAGTTGGAGCTACTTTGCCTTATGATGAATGCAGTAAGTGACTGTTATCATCAATAACGTTACCTGATTAGCACAAATTTCAGAACATACAAAAACATAAAAAACGTAATCTTACCTATGAAATGTTCTGCCTTTGTGCTTTGTTTTCTTTGTTTGCTCGTTACTACACTCGTAGACAGCGCTAAAGTCCCGCATCTTCACGTAATAACACTGTCTTGACTAGTGCGGTTGAATGACATTTGTCCTGGGAGCACTGTACCAATATGGCGACGCTATAGACGCATGCTCAGGGTCCCTATGCGATATCTAGTGTATATATCTATGTCACAAATTGAGGAGCGGGGAAATGAGGCGGGGTGGAGCGACAACGCGGGGAATCCTTCACAAACTGAGGAGCGACCACAAACCGAAAGCGGCGAGAGCGTCAAAGTAGCCAGAAGTCATTCATTTTTTAACGAGAACCGGCGGCGAGAAACAGCGGCGCGTCTTCATTGGCTATGACGCGGTTCGGCGTCAAGCAATCAGAATTAAGTAGTCCACCTTGAGAGGAGTTCAGAGCACACAGGTCTGTGAACTTTGGTTCCGACCACAGTTGTTCCCAAGAGTTTGATTATTGCGGTTCCTGGATTTTCAATCATTGAAAATCGCGACGGCGTGGGGCCCCCTAATCACGCAGGGCCCCCCCGCGGTGCGTGCCCTGCGGGCCCGTCCGCTACGCCACTGCCAACATCGCCTGTAGACCCATTGAGCAACCGTCTTTTTACAGAAGCAGAACCGATTTAAAAAGTCAAGAGTGATGTGTTTAGTGTCGTAGAATAAATCGTGAAAGTATCGTGAGTTTGTGTTTGCCACCAACCTTATTTAAGCCATTTAACCAAAATCCCATTCAAATAACCCACTGACTCTGGGATGAGGGAACCAGAACTGCAACACCAACAAGAAAACAAAAAAACAAAGCAAAGAATTAAAAAAAAATGATGGCCCTGTTTGGAAGTGTAAAAAGACGGTTTATTTATAAGGATAATGTAAAACAGTCCAGTGCAGATAAATGCAGTCATTTCCCAAAAGGTATGTACAAATGTGATGTTTAATTGTACCGGCCAGTCTGAATCTCTTGTTGCAGTGTGAACACATACTAGTTTTCTCTTCAGTGTGAATCCTCTGGTGCATTTTCAAGGCTCTTGCTGAAATGAAAATCTTCCCAAACTTCGCAGACAAACTCGGTCACACCAGTGTGGGTCTTCTGATGGTTTTTTAAAGTCGATTTCATTGTATAACTCTTTCCACACTCAGAGCATGAATACGGCCTCTCGTTAGTATGAACTCTAAGATGGATCTTCAGATCTGCAGGCCTCTTAAATGTTTTGCTGCACTGATCACATTGGTGTGTTTTCTCTCCAGTGTGGAGCAGCATGTGTCTTTTCAGGTTTGCTAAATTATTGAAATTCATGTCGCAGTGTGAACACTTGTAAGGTCTCTCTCCAGTGTGGACTAGCATGTGTGTTTTCAGGTTTCCTAAATAAGTAAATCTCATGTCGCAGTGTGAACACTTGTGAGGTTTCTCTTTAGTGTGGATCATCATGTGTGTTTTCAGGTTTCCTAAATACCTAAATCTCATGTCACATTGTGGACACTTGTGTGGTCTCTCTCCAGTGTGGATCAGCATGTGACGCTTGAGACTGCATTTGTGGCTAAAACTCTTTCCACACTGAGTGCAGGTAAAACAGTTCACAGCTGTTCTTTCCATTGAAACACCATGTCCAGTGTTTGTGTGAGTTCTTCTTCCCTCTTGACATGATGTTTCTCCTCATCTTCACTCAGTTCTTCACTCTCCTCCTTCACCACCACATCTGAAAATCAATTAAGTCACATGTTAAGAGTCTAGTGTTTCTCCGTACAGTCGAATGATTATAAATAAGAGCATTTGTGGGTAAGTGGTCAAATATGTTTGCACTTTGCCTTTAAGGCCGTACTCACACTAGGTACAGTTGCCTCGAACCGGGCCAAAGCACGCTTGTCCCCCCTCCCGTCTCCCCCGACGGCCCGCGCTCACACCATATCGGGCCTCGGCACGCTTACGTCATCGCTGCTGCGCTGTTCAGAGGCGCTCTCTATGGCAAGCCTTTTTAGCATTTAAATCTTTGTTCTGACTCCATAAATATATTTAGAGACATCTCTAATTATATTTTGACTAGTCATAATTATAATTCGACTAGTCAGAATAACAATTAGAGATATCTGCAATTGCAATTGTATTGTATCAGATTGGAGATATCTGCAAATATATTATGACTAGTCATATTCCTCCATTGACTTCCATTGAAAAATATTTGCAGATATCTCTAAATGAGTATTGATTAGTCACAGTTGTAATTAGAGATATCTCTAACTGAGTTTTTACTAGTCATACATTTGGAGATGTCTTTAATTCATCATATTTAGAGATATTTACAAATATATTTGAAGATATCTCTAATTAATTCACTAATAGTCGAATTACAGTTGTAGATATCTTGAATTGGATTTTTGACGAGTCAAAACTCAGTTAGAGATATCTGCAAATATTTTTCAATGGAAGTCAATGTAGGAATATGACTAGTCAGTTATAATATATTTGCAGATATCTCCAATCTGATTTCGTACTAGTACAATTGTAATTGCAGATATCTCTAATTGTCATTCTGACAAGTCGAATTAAAATAATAATTAGTCAAAATATATAATTATATCTCTAAATATATTTATGGATAGTCAGAACAAGGTTTAAATGTTAAAACGGCTTGCCATACGCTCTCACACGGCAGCACAGTGGAGAGTTCTCTAGTTTTATCCTTTCAGTCGTTTGTAATGCAGTGACATGCAGTCAAATATTTCGCCAAACAGTCTTTAGGGATGCCGTGACACGCAGTCAGATATTTTACCGAACAGATCCGCCACTTTTGGCGCTCATAAACAATCAAAGCTCTCGTGCTGCAGGAATGAGGAGGTCTGCTGAAGGCGCGCAGCTGTCGTGCTGTGAGGGGTTTGCGTCTTTAATAAACTACGGCAGTTTGCGATCACTGAACTGTAAGAATGATTAATAAATCCATATGAAACAACCCCTCAAAAAGTCACGTCTCGCTTTCGGTTTCGGGCTTTGGCGCGTTTCGCGCTCACACACAAGCGTACCGCGCCAAAGCCCAAGTGAACCGGGCTCAGGCACACCTCTTCCAACCGGGCCAGGGCCGGCCAAGTGAACCGTGCTTGAGCCCGATTCAGCGCACTCACACTTCTCAAACGATCCGGGAAACGGGCCTGGGCACGGTACGGATGGCATAGTGTGAGTAGGCCCTAATAAACTGAAACAGATGTAGGGATAGTTTACAGTTTAACCCAAAGAATGAGCAGTCTGGTAGATGAAGAAGAGCCGGAGTCAGAGATTTAAAAAAATAAATCAAGTTTACTGAAGATAGTTTGCAGTTTCATTCGCAGAAGCCAGCTTCAACACTCTCAATGAGTTCCTAGGCCGCTCTGACTTACAGATACAACAATCGAACAATTATACTCTTTACACAAGTCCAGAAAGGGTGGGATCCAGGTAAACAGTTCTCATTGGTTACAACAGAAATAGACAATTCTAAATACATGCGTCAAAGAAACATAGTATCTACTTCCAGATATGGATGGCCTTAATGCGTGCGTCAAAGAAAGCATTGTATCTGTCTCCAGATATGGATGGCGACCTGATGCCTAGAGGTGAGGTCGCCTTAAGTTATTAGGAGCTGATCTCCGACCTGTAAAAAGCTAAACCAGGAAAACAATAGACACAAACGACCATCTGTGTTACAGACTCAAGGATGTTTCTTGTACGTTCAGCTGTGTTATCAGGCTGGTTCAAGACTGTTTCCATCAACAGTCTGCTGCAATATCTTAACTCCACACAGTCTGTCTCCACACAGAAAGGAATTACATTAAATTAATTATACTTAAAAACAGATCAATCAAACAGCTATAATATTATAGGCAATATCAGGACAACTAGAACAGGTGTCTTCTTCTCCTCTGTATGGGGAGAGAGAAAGAGATCTTCATGACCTATGAATAAAACAGACAGGCAAAAAGAGAAACAAGGACACAGAACATTCTTGCAGTAAGCAGTTTTAACTTATTCATTAGTTAAAATCAATTCACAGTTAAATACTGAGAAACAGGATGATGAAAAGGATAAACGGTGGTCCATGATGAGACGGATTGCAAAGCAGAAATCCGAATCCTTCACAGAAAAGATGTGGCCCCTTCAGACTTGACATCCTACTAGGTTGCCTTGAACAGAGCAAAGGTGCGATCGTCACAACTGACAAACGCCAAGTTCAAAAGGTGACTTATGCAAGAACTGGATGTGTTTGTGTTTGGGTTGTTGTTTTTGGTAATTATTTGCTTTTTTCCAAGTTTAAAATATTACAAGTGTCAATAAATGCCGTGATATTGAGTGAAGAAGCCCCATTGGTCCATGTCAATGGTGTCAAACCCAAGGCTTGCAGGTCAAACTCATTTTATATGGCCCAAAAGAGCCCGATTTTAAGTTTTGACCTTCCATGCAGTGCGGATTCTCTGGCGTTTGTCGCTGCTATGGGCACACTCCAAGAGTGTGGATTAACTTTTGATATTGGTGGGGACCTAATTTAATGGAAATGATTGTACTTTGTGGAGGAATGAATGCAAACTTCTGGAAAGGAGGAGGCATTCTTCTTCTCTACTTTTATTTTAATGATGGGCTGGTGTCATACGTAGAGGGAGGCTGATCTAAATTGTTGTTTTTTCCTAATCGATGTGAAGGCCAAAATCAAAACTAAATTGACTAATGGCACAGCCATGGTGTTTACGATTATAGTGGACTTAAGTGACTTAAACTTTACTTTGAAATGTTGCAGCTTGTGCTCACGTCTCATGTTGTAAATTCTTCCCCTTTAAATTTAGGACTTGCGTAAAGGATGTAAGGACTTATGAAAAAGAGTAAAGTAGAGAAAAGAGAAAAGTAGTGCAATGCCTACACTATAGACGCTTTCAGCGTAACTGCTAAGTCGGCAGCACGTCAGTCAGACCGCGTGCGCTTGCTTGGAGACCGCATTATGAACAAAAGAAAGTAGTTGACAAAGTAAGTTTCTCTTACATATGTAACTGATGACTTTGATTGTTATAGTGTACATAAGGGTAGTAACTGATATTGTGGTGATGTTCCTAATGTTTAGCGATCGCTGGGTGTAATTTGATCCTCCTTAACGAGCGGCTTTCGCACTAGTGTGCATTGCTCATGTTTACAGTCTCAGTATATTAATATGTGTAATGGTTCATGTTGATGATAGCCATTTGTGCTCATTATTACTAATGTCTGTGTTAAGGATAATTTTAGTTAATTATATAACTTTTATTCCATTATTTAGTACTCTTCATTACACACTGTAGTTGTTTTTGCAGAGATATTTTTTCAGTCTATGTCATGTGCCAGTACACTATACTAGTTGTTTATTATGTAGATTGTGATATGCTGAATCATTGGATTTACTTTGTAATTATTTGTTGTTACTCATTTTCAGAAACTACTCTAAATACACTGACAAGTGCATATGGTTAAATCTTGTTGAATAAATAGCCGAACTGAATATGATGACTCAGACTCTCCTTGACAAGAGTACTGTAGAGGTTAATAACGATTCACTAGCATTCAGTGGGACAATCCCCAATATCTCATCGGAGTCTTCCACAGTAAGCCAACTGGTAAATTTGCTCAGTTTTGGTGCTGCGAACATTTAAACGTGCCATGGCAGCCGCTCCCTTGACAGCAGGGAAAGTCACAGCCAATCATAATGTATTCAAGGAAGGAAGTACAGAATGTGATATAACCCTTACTGTACATCTGTTAACAATAGTTGACGGAGAATTGTTTCATTTTGAAGCTAATTTATAATAATAATAATCTTAAACAGGCAAGTCAGTTGAGAACCAGTTCTCATTTACAATGGTGACCTGGTCAAGAGGCAACATAAAAAAGTAGATACAAAGCAGCAGGGACACGATACAATAACAGTTTCACAAATGCAGATAATAACATGTAAAACCAAGGAAACTACTAAACACAAGCACAGTGATCTTGTACTATTAACTGGATTGAAGTTTTAAAGGATGATAGTGGAATGAAAGTGTTGAGCTCTTATGCTGCGTTCAAGCGCGAGTGATTTACATGTTAAGTCAATGCAAACGCGCGAATAGACATCCTGCGGTGCGATACGCACGAATGGCGCGGCGCAATTGACGCAAATTGCGCGAGGCGAATTGAGCGCTTTGCGCGTTTGACGCGCTAAACGAACATTTCACGCAAATTTCTCGAGTTCGAAAATCTGAACTTCAGCGTACGTTCGCGCCGCGTTAACCAATCAGAAGCTTGCTCTTGTGGGGCCGTGATTGTGACGTAGAACCTGTTGTCGGTGTTCCGAGGGAAATCCTCCAAGGATTTTTAAGTTTTTGTAGGAGTTTATGAGCTCACAGAGCTGGATGCACCTCTGAAAGAATGTAGTGGACTCAGACACGACCCTAAACGTATCAGCGCTGTTTTTCAGTCTTCATAAAGCACATTAACACTGTTATTTTCTTCATAAAATCCATGTTAGCCATTTAGCTATGAAGCTAGAGTCTTTGGGCAGACAGAAGCCCTGCCCATCACGCTAATCCGCATCTGTTCTGAAGTGAATTTGACACGCGAATGAAGCGACTAAACTCAAATGTTGAAGCGGCTATTTACGCGCGAATAGCGCGATTTATCAGCGCGTTCCGCGTCTGGTGTGAACACAGCATTAGGTCTGATTTCAAGCATCAGCAGCACAAAACTGAAAAGAGTGGCAACCAAAGGAAGTGGCAACTTTGGGTATGCAAAGGTAAATAAAACTACTAGAGCCCAGATTTCCACGTTTCGTAAATAGTGACTGTAAATATAGTGGAGTTTATCAATAAGACTTTTGTAAATGAACAGAAACCAACGAATGTGTAGACGTGATTGAAGAGAAGCATGGTTTCCGCTACATTCGTTCATCCATGGCGGGGCGTCACGCCAAAATTCCTCTCGTCACGGCTAAATTACAGCTTCTCATTCAAAACATTTTATTTTTTAAATAGCGGGTTATAAATCGCACCAAAACGTATTAAAAGGTAAGTGAACAATAACAGCGCAAACTTTTCTGTAACCGTAGCAGTGCTGTGCGTCATTTGTTTAACCTTTTAAGGTTACATGCTGATTGACTGACTGGTGCATGATGCGTGAGGCCAGCAAACACGTCGTATAGCCGTTTCACTTTACTTCAGGACGCATTAATGCTACTCTTTAGGTCTATTGGAGACATTCATAAATATTCCTAGCAAATCTAATAAATGCTGGAGACAAACTCGTTAGCCTATATACACACATTAGCCGCATTTTCACTGTCGGGCCAGTGTGAGCCAGGGCTTTATTGGACCAGGCCAATAGCTCGGGAGCATAAGCAGTGAGGCCAACATCATGTCGCGTTTCGCACAGTAGCTCGCTCCGCGTCACACAAACCCCGCCCCCAGAACGTCTCCAGAATCAAATGTCACAAAACCCGCCTACTTCAACGGGAATCAGGCAGATAAAGCACACCATCCCATCATCACGAAACAATTAAAATAAAGACAACCCAAACCACCAAATGACAAGTTACTGTACAGCATTACATTATATGTCTATACGCACACACAGGCCTGTGTGCGTTCATTTATTATGTGTTTAGGCTATTCACCGACTGACTGTTGGCAGGGTGCATCAAGTGGTCTCTCCACTGACCCAGCACAGTGAGCGCACCCATCCATAATTTAAAACCACAGAAATTCTCCGGTAAAAACTCTGTACTATGTATTTTATAACACCTTCGATTTGATAGACACCGTCAAACATTCAGCCCAAATGCTCCAGAGAGACCTAAAACATAATTTTTTCCCTAAAGGCTTTATGACACTTAATAGGCGATTCCCCTTTATTTAAGAGAATAATTTAAGGATGCTCCATATTATTCGGTGATCTTAAGGTAAGTGTTAATTGTTTCAGCACATAAGCGTAAGTAATAAAAAATAGCCTATATTTCGTTGCTCTCAACAGCTTTTCACTAATAAAGGTATTCGTGTATTTAAAATGTCATTTTTACAATTTACTGTGTCAAATAAAATCAGAAACACTTGTTTGAGGACATAAAACACATTTTTTACTTGCAGTTTTTCCCAATCTGTTCTGTAAAGTGGTGCAGCACAGGACTGGATGCCAGAAAAGAAGGTAGGCTAGTTTCTGGTTTTACTCACCCAAAATTGCTATGTTTGCAGGATTTGATTAACATCACTATTAAAGAGTAACTAATGAACACAAACCTATTAGTTCTTCAATCTCTTCCTGTTTAATTCTGCAGGGTTCTGGATCACTCATCTTCTCACTGTCCTTCAATAAACTCTGTCTTTGTCTTTCACTGATGGCGGCAGAGCTTCAGGAGAAGAAACAGAGAAATCTGAATCATTTACACTGATTGAGGAAATAAACACATTATGATGTTATATCTTGTGACACAATTTGTGGTTATGTGATTTGCTCAAGTCAGGTGATGCCAATAACATTAGCTTAAATTTGTAGATCTGAATATTGATGAGCCTCAGACCATAACAAACATTCAGGATCAGCAGCAGATCAAACATTTTAGTGTTTGCAGGATAAACTCATCACTATTGCAATAATAAGAATAAATAAATTATATATATATATATATATATATATATATATATATATATATATATATATATATATATATATGTATTTGCATTTATATCAATATATAGTTTAAGTATTTACACCAATAAAGTAATCCAATTGTCAGCAGTCGCGCGTCTGTACAGTAATGAGAAATCAGAAAAACCGTTGGAAAATAAAGAGCGCCAAAAACTATTTAACGTCTCTGCATCAAACTTCATACACGTTTATTACCATTGTTTCCATTCAGATACTTTCAGATATTGCTCATAGAAACGCTGATAAACTTAAACACACCAACAAAGTAAAACTCAAACACATTCACTCATATTGTCCTCTCAGAGCTCCTCTCTGCCTGCTGTGTTGTTTTGGTCAGCAGACACACAGATAGAGGTGAACTCAATGCAGAAACTAGTCGCAGATTGTCGCTTTAATAAACTGTAAAGTGTGTTTTATTGTTGTGTAAACACGAGAAAAAGCGTCAACGACTCACCTCAGCTCTGAAGACTCGACGCTGAATGAACGCGTCAGTGCTGACGTCATCACGACTAGGCGGGAACAACGGAAGCCCGACAAAACGGTATGTAGTTAATTTGCTCATTATATGTGGAATTTTTTTTTATTATTCATGAATGTAAATAGACAGTGAAAAAAACTAATTTTCCTTACTTTAAAATAGGAATGTCATTACCTGTACGATAAAATAAAAAAATAAAATAACTTATTTTAAAGCCTTCAATTTTGTCTGAATAATAGCAATTTGTTTCTTTTCTTTTTACATTGTATTTGTTTTGATGTCAATATAATGTTGTTATTGCCCTTGTATGTTCTGTGTTTTAAAATTGCAATAAAAAAAGACAAAATGCGGAAAACAAAAACACTGCTGAAAGCAGTTTTCACAATCACTATTGCATGTAAAAAAAAAACACCTTAATCATTTGGGGTGAAACTTTTAATTAGGCACTTAAAACTTTAAATTAACTCAAATTTAAAAGCAAACGCAATAGGCATATTTTAGATGGCTGACAGACATATAACTAAAATGATATGTTCCCGAAGAAACTAAAAAAATGTTTTAATAAAACTTAAGAATACAATTATATATAAAAAAAAAAATTTATCATGTATCAAAAAAATTATGAAAATATCAATCGATTTATGTTAAAGCAAAACGATACCGTTAAAAGGTCAGTAAACAATACACTTTACACACGCATCTGTATTATGAAGAACAGGCAAGAGTCAGACTGCACTATGGTCAGCAGTATCTTCATAAAACTGTTTTATTAAAATAAACGATCAACAAATGAATCTGTCATGACGGCCTCTACAAGTGAAGGCATTATCTACACACATTATGAATATCTAATTAGATAAACACATAAAAACACTATTTATGAAAATACCTAACCAGAAATCAGAAAAAAGCAGACTTCATTCCAGACCAGCTCAGCTTGATGACGTATAATGAGTCCGACATCGCCTGTAGACCCATTGAGCAACCGTCTTTTTACAGAAGCAGAACCGATTTAAAAAGTCAAGAGTGATGTGTTTAGTGTCGTAGAATAAATCGTGAAAGTATCTTGAGTTTGTGTTTGCCACCAACCTTATTTCAGCCATTTAACCAAAATCCCATTCAAATAACCCACTGACTCTGGGAGGAGGGAACCAGACCTGCTAATAGGTGTTTCAAAGTCAAAGTCAAAGTCAGCTTTATTGTCAATTCAGCCACATGTACAAGACATACAGAGAATCGAAATTGCGTTACTCTCAGACCCAAGGTGCTTAACATTAATATAAAATATATATATATAAAAAATAGTAGAGTTTAAGGAAAAAAAAAAAAAAAAAAAAAAAGAAAGAATATTTACAGTATATACATTGCACATAAATGTGGTCTAAAAAAAATATTTACAAATGCATGCATTTGCATACAAAATGACATCATGGTTGCTCCAGTATATTGATAAGCGGTGGTAGACGTTTTCTATCAGTCTTGCGTTGAACACAGTCGACCAATCACAACAGACTGGGTCATCAGACCAATCACCGCAGATTGGCGTCACACAAAGGAAGGGTTTTGGAAAATATGAATCACTGAACAAATCATAAGGGAGTCGTTGGGGTCATTAGGTAAAAATAAATGCATATTATAAGACAATAACTGTGTTATTTGAGCTTGCATGCACATCAGCCTGATGTTGGAGACCCCAAAACCAAAACAGGACCTTTTTTATGATGCATAACAGGGGCTGATTAACTGTGAAATCGGGTGTTTGTGAATTTCAGGGTACCCCCGGGATCCTCCAAATGAAATTTAATGCCAACTTCATACCCATTCCGACAGAACGATGAGGGAAAAATGTAAAATCTGTATAAATTTTGAACACTAGAAAATAATTAAGTGACTATTTGAACTGAATAAAACATTTTATTTAAACTGTCAGTTGTATTTAATACATACACAACAGCGTAACACACATTTGATTTTTAATAAACAAATACATTTGAACTTGGGGTTAAACACTGTAGCCTTCGCAGCTCTGCTGCTTTGGCAGCAAATTTTTTGCCCAGACTCTCAAGTCCTGTCAACGTCTGCTTGTGGCTTTTTCTCAATGCGTTTGCCGTAGAGGTAATGTTGAGCCACAGCAAGATAGGATGTTCCTTGGCTGTGGTGGCAATGCTTCCAATGTCGAAATTAGAGGTGTGAACGACATTGTTATCACGGTTCGGTTACGATTATCATGCCATCGCTTCGCTTCAATTCGATATCCCGGTGCATCACTGTGCATACACAGTTTTGTATTGGGTGGGGAGAGGCTGTCTGTACAAACACACACACACACCTGTAACAAGCTGTCTGTATAAACACACACACACACACACATAGACACAGAGCACCAAGCAAGCAACTCACAGCATTTCGCTCTCTCTCATTTACACGCATACAAGCGTGTGCTTACTCGGGAACGACTGCTCCCGCACTCTATTCGTAAATGTATTCCCGCGCCGCAAGAAATCTGGTCGGGTCCCGCGGTACAGCTGTGAGAATGCAGACCTCTATGCAGAAGTATTGCTGTAACAGCTGATAGGAGAGGAAAAGTCATGCCAGCAGGTCAATTGGGCCACAGTTAGAGAGAGAGTTTACTTTCTCTCAATCGCAGTGAAAAAGGAGCTTCTGCTGTAAGTGTCAGTGAAAGACTGCCCAGCAAACACACATGCAGTGAAATTGAGTGCAGTTTCTGCCTTTTTAAAGGGCTATGAAACCCCCTCGTTTCAGCAGGTGTTTTCACACCTCTACTTTGGAAAAGGTCAGAAAAGTGGGCGTGTCCAGCTCTGTTAAGGGGGAGTGTCGGAGGAAGAAAAGAGGCATGGTGTGGGAGTGTCTATTTGGGCGCTCTGAATTTCAGAGTCAAAACACACACACACACACGGGAGAAAGTGACTGTGTTTACATGGACATCTGTAGTCGAATAATTTGCCAAATTATTAAATGGTGGACTTTAACTGCAGTTTGGCTCTTTCATTCCGGGAATTCATTCATGCCCCTCGCGACAAACGAGATATTTGATTGGAGGAGCTGCTCTAAGCGTGTATTTTTCATGCAATGTTTGATACCGCACGGAGAATGAGAGAAAAAAACCCTCCGCATTTCCCGGAAACTTAGATGCACACGGCAGGTAGTGTCAGAAAGCCGCGTGTGTTATTCCGGTCTCTAAATGCGGCGAAAATCCTACACGAGGTTAAAGTTTGGTTGTGGTGCTAACATGTTTACACTCGGTGCAATAGTTAACTTAGTTCGATACAAACAACTTACCAAATCTGTAGAGACAGGACAATCACCAGCAACTAGAGCCGCGTCTTTATTAAGAGGAGACTACAAGCGAATCCAGATCTCAGCGTTTGCAGATGAGAACAGCTCTCAGGTAAACAATAATCCTCCTTAGACACGTAAGTTATTGTTGTCGAGCGTCGCGTACACTGTTAATCCACACAAGACTCCAGCTGAGCTCTCACAGAGAGAAAATGAAAACGAAACTTAACTGCAGCAAACTATAAAAGCAACACTTCACGCTTGTTTTGCCAACACAACGTGGCGTCTCTGTGGTGTAAACACTGTGACAGTAATGAATATTAATGAAGTTGCACAATAGAGCGCGCTGATTGGTTTGAACCAAGCCTTACTCATGCATTAATGCATCACACTGTAAGACGTAATAAGACTCACTCTGGCACAGACGTCCAGTCTGCACGCTGGAATACACGCTATTATGTCATGACCGTGACGCAGCTTCAAAAATTTGTTTCAAACAGGAAGTACGAATTTGCTTGAAATAACGCAAAAACAACCAATTTAAACTTTTTAGTAAAATATAGGTGTCCTAATAGTGTTTTTAGCAGTGTGGGACACATATACCACTGTCAACAGCTCAACACATGTGTTTTGGTGTTTCGTGACCCTTTAAGTAGTTGGAGCGTTGTAAATACTCGCGCTCACCTTCCTCGCCATAGTAGCCTAAGCTACGGGGACGCACTTTCTGCTATGATGTAGAGTGCAAGATGGACTCAACATTACGCTGCATGACTTTTTAATTAGCCTACATTAGTAACAGTTAATTTTGTTTTAGTATAAACTTTAATGCTAGGAAAGGCAAACATAAATCAATAAAATAAGACCTTTGTAACAAAATCCAAGACTTTGTATATCAAATTCAAGGCTGTTTAGGCCTAATTTAGGATGATCAAATTTAGGACTTTTTCAATGCTTTTAAGACCCCGCAGGTTCTCTGGAATACAGAGTAGAGCTTTCAGGAAGGGCAATTTCATTCTGCTTTTTAAAGTCGTGATTTTTCTCAGCAGTGTGACTCCTCTTATGTATTTTCAGGTTACCTAAATGTCTGAATCTCTTGTCGCAGTGTGAACACTTGTACGGTTTCTCTCCAGTGTGAATCATCTGGTGTCGTTTCAAGGTTCCAGCTCTAATAAAACTCTTCCCACAGTCAAAGCAGACAAACTCTCTCACACCAGTGTGGATCTGCTGATGGCATTTTAAATGTGAAGGATGTCTAAAACTCTTCCCACACTCAGAGCATGAATACGGCCTCTCGTTTGTATGAACTTTACGATGTCTGTTCAGCTCGGAAGGCCTGGAAAATGTTTTGCTGCAGCGATCACATGTGTGCGGTCTCTCTCCAGTGTGAATCCTCATGTGTTTCTTAAGATGTGACATTTGTGTGAAACCTTTCCCACACTGAGTACATGTGAACGGCTTCTCTCCAGTGTGACTCCTCTGGTGTCGTCTCAAGTCTCCATTTGCAAGAAAACTCTTCCCACACTCAAAGCACACATGCTCTTTTACACCAGTGTGGATCTTCTGATGGTATTTTAGCTGTAACTGATGTCTAAAACTCTTCCCACACTCAGGACATGGATAAGGCTTCTCACTTGTGTGAACTCTAAGATGGTTCTTCAGATCTGTGGGCCTCAAAAATGTTTTGCCGCACTGATCACATCTGTGTGTTTTCTCTCCAGTGTGAATCAGCATGTGTGTTTTCAGGTTTCCTGAATGATTGAATTTCTTGTCGCAGTATGAACACTTGTAAGGTTCCTCTCCTGTGTGTTTCCGCATGTGATACTTGAGAAAGCAGTTCTGCCTGAAACTCTTTCCACACTGAGTGCAGGTGAAACGTTTGACAGCTGTTCTTTCCACTGAAAAATTACCTTCAGCCTCTGATTGAGTTTGCTCTTCACTCTTGACATGATGTTTCTCCTCATCTTCACTCAGTTCTTCACTCTCCTCCTTCACCTTCACATCTGAAAATGAATAAGTCACATTTTAATTTTAGGTTAAGTGTTAGGTCCTGTTTGTTGAGGTTCTTCTTTTGTGATTTGCAGAGCTTGCATGGTTGCTGATTTGTGGGTGGGTCATCTCACCTGAGACCTATTATGCGGTTAAACATTTGATTTGAGAGGAGAGCTCGATTAGCTGCACCTCCCTGCTTGGCGTTTTGATTAGTTTAGATTGTTTTGGATCATGAGCTCAGTTCAGTACTATGTACATGCTTTACTCTACTGAGTGAAAACACCCCACAGGTAATCTAGAGCAAGTGATGTAGTGTGTGTAAACTACTGTTGCTGAGAAGAGGGCGCGAAAGAGCTAAGCTGGCTTTGATACTAACCAAAAGCAAGATCATATTGTATTAAATATTCCAGTATTAGCGTGAAGAGTTACTTAATTGTAATCTGTGATTCGCATTGAAGTGTCTTGTGCTTGTTACTGATTGAATTGAACATGCTTTCACACTTGAATCATGACACTGAGAAACAACAGTATCTGAACACACCGACACTCATCAGTCACTGACAGAGAAAACTCAAGCTTATTCACAGAGAGTGTCCAGTTTTTTTTTCAGTTATGATCAATACAGCAGCGATGACGAATGTCAGATTAAAGAGTAATGAATAAACACAAACCTATTAGTTCTTCAGTCTCTTCCTGTTTAATTCTGCAGGGTTCTGGATCACTCATCTTCTCACTGTCCTTCAATAAACTCTGTCTTTGTCTTTCACTGATGGCGGCAGAGCTTCAGGAGAAGAAACAGAGAAATCTGATTCATTTACACTGATTGAGGAAAAAAACACATTATGATGGTATATCTTGTGACACAATATGTGATTTGCTCAAGTCCAGTGATGCCAATAAAATTACCTTAAATTTGTAGATCTGAATATTGATGAGTGTCAAGACTATAAGCACTCATTAAACAGCAGATCAGCTCATTTTACAGTGTTTGCAGGATAAGCTCATATATATTTGCATTTATATCAGTATATAATTATATTAAGTATTCACACCAATAAAGTAATCAGGTTGTCAGCAGTCGGGCGTCTGTACAGAAACTGAGAAATCAGAAAAACCGTTGGAAAATAAAGAGCGCCAAAAACTATTTAATGCCTCTGCATCAAACTTCAAACACATTTATTCCCTTTTCTCTTCAGATAGTTTGAGATATTGCTCATACAACCGCTCAACACTCAAAACATTTCACTCATATCTTCCTCTCAGAGCTCCTCTCTGCCTGCTGTATTGTTTTGGTCAGCAGATACACAGATAGAGGTGAACTCAATGCAGAAACTAGTCGCAGATTGTCGCTTTAATAAACTGTAAAGTGTGTTTTATTGTTGTGTAAACACGAGAAAAAGCGTCAACGACTCACCTCAGCTCTGAAGACTCGACGCCGAATGAACGCGTCAGTGCTGACGTCATCACAGTGAGGCGGGAGCAACAAAAACGCGGCAAATTAAAAGCTTTTTATTAGGCACTTAAAACATTGTGAAAATGCTTTTTACAAATATAAAAAGCAAACTTAACAGGCATATGTCTGAAATAAACTACCCCTGAAGTAACTAAAATTTGTTTTTAATAATAAAACGTAAGAATAGAATTATTTAGGAAAATAACAACATCAAATAAACACACAAATAATAAAAAAATTAAACATTAAAATGCACAAACATATATCATCTATCAAAATATTACAAAATATCATTAGTGTTATGTTAAAGGTATATACTACATTGGCTTAATAAGTTGTATTGTTGTCTGATAACTACATAGTAGGTTTATGGCTCCAGAAACGGTTTAATAAGCTCAATTATTACTCCATAAAATACTCATAGAAACAGAAGGTACATATACCGTATGGCTTGTGTCGTGAATATAACAAGCTCAGCTCTTACACACACACACACAGAGCATGAACACGAGAGAAAAAAAAAAAAAACAATCACAGTAACTTTAACTTATTTTGCTCACCAGATCTGTTGTGGATAACGACTGAATTACAGTTAAACTTGTCAAAAGAGAGTAACAGAGATGTATCGCGTTGTATTTTGAAGCTATGTTGTCAAAGAAAACTCAGCTAGGACTTAGTATCAGCCTTTGCATTAACAGATGTGTTTGTTAAAACACACACTTCAAATTTCCTAATAAACACGATACATTAACAAAAGATGTGACTAAACATACCTTAAACCTCTTCAGACTGGAGATGAGTAAATGTGTAATCTGTCAATCTTGTATTTTGCATCCTGAGGCGAGTTTGAAACATGTCTCGCACTGTCACTGCTCAGTAACACAAAAGTCCTGCATTCATAGTGAGTGAAATATACACTCAAAATAACTAAGAGAGGAAAATGATCACTAGAAACATTTGGCTTATCAAACGCAGCCTGAGGCGTGCAAATTAATGACCTCAGAGCTTTTCTATGATCTCAGAGCTGAATATGACTCGTGTTCTCTTGATGACGTCAGCTGCTCGGCAGGTCCGAATGAATGACCTAAAGTAGGCACACATGTAAATGAGAAGTGGGCGTGGCCCGCAAGTCTTGTCACAGCTTGTTTTGTCATCTGATTGCCCGTTATCCACCAGGGTTTTATACTTGTGGAATTCACATGAAAACAAGGAAACAGTGGTGTCTGAGACTCACAGTAAGCCCTTTTCATTTATTATTCTACTATGCCTTAATATAACCAGATTTTCATTATAGGGAACCTTAGATCATGTTTAAATGTCAGTCAACAATTAAATACACTTTACACACTTATTCAAACATTTGCATTACAAAGAACGTAGAGTCAGACTGCACTATGGTCAGCAGTATCTTCATAAAACTGTTTTATTAAGATAAATGATCAACAAATGAATCTGTCATGACGGTCTCTACAAGTGAAGGCATTATCTACACACAATATGAATATCTAATTAGATAAACACATCAAACTATAAAACACTACTTACGAAAATACTGAACCAAAACAGACAAATCCAAACGCCCGACACAAGCTGTAAAAGCGGGCTTCATTCCAGACTAGTTCAGCTCGATGACGTATAATGAGTCCGACATCACCTGTAGACCCATTGAGCAACCGTCTACTTACAGAAGCAGAACCGATTTAAAAAGTCAAGAGTGATGTGTTTAGTGTCGTAGAATAAATCGTGAAAGTATCTTGAGTTTGTTTGCCACCAACCTTATTTAAGCCTGTTACGCAAGAGCGTATTGGGTTGTTTCTGTGCTGCTGTGTGGGTGTGTCTCTCTTTTTCCCTCTCTCGTCCTGTCCCGTTCCTGTTTCCAGGTTACCCCGCCCTAATTGGACGTGCTGCGTGCGTGCGCTGTGGTTGGTGCTGGAGGAAGTCAGCATTTTTTAAAAAGGAACCAACGGAGTCAGATCGCTGGGGGGAGAGACGGAGAGTTTTTCTAAGAGTGTGGCGTTCGTGTGGAAAACGTATCATAGTGCTTCTGTTTGTTTATGAATTGTGAACATTAAGGTGTTCTCTCCCTTTTTCCTCTCCCCTCCAATTTTTTTGTGATTGTCAAGTACCGTTTGATAAACCTGTGAGCTGAGCGCCGTAGGGGCTGAGCGCCATTTACTTTGACACTGATTTTCTCCTGTTTTTTCGTTTAGTTAAGGAGTAAGGGTAGTGTTTGTAATTTATTTTCTTCATTTATTTTTGATTCAGTAGGTAAGTTATCTTCGGGGTGGAGTTAGTAAATGTTTTGTTTGTTATTTTGGCCTTGCTCAGCCCTGAAGCTTTTTGTTTGCGCTCATTTATTTGTTTATTGTAAATACAAACCTTTTCCACCTTCTCACAATAAAAGAACCTTAAAGGTCATTTAAAAATCAAACCTGCTAACTGTTTATTTATTTTCTCTACAATTTTTATGTTCGACTTCAGCCCTAGACATTTTTGAGGTCGTAACAAAGCCATTTAACCAAAATCCCATTCAAATAACCCACTGACTCTGGGACGAGAGAACTAGAATTAGGCTTAAGCGGTCTCCAAATTTTGATACCGCCAAACCTCCACCCTATTTTACCTCGGTATACAATACTACCGTGCATAATAAAAAAAAGGATGATGTAAGGCTTCCTATCAGTCTTGCACTGAATGCAATCGACCAATAACAACAGACTGGGTCATCAGACCAATCACCGCAGATTGGCGTCACACACAGCAAAGGTTTGGACAGAATGAATCATGAACAAATCATATGGGAGTCGATGGGATCATTAGGTAAAAATAAATGCATATTATAAGACAATGACAGTGTTCTTTAAGCTTGTATTCACATCAGTCCGTTGCTGGAGACCCCAAAACCAAAACAGGACCTTTTATAATGCATAACAGGGGCTGATTAGCTGAGAAATCTGATGTGTGTGAATATAGAGTAGAGCTTTCAGGAAGGAAATTTCATTCTGCTTTTCTTAATTTGTGATTTTTCTCTGCAGTGTGAATCCTCTCATGTGTTTTCAGGTGTCCTGATTGTCTGAATGTTTTGTCGCAGTGTGAACACGTGTACGGTTTCTCTCCAGTGTGAATCAGCTGGTGTCGTCTCAAGTCTGCAGCTTTCATAAAACTCCTCTCACACTCAGAGCAGACGAACTCTCTCACGCCAGTGTGGATCTGCTGATGCTCTTTTAAATTTGACTGATGTCTAAAACTCTTCCCACACTCAGAGCATGAATACGGCCTCTGGTTTATATGATGGCTCTTCAGCTCTGAAGACGTCATAAATGTTTTGCTGCAGTGTTCAAATTCGTTTGGTTTCTCTCCAGTGTGGATCGTCTCATGTGTTTTCAGGTTTCCTGAATGTCCAAATGTTTTCTCTCCAGTGTGAATCAGCTGGTGTCGTCTCAAGTTTGCAGCTTTCGCAAACCTCCACTCACACTCCGAACAGGCAAACTCTCTCACACCAGTGTGGATCTTCTGATGATCTTTTAAATGTGATATCTTTGTAAAACTCTTTCCACACTCAGAGCACGGATAAGGCCTCTGGTTTTTATGAACTCTAAGATGTCTCTTCAGCTCTGAAACTCTCAGAAATGTTCTGCTGCACTGATCACATGTGTGTGTTTTCTCTCCAGTGTGCATCAGTTTGTGTTCAATAAGGGATGATGATTGTGAGAAACTCTTCCCACACTGAGTACATGTGAACGGTTTCTCTCTGGTGTGAGTCCTCTCATGTGTTTTCAGGTGTCCTGATTCTCTGAATGCTTTGTTGCAGTGTGAACACGTGTACGGTTTCTCTCCAGTGTGAATCCTCTGGTGTTTTTTTAAGTCTCCATTTGTAATAAAACTCTTCCCGCACTCAAAACACACACACTCTCTCACACCAGTGTGGATCTTCTGATGCTCTTTTAAATGTGACTCCTGTGTAAAACTCTCTCCACACTCAGAGCATGGATAAGGCTTCTCCTTTGTGTGAACTCTAAGATGTCTCTTCAGATCTGAAGGACTCAAAAATGTTTTACCGCATTGATCACATGTGTGTGTTTTCACTCCAGTGTGGAGCATCATGTGTTCATTAATGTTTGATATTTGTGTCAAACTCTTTCCACACTGAGTACATGTGTACAGTCTCTCTCCAGTGTGAATCATTGTGTGGTATTTAAGGCTACCAGACAGTATGAATCTCTTGTCGCAGTGTAAACACTCATAAGTTTTCTCTCCAGCAGTGTGGATCATCTGGTGGCGTTTCAATTGTCCAGCTCTAATAAAACTCTTCCCACAGTCAAAGCACACAAACTCTCTCACACCAGTGTGGATCTTCTCATGATCCTTTAAATGTGATTTCTGCGTAAAACTCTTCCCACACTCAGAGCATGAATAAGGCCTCTGGTTTGTGTGAACTCTACGATGTCTGTTCAGCTCTGAAACTCTCAAAAACGTGTTGCCGCAGTGATCACATGTGTGTGGTCTCTCTCCAGTGTGGATCAGCACGTGTTCATTAAGGCGCGACATATGTGTGAAACCTTTCCCACACTGAGTACATGTGAATGGTTTTTCTTGAGTTTCTTCTTCACTTTTGACATGATGTTTCTCCTCATCTTCACTCAGTTCTTCACTCTCCTCCTTCACCTTCACATCTGAAAAATAATAAGTCACTTGTTAAGAGTCTAGGTTTTATCCGTAGTCAAAAAATCATGAATGAGAGTATTTGTGTTCGGCTGAGATGTCTAAGTGGTCAAATATGTTTACACTAGGGCTGGGCGATTTTTCTGATTTTTTCGATTAATTCGAATTTACGTTTTAAGACGATTTAATTTTGAATCAAATCGAGAAATCGCAATTTTTTAAAAATATATATATTTAATACATTATAATGGCACCAATGCGCTTTGGTTCACTCTCTGTATGAAGCAGGACGCACATCTGAAGCGCCTCTTAAGATTATTCTCACAATGAGTTTCTGTTCTCTCATCCTACTGACAGAGTTTACTCTTCGGAGGGGAATACTTTAAGTGCTGCAAATAGTTTGTAAAGCCTGGCTTATTGTGGTCAAAGCAGTTGATTAACTTAATAAAAGTGAAGCTGACGGCCTGACGCATATGGATTGTCATTAACAGAAAATGTTTTAGCTTAATATAGGCTACTCTGAAACTGTGAAAATTTCACTGCAATTTTATTTATATTAAATAAATAAACGAATGTCAGATTAACAACCTCACTGTTCTTCAGCCTCATTATTGAAGAGTAATAAATAAACACAAACCTATTAGTTCTTCAGTCTCTTCCTGTTTAATTCTGCAGGGTTCTGGATCACTCATCTTCTCACTGTCCTTCAATAAACTCTGTCTTTGTCTTTCACTGATGGCGGCAGAGCTTCAGGAGAATAAACAGAGAAATCTCATTCATTTACATTGATTGAGGAAATAAACACATTATGATGGTATATCTTGTGACACAACGTGATTTGCTCAAGTCAGCTGACACCAAAAAAATCAACTTAAATTTGTAGATATGAATACTGACTATAAACACTCAGCCATTCAGGATCAGCAGATCAGCTCATTTAGTTTTTGCAGGTTGAGCTCATCACTATTGTAATTAATTTAAAAACATTTTTAGCATTAATATCAATAATGTCATTAAGTATTCATACGAACAAAGTAATAAGATTGTTAGCAGTCGCATATTAATTTACAGATAACGTTAATAGGAAAATCACAAAAAACGTAAAAAAATTAGGAGCTCCTCAAACTATTTAATAGGTGTGGCTGACGTGATAATGACATTTTGACACAAATATCATTAAATAAAAAAAAAAACAGGGGGACTAATAATTTTGATTTCAACTGTAAATATATATATATGGTCAATTCCATGAAAATGTCAACCTTATCATGAAAAAATAAAGTTTTGACCAAAATAACAAAACCTATTTAAATTTGCTCATTAAGGTCTATATTTTATAGTAATGATGTGCTCTTGTTGAATTTTTAAGGAAATTGGTTTGTTTATCCATGAAATATGAGGATTGTGCCAATGGTAAATTTCATTATAATCCAACCACATTTCGTGCTTTAGAAAAAGGGATTAAAGACTCACCTTTTCCATGCTTTATGTTAACAGTAATCATTCTGCAAAAGGATTGGAGTCTGTAGTATAAATAATTACCCTTACTTTTTCATAACATTATTGCCCTTTTGATTTATGAGCTACACTGTAAAAAATTTGACCTTAAATTCACAGTAAATTACTGGCTAATAATTGCATTACTTTCACAGTAAATTACAGTATGTAAATTCACAGCACATTACTGTGATGCAGTTCACAATAAATTACTGTGATTTTTATAACGTAAATTACTGTAAAATTACAGTCATATGTTGTGATTTCACATTACAAAGATATTTCTATTACTGTGATCTCACAGTATTCTCTTGTGAAATTAACTATATTTACTGTAAAGTTACAATTAATGGCAATATAATTACTGTGATTAAGCAGTAGGTTGCAGTTGAAATACTTAATTTAACTGTAAAGTTACAATTAATCACAATAAGATTACTGTGATTAAGCAGTAGGTTGCAGTTGAAATATTTATATTAACTGTAAAGTTACAATTCATCGCAATAAGATTACTGTGATTTAGCAATAGGTTACTGTTGAATAACTTAATTTAACTGTAAAGTTACAATTATATACCAGATCACTGTAGAATCTTAAAGGAAACATAAATGTCAATTTAACGTTAAATAAATACAAAAACACATCAATTTAACACATTTATTTTGCAGTCTGTAAACTACAGACGCCTCAAAAATTTAAAACAACCATAAAACAATATCTTGACATAATATTTAACATCTTAGAATTACAGATAACTCTGTATAGTAACATGTATAGTAAACAATTATAGATCTCTTCATAAAACCAAGAAACACTTTAAGAACATACCATTGAATGTCCCAAAATATGCATCACACCTAACTAAATACATACAAACACACACATGTGTGTGTGTGTGTATATATATATATATATATATATATATATATATATATATATATATATATATATAAAGGTAAAGGCAAAATCATTTGTTCTCCTGTGAAATTAATACTTTAAATATTTGCCAAGTGCTGTTTGTCAAAAGAATTTATTTTCCACACTAATTATATTTTTTTTTCTTTTTTTTGCTTAGCTGAAATTATTTTGTTTTAAGAAATTAACTGCTTTTTAGTTGAATATTATTGGAACAAACCACTGTTGTCTAATAATTTACCTAGTTATCCAAATTAAGTCTCTAAATTGCACTCTAAGCTGATTAAATTAAAAATATATATTTTAGATAATAGCCCGAAGCACTTAATTATAACAATATTTTTCTTTTCTTTGCCATTGTGACTACATATTTTCTTATTTTTCAAGATAATAGTATTCCAGATTAAAGGGGAAATTTAACACTCTGTCAAGTTTACATTATATTGTACACTGGATTCCAATTTATTTAAAATATATTAAACAAACTCGATTAATGTAAGCATTTAGAAGAAAACAGCATAATTTACTATAGATTTTAGAGCTAGGGCACCGCCATCTTGGAATGTTGCCATGTCTGACATCACAGGGTTGGTTCTGTTCCTTCAGCTGAACAGATACAGTGTAAGTAAAGGAGACTAAAGCCTAATTTAACCCAATGCATGAACTTGTGGACGTTGTTTGCTGTTTTCTTCTAAATAGTTACATTAATCGAGTTTGTTTAATATATTTTCATTAAATTGGAATCCAGTGTACAATATAATGTAAACTTGACTGAGTGTTAAATTTCCCCTTTAAGTTGCTGGATAACAGTAGTTTGTTTTGTAGACAATTTGTCTGTATCAGTTTCTTAATGGGGAAAATAATATTGACCTCAATTGTAAAACAAAACAAACAAAAAAAAGCCTAACTAAGAGAAATGATTCACATACACACATATTCACAAATATATGAAACATCCATCTTTACATGTATGCTGTTAAACGCAGTACGCAAGCTACACTGACAACCATTCAAAGTCTATTATTTTCCTAACAAGTGTACACACGGACTGGTTGATGTTTCCTCTCTGCTTTTTAGACTTCGCACCAGTCTCTGGATTGATGCCCAAGAAGCACCTGTAAACAAAATAAGCAGAGAGAAAAGCATTTAGTTTCATTCAAATAGGATAAAGAAAGTGTCAGTTCTGAATCACCACCTGAAGTAGATAGCTACAGCTGAATAAACAAATAGTAAAAATAAGTAAAGAAAATTGTGTCAGAATTGTGGCTCAATTAAATTACAAATATTTAAATAAAAGCAACAGGAAAACCTTTTGATCACACATAGCCAAAAGCAGTCCAGCAGAAAAATACAGGTTTTGTATTTAGATTAGATTCAACTTATTTGTCATTACACATGTACAAGTACAAGGCAATGAAATGCAGTTTATTTACTCTGAGAGTTTGCGAAACAATCATGACAATGTACATATTCTGTTTACTAGGATGGGTTCACACCAAACTTAATGCCAACATCCGCTTTGCAACATTGGCTCTAGACTATTAGTGGAATTTTTTTAAGCACAAGAAATATTTTCAACTTGTACAGGAGACCCAATTGAGGCATATTGTTTTGTTATTCACCCTAATTTGTTAATTTGCATGAATACTTAAATTCATATTTGGTGTAAACCCAGCATAATGGCTCTATCCTTTTAAAAACTGCTTCCTCTCTAGTCTCTAGCACAGACAAATTAATAGAGTCTGCAACATTCCCCTAGTTTAAGGGAGGATAAAAATATTTGTGAGTGTTTGTCGTTTTACATGGCTTGCAAAAATATCAACAAACACCACATCCAAACAATTTTTGTTTAACTCAAGAAATAAGAAGTATGCTTTCAGGTACAATATAAAAAGACATTACCTTTGGATAAATTCCAGAGTGCACGAAGCCTCTTCTGCATACTTCAGATTGAAATTATAGTAGCTGGCAAAAATGGCAGCCAAACCAGTTGTGATGTCTGTGAGTGGTCCCATGACCACTTGACCCTCCAGTGACAACATCCACGTTGTGGCTTTCATTGCGTCCCCTGAAAAAAACCATAAATACTTATCATGTACTGCAGTTCAAAATAGAAAAGATTTTAAAGAAACTAACAGTGAAAGAGTAGTGTGGCAGCCAATTTGAATAAGGTGTATAATTTACATATGCATTCATAATTACATCAAATTCCATTTTTCTTTCAAATATGTTTTACATATAAATACACAATACACAGACACACAGTTGAAGTCAGAATTATTAGCCCACCTTTGAATTCTTTTTCTTTTAAGAAAAAATGTTTAACAGATTCAGGAAATGATCACTGTATGTCTGATAATATTTTTCTATTGGAGAAAGTCTTATTTGTTTTATTTCGGCTAGAATATAAGCAGTTTTAATTTTTTTAAAAACCATTTTAAGTTCAAATTATTAGCCCCTTTAAGCTATATTTTTTTCAATAGTCTACAGAACAAACCACTGTTATACAATAATAAGGGTGTCACGATCCTCTAAATCCTCGATTCGATTACATTTTTGATTCTAAAGTCACGGTTCGATTCGATTTAAAAAAGAAAAATTAAACAAAATCATAACCAAATCATTTAAAATCGAAATCGTGACACCCTTATACAATAACTTGCCTAATTACCCTAACCTGCCTAGTTAACCTAATTAACCTAGTTGAGCCTTTAAATATCACTTTAAGCTGTATAGAAGTGTCTTAAAAATATCTAGTAAAATATTATTTACTGTCATCATGGCAAAGATAATATAAATCAGTTATTAGAGATGAGTTATTAAAACTATTATGTTCATAAATGTGCTGAAAAAACCGTATCTCTGTTTAACAGAAATTATGGAAAAAATAAACAAGCAGTCTAATAATTCAGGGGGGCTAATAATTCTGACTTCAACTATACAGTTGAAGTATACAGTTCAACTATACAGTTGAAGTCGGAATTATTAGCCCCCCTGAATTATTTGCGCCCCTGTTTATTTTTTCCCCCAATTTCTGTTTAATGGAGGGAAGATTGTTTCAGCACATTTCTAAGCATATTAGTTTTAAAAAACTTATTTCTAATAACTGATTTATTTGATCTTTGCCAAGATGACAGTAAATAATATTTTACTAGATATTTTTCAAGACACTTCTATGCACCTTAAAGTAACATTTTTATCGGCTTAACTAGGTTAATTAGGTGAACTACGCAGGTTAGGGTATTAAGACAAGTTATGGTAAAACGATGGTTTGTTCTGTAGACTATCGAAAAAAAAATTAGCTCAAAGGGGCTAATAATTTTGTTAAAAAAATGTTTTTTAAAAATTAATAACTGTTTTTATTCTAGCCAAAGTAAAACAAATAAGACTTTTTGCAGAAGAAAAAATATTATCAGACATACTGTGAAAATTTCCTTGCTCTGTTAAAAATCATTTTGGAAATATTTAAAAAAGAAGAAAAGAAAAATTAAAAGGCAGCTAATAATTCTGACTTCAACTGTGTATATATATATATATATATATATATATATATATATATATATATATATATATATATATATAAAATGACAACATTACCTTGTACAATCAACCGTGGGCTGCTTGGTAGCACCATACTTTGTTCCACATCAATGGCTGTTGCACAAGGCTGCAAAAGCAATTAACATAAGGGTAGAATAAGACAGTGAATAATCTGTACATATGATACCAACAGACCTGTGCATCTGTAGCTAGTATCAATTAAAATTTGTGCAAGAATATGTCCTTGTTCCCATTAATGGTCTCTATGCACAGCTAGTTTTAAAGCCAATGATAAAATAGTTGATGAATCTTTTATCATGCTGTGATATAACAATAATGGCAAAGGCTCCAATAAGAGTTACTTTAACAGGTATAATTACAAACTTTTATTGTATATAAATGTTCAGATCAATCAAGTGTATATTATGGAAAATAGTAAGATCTCGTTAGTAAACAAGAAATAACCCATTTATGTTAATAAAAAAAATACAACTGAATTATATTGTTAGCTATGTTTAATAAAACAAGTTTTGTTTTATTGAGTTATTACACGTTAACTAAGAAATCAACGTCATTAGGACTAATCAATGCTTTTGTAGTTGTCATTGTGAGTTTGGTCTAATTACTATTAACAAATGAAGATTTATTTTACAGTGTAATCTAACTGGTTAGAACACTTTTAATAAGTATCTCCAGCACGTCTCGTTCCAGATTACTATGATAAAATGTTAATCTTTGAAAATAAACAGCCAATAAAGTCTTCATGCATTTGGTGTTGTGATGACAACTATTGACAATACAACAACCTGAATATTCTGAAACCACTTTAAATTTTAGCTAATAAATAATTATTTATTAAATATAATGTGCCCATGATAACAATATCATACTTGTGTTTGAGTGAGTGAGCGTGATTGTGTGATTATCAGTGGTGTTCGGGCTGAAACAGACAGAAGCACTTAAGAGGTTACAAGCCTAAAAAAGGGTTATACAAGTACAGTATATGTACAATTTTTAACAAACAATAGGCCTAATACTAATGTCAAAATAATAAATATACTCACATCAGCCTCAAGCACAATGGCATCCTTTGGCTCTTTGAAATAGGCCAGGAGCAGTAAAAGAATGCATGCAGCCTTGTTTGAAACATCCGGTTCAAAAGAATCCAAAACATCCTTAACCCCATGATGACAATTGGTTTTTCTGCAAAACTTCAAAAGGGTGCTCCCTTTGGTTTCCAGGGCCTCTCGGAACTTCATGAGGATGGACACATCGGTCAAGACAGAAAAATGAGAAAAAATACCTGAAAATAATAGAGAAGAAGCATTGCTCAGTTTTATTGATATTGCAAAGGGTCTTTTGATATTGTTAGGTATGCCTTTATCTTCTTAAGGGCTTGTTTTATGGCTGGAATGTAGTTTCAAACCAAAAAAAGTAAAATGTAAATCTAATTTTGAGCAGTCCAAGGCTCTCTTTTATGGTAATTTGTATTTTACATTAGAGAAATGCATTGACTATTTTAGCATGGGAATAGTACATCCAGGGGGTTGTTATCATCTTGGAATAACATACCTTGTAATGTAACTGACCAATCAGAATCACGTATTCTAGACAGCTTTGTATTAAAAGTGGATATCAAGTTTAACTCTATATAACATGAAGTACAAAAACATCCACACTATTTTTTCATTCAAGCATGTAGTTAGATATTAAAGTGTATATAATTTGTAAGCTCTAGTCCAGGTGTGACCAATCCTGTTCCTGGAGATCGACCTCCCTGCAGATTTCAGTTGCAACCCATATCAAATACACCTGCCTGTAATTATCAAGTGCTGTTCAGGTCTTAATTAATTGGTTCAGGTGTGTTTGATCAGGGTTGGAGCTGAAATTTGCAGGAAGGTCGATCTCCAGGAACAGGATTGAGCACCACTGCTCTAGTCCAATACATTTTAATACTGCAGCATGCCTCTGATTGTTTTTCAATGACATTTGAATTTGCATTTTTATTTTTTAGTTATACTATGTGCCCCTCATGCAATGTGCCTTGTGATTTATAAGTTGAAAAGGGAAATACCTCTTAAAGAGAAGAGAAAAGGCCATTCCTCTTTAACCATGGCAATTGATGGTGCAGGCACACTGTTAAGAAAGCGCCTCTGGATGACATATGTCTTCTCCATAAAAGGCTCAGCAGTCTCAGCACCACTCATGCCTTCCACTGAGTACAAGGTAAGGAGATGGCTTTTCATTTCATCTAAAGATGCCTCTGTTTCACCAAGAGGAAATTCCGGACTCCATCTAACACAGCCATACTGATCAACAGGACCTCTTTTTTTTTTTTTGTCTCTGCTTTCATCTGGTACTTCACTTTGTGGCCTTCTCTCTTTGCGGCGTCTCACCAGGGTGTTGCTCCTGTTCTTATATTCAACTCTAGTTTTAATTTGCTGCAGAAGAGAATAACAGCCATCACCAATGATGTCTCCATTTTTTGACATATCAGCAAAGCACTCTGGATGGGTCCTTATAATGCTTCGAGCAATGTTGTGACACATTGCTCTTGTTGGGTTAGGATCATGATCTAATATTTGATCCACCACTGCCTTCACCATATCTTTTCTTTCGCCAGGAATTGGTCTTGCTTTTTCTGCAATTGCTTTGCGAATTGCGGCTGGCATCCTATCCCAATTCACTTGAAATTCTGCATGCCATGGTCTGCCAATCTGCAAGGAGGGAGGTGAAACTATGCTGGGAGGTACAGTGGGAGGAGCTTTAAGGAAAGTAGGGTCAAAAGATGTAGAGGGCACAGGAATCATTTCCAGTTGAACTACTGCAAATCCTGCAAAAAAAAAGTTTTTACATGAGGAGTGCAAGCTTTTTCAGTATGTACCAAATACCCAATAACAAATCATACCCATAATAATCAATTGGCCCCTCCCAACATGCATTTTTCCAGCATTCGGTTATTTTTTTTTAAATTTTGTGATCATTTAAAACAGCGGTAGTGTCCTGGGACAGCAATTTCAGATTTTAATAGAAAAGTACATATGCCCAGTTTTCCTGCTTTAAGAATTGATTTTAAAAGTGTAGGGCATGTGTTCCTGGGGCACATAACTACAGTACTGTAAAAAGAATTTCAACTACCAACTTAAAAAAGCAAGAGATTTAATTAGTTAAAACTAGTTATTATAAGTAATGAGTAATGAGATTGGATGTGAAAAGTAAAGTATGTATGTCTGGCTTTCAGTCAATAATTTCATGCAATTAATTCAGAATTTAAAGAAACTGGAGAAAAAAAAAGTCATAAAACGGTTAAATCTGTTAAATTAAAGAAAAAATGTTGCAGACACAGATACTGAAGTAGTATTATAACTTTGTATTTATTTCTGACCAAAAAAAAAAACACTTAAGTAAATAAATAGAGAATAACTAAGTTAAAAAAGGTTAGTAAATTTCATGTTCACTTGGCCTTGGTCTTACAAATTTATATTCTGCCTTGTATAAAAATTAACACTACATTAGGACAGGCAATATTACCAAAAACAATTATGTATTATTATGTTTTTTTTTGTCATTTTTTATATAATATATTATTTATTATAATATATAAAATTAACAATCATTCTGAATATAATTAACATAATTATAGTTCTACACTTTATAAATATTAGTTGAATAGCAAAATTATGTTTCTAGACCGTTTGTTGTGCAATATAAATACTTTAAATGTTTTCATTACAGATTTAATTATTATACAGGGCTTGAAATTAACATTTTTACTTGGTAGCATCGGTGCTCCCAACTTCAAATATTTAGGAGCACCAAAATAAATTTAGGAGCACCAGAAAAAATTTAGGAGCACCCACCAAAAATTATTGAGCACCGCTGCAAATTGCTTTTTAAGGGATTTATTGTATTTTAAAACAACATTAATAGGACTGACAAAAACCAGAAACAACTATCTAACTAATGCTGCGAAGACATTGATATTTGTGTGCAATAATTCCAAAATGAATGTCTAATAAATAGGCCATAGAATATTAGTGATGATGAAAATGACAATAATAGTAACAATGAATTCCATTTCTCATTATGATACTGCCTTGAATGTGCATGAATGTAGGTTATCTGCTATAAAAAGTCTGTTACTTTATGAAAAATAATTGTATAGTTTGCATCAAACAAAAATGAAGCATTGCAGTAAGAAATATTTATTTTGTACTGCTGTTTTTATATGCATGTCAATTTAATAAATAATATTTCTGCTACAAAACAAACAAAAGATTATAATAAATCATTCAATTCAATGATGAAAGCTGCAAAGCAGTCATCAGTAACTAAATAAAAAAAATAATATACACCTCATAAAAGAATAGACTAAAGAAAGAAAGTAAAGTCTCACTTCTATCACTCTTTAAAAGTTTTGGTTTCAGTTTGTGTCAATTTAAAGGTTCAGTCTGAGATGATCTTCATTTTTCTGTGTTTGTGGAAAAGCTGGCGAGTCAGCCGACCCAATTTATGAGCAGGCAGCGCAAGATTTTTTTTGTTTGTTATGAGCCGCAGTTTCAGTGTAAACTTAGTAAAGGCGAGCTTCTTTGGCGATGATATGTACAGTATTAGATTTGACTTTTAGCGGACATTTGCGCTGAACACGAAGTGAATGCGACGCATGGAGATTCGGGCGCCTTCTCCAAGAAGCGCGTACTCGATTGATCTCAGCTGGCGGATCATTATTCACCACGTGACGTGTCATGATCGCTCTCATCTGCACCTCAATTTTAGGTGGGGTTTGCAAACCTGTGTGCTTTAAGTTTTTACTCTTCAGCCGTTTGCATTTCCCGTGGTCATAAAAGCTCCTTCCCTGTCATCTGACAGCGGAATACCTTGAGTGAATGACAGCTAATATGAACCAATATAGCGGCAGAGAAGAGCGATTCAGCACGTTTTTACAAAAAAATCAAAACAGGTCGCACTACAACCATTATCTGCAGTCGCACTAATGCGCCCAAATATATTATGAGGTCGCATAGATTAATTTTCGGGCGCATATGCGACCAAAATGGTCGCAATTTCGAGCCCTGTTATATATAGAGTTGAGGTCAGAATTATTAGCCATCCTGAATTTTTTCTCCCCAAGTAAATTTGTTCCCCAATTTCTGTAACATATTTTTTAACACATTTCTAAAACCCTAACTTGCCTAGTTAACCTAATTACCCTAGTTAAGCCTTTAAATGCCACTTTAAGCTGTATAGAAGTGTCTTGAAAAATGTCTAGTCGAATATTATTTAATGTCATCATGGCAAAGAAAAAATAGATTAGTTATCACAAATGCTAATAATTCAGGAAGACTAATAATTCTAACTTTGTGTGTGTGTGTATATATACACACAAACACACTTGATATATACTAGTGGTGGGCCGTTGTCAGTGTTAACATGTTGCGTTTACGCGAGACTCTTACCACACATTAAATATTGCTGTTAATCTCTTCTCAATGTTGGGTTGGGAGCTGGGTCTATTCTATGCAAGCGATGATGACTTTCAGCTTAATATTTTAGCGTGGATGTACACCTGACCGGTGAGCCATCTGACAAAAAAGTGCCTTTCTGAATCAAATCAGCAGGATGCCTGATTTTAACTGCGGTTTGGCAGATTCACTTTCACTCATGAACATTTAATTCATGCCGCCAAGACAAACTGGGGTATTTGTATGTATGTATGTATGTATTGTCATGTATTAAAATTTCTATTTAAATAATTGTTTTAATAGCAATATATTGTTTCTACACCATTTGTCATGCAATAACAAAAATAGGTTAATGTTTGATATTAATGTACTTCTATTTGTCATGTAATGTTAGCTGCTTCATAATTTGATACAGCTTTGTTAGTTCATTTACTTTTCAAAAAAAATATTATATATGACTCAATTATTATTTTTTAGCAAAACCAAACCAAAAACCCAACCAAAAGTAATTAAAAATTAATAAATAAAATTTTACCTTGAAAGCCATTTAGTAACTTCCGACACTGAATAGGTCGAAGGTATTTCTCTAGATCTTTTTCTTGTACCAAAGCAAGATCTTCCTTGCTTTCCACGCCAATTTCTTGCAAGAAACTCAGTAGTGAAGTCAGAGTTTCAACGGAGAGGCCCGGTAAGAATGACAACACCAAATCTTTCATCATTACTTCATCCATTTTCTGAAAAGTGTTTGGCAGATGTTAAAACAATTAATAAACATTTGTATTATTAATGCAAAATGCTAAACCTAAAAAACAGGAACTTTACACCTAATCATTTCTGACCTAATCATTAAGAGTTTGTGAGTTTAAGAAAATTTTTGTCACAAAGACCGTGTTAATATAATGCATCATTACATCTTCAATTTCAAATGTTGTATCAACAGTTTTGGTCTTTTTGTTTACAAATGGTGTAGGGTTGTTAAAATTAAACCTCAAACTTTTTAAACATTTCCCCAAAAAGATATTACAAGATATTTTTCGTATGCGCTATATTCAATGAGGAACACAAATGAACTATTTACAGCTACAGTATATAGATGAATACATGTAGTCAGCAAAAGTGTATTAAGCAACACAAAAAGTATGAACTGTCTCTAGATGTATTGAACTTTTAAATTTAAGAAACAGTTTAGAAAACAATATTTTGATAAAGTTAGATTTAGTACTGGCAGGGTTTTTTTTATTTTTATTTAAACTACAACTAAAAGCTGCCAGTAAACCTAAAATGTCTTTGATAAGTGATAAATTGACTTAATTTTAAAAAAAAAACTATGCAGGAACACAAATGAACTATTTACAGCTACAGTATAAAGATAAATACATGTAGTCAGCAAAAGTGTCTCAAGCAACAAAATGACAAAACAAAGTATGAACTGTCTCTAGATGTATTGAACTTTAAAATTTAAGAAACAGTTTAGAAAACAATATTTTGATAAAGTTAGGTTTAGAATTGGCAAGTTTTTTTTTTTTTTTTTATAACCACAACAACAAACTGACAGTAAGCCTAAAATGTCTTTGATAAGTGATAAATTGACTTTAAAAATTTTAAACTATGCAGAAACACAAATGAACTATTTACAGCTACAGTATATAGATAAATACATGTAGTCAGCAAAAGTGTCTCAAGCAACAAAATGACAAAACAAAGTATGAACTGTCTCTAGATGTATTGAACTTTAAAATTTAAGAAGCAACTGTTTAGAAAACAATATTTTGATAAAGTTAGGTTTAGTACTGGCAGGTTTTTTTTTTTTTTAAACCACAACAACAAACTGACAGTAAGCCTAAATTGTCTTTGATAAGTGATACATTGACTTAAAAATTTTAAACTATGCAAAATGTTACCATTTACTTTTTCTTAATTACTTTGAAGAGAACATGTTTTACTGTACATTTCATAGATAAGGATATTATGTTGAGGGCCTATGTTATTAAAAAGCATAACCAAAAAGTTTACATCTTTTCTATCAATTTATGCCTAACCTGTTAGCTCTTCTTGTCTCCACAATTCCAGCTACCTTTCAGGTGCCAGCTCAAACTGGTTCTGGAAAAGAATGGTGGATAGCAATTAGTGATGTGTCATGCATTTTATACAACGGAAGAGGATAATAGTCCAGCAAATCATCTTGCTTGACGCAGACATAATCCTCGTTAGCTACTCCTAATTCACAGTAGACCCCCATGTCACTCATCTTCACAAAAGTATGTTTCTGAGTCACAAACTGCACAGACTCGTTAAGAACAATGATGAGATTAATCTTCCCAACAGAAAGTTCTTCATCAGTACTCTTCAGCAAAACACACATCCCCTTTCGATATACTGTGCCTTTTACTGTTACTTCATTGCACGCAATTGCAGACTGCGATTCAAAATCTTGACCAGCCACTGATGCTCTGATCTTGTCGTTGTAATCACTTGCATAAAACTCTGTACCTCTCTCAACATGCACAGCAGAAGGGAAAAGACTGCCCTCACTCAAGTAGGCTTGCAACAGTTGGTGTCTTTCTGCAAGAGTTTTGCAAAGATTTTTAAAGTTATGCAATTTCCTGGCACACTGCTTGAAAAAAGCATGTTTGCTCTCAAACCTTAGTGTCCAGAGGCGAATAAGTGGGCCGAAGTGAAGAATAAGGTCTGGATAATGGCACAAATAGTGATGCTTGGGTTTTAATGAACAGGCAGGGAATAGTCTTTGACGACTAAACACATATTCTTCAATGAGAACTTTCAGATATGCCACTTGTTCTGTCGTAATAGCTGGTGCACAGACAAGCTCCACGATTTCTCTCAGCTGCAGAATGAGTTGCCATACTTCATTTTCAGAAGGATCTTTAATTCTGTCACCCACAAATAGAGGTAACAACCTCAAAAAGCACCAATTCTGTACTGCATGGCCACTTAATCGTTCACTAGAAGGAGATATGTCTGCTGGTTTGCTGCTGGCTTCGTTTCCCAGATAACTGAACTGGTTTTTACATCTGTTAAGTTGTAGGTAGGTGAAGTGCTTCTCCTGAACCAAGTGACCAATAAACAAGGCAAGGTCATAAGACACAATACCCTCAAACAGATCATGTCCCAGACAAGGAGGAAGACCTGGCTGGCAGACATGAAAATAATTAAGCTGGTTAAAAGGAGAGTCCATCTTGATGCCGCATGCTGAGACAGTATCAGTGGTGTCTAAACCTTGCAAATGGCTTTGATAAGATTCGCAAGTTCTTGGACTCCCACAAGTGTATGGTTGGTTTGTAAATGCATTTCTGTCAATCTCGCAGTAACGGCAGAAATGGCTTGTCCGACTGAAATTTTCAACAAAACCTCCAATGCAATGTGATCCCAAGTTGTCTCCTGAAATGGCAACTAAAGCTCCTTTTACAACTTTGTCATCATTTGTCAAAATGCCCTTCTCCTCTAGAACTTTGAGATCAGCGATCAATGGTTCAAAAACTTTGTTCATACCAAAGTATTTGAAATCCTTCTCCCTACACAGAAGAACAAGTTGCATGTGATCCACTGTGGATCTATTGTGAGGCAAAATGTCCGTCAGGGTCATGTAAACGGCTAATATCTTGTGTTTTTTTTTTCCTGAACCAAGTGGGTTTACGACCTCAAAGGCGTCTTGATACAGGATCACACCAACAGAGGAAGGCTCTGTTTTCAACAGTTTATTGCCCTTAAATCCCTCTCCATCGATTACATCCCGAATGACATTTTCAGTAGTTGGTTGAAAACGTGTAGCAACATATTGCTCTCTTACAGATTTACATTTGAATAGTGTGGACAATGTTTCACGTATAGGAATGTACTGGGCAAAGCACTCCTTGCCATATTCATCACTGCCCAAAAGAAGAGGCACAGGTTCAACATAGTTGAACATGTTTTTATAAACAGACTTTCTTTTTTGGTCTGTGCTCAAAATGCCCCTGTTGTACATATTAAGAAGATCTTCCCTTTTAATCTCATCAATAATGTTGCTAGCAGTAGCCTCTTGGATTCCAAGTTCTTTCATTTTCTTCCTTAAGATCATAAATGAATGAGATAGTCCAATTTCGTGGGCATTTTGAAAGTCTTCAATTATGGTCTGTATGGTACTGGCTGGTAACAACAGCTTCCCTTGTAATTTAAGATAAAGAAGGGCAAGATTTTGTAGGTAGAGTGTTTCATCCACAGCAAACTGCCCCTCTAGCTCATTACCATTGACAACAGAAGCATCAGAACATGACTGACTATAAAGACTACCAGGCTCAGCAGGACTGGACATATCTAACAAGGTGTGATCTAGATTTTTATGTCTCCTTGAAAAATGTGAAGCTAAAGTGGATGAAACTGTAAAGCTGCAATCACACCCTTTCACGGGGCATTTGATTTCTAAACCTTCCTGTATGTGTGACTTCAAATGCTTGATCAGGGAGCTCACTGTGTCACATGTCACTGTACAAAACTGTGCCACACATTTAAAAGGAGTTTTAAAGTGTTTGCAAGTTTGCACAGATGATGCAAGCCTTTTATGCTTTCTATACATGTGTGTTCTCAAAACATTTGCTTTGCAATACATCCGACTGCATCCAGGAACACCACAGTGGTACTTGAAGTTATGAGAATTGCTATGAAGTTTTGAGTGCTGAATAAAATCAGCAATAGTCTCAGACACATGTTCACAGGAACTAAATTTACAGCTGAACATGTTTTACATTGAATGGTTGAAAAAAAAATCACTGACCCAAGTTATTTTAAATGGTTACTCTCAAGAACTTAATTTACAGCTGAACATTTCTATATTTAGTTAGGAAAAACAACTATTTTGTTGTCAAATCAACAAATTATTAAACCCCACTGAACAATGTAAAAAATAGTTCAAAATAAATATAAAAAATAAGCTATAAGCAGAACAAATACTTTTATATGATTTTTAGTTGATCTACACAGTCGATTTATAACCACCGTTGATGAAATCACAAAGCTGATTACTGCAGCTAACGTTAGGCCTGGCCACGCTTGAGGAAAATGGCGCGCAGCACATTCACAGGAGAATTTACAGAAATGTTTTATAATATATACAAATTTTTCAATACTTGTCTAAGAAAAAATAAACCCTTTTTAAATTTTTTTTTGTTAATTTACACTTGCCATAATATACGACACTAATGTCTTTGCTTGATAATGACTAACGTTAACTTTACGTGAAGGCAACAGCTTACCTCACAAATGTAACGTTATTCCTCAACTTAAAGTTAGTCACTGCATGCTCTGACGAAAACCTATAACAGGAAAATAAGACAACAGTCAGCACCAAAAACCGTCTAGTGAGCTAAAACTAACAGAACATTGCCCGTACCCAGATAGCAAATTACATCTGGCCCAGATATGGCCCACATCCCCCATTTTCTTCTGGCCCACATACCGCGCGGAATGACGGCGATGACTCAACCTGATTGTGGCTGACATAAGGATCCAAAAGTCAGCCACAACTAAACCAGATCTGGGCCATATCTCAGAAAAAGCATGGTCCATATCTGGGCCAGATGTGGCCCATACATTTTCTCAGATCTGGCCCAGCTGCGGCCCATGCACATTCTCAAATCTGGCCCAGCTGTGGCCCATGCACTTTCTCAGATCTGGCCCACATGCAGCCCATGCAGTTTCTCAGATATGGCCCAGACGCGGCCCATGCAATTTACAGATCTGGCCCAGATCTGGTTCAGTTGCGGCTGACTTTCGGGTTAGATGTGGCTCACATCTACATTTGGTAGCTATATAAATCACATTGAAAGGAATGCTTAGTTTAAATTGCTTTATTTAAAAAAATGCTTTAAAGGAAGCATATAAATTGATAAATACAAATATATAATTTATATATAAATTATATAAATAGATGCATACAAAAAAAAAACATCAACAACAGATTGATCAATGCAATACAAATAAATATATGTATTAGATAAATAAATGCATACAGAATTATCACAAATTAAATGCAAATAAATATATATAAAAGTTAAAATTAGGTAAGTGGATATACAGAATAAGAAGAACATACAAACACAAATGTATATACAAATTAGATAAATAGATACAGAATAAACACAGAAAATATATATACATTATTTTATAAAATGCATATTAATTAAATTAACAAATATTTTATAACCATATAGCCAGAACCAATAATTAAAAAGATATATAAAGGGCAATCCAAAAACAAGATCAGAGGCGAGGCAAGGGTCAAATAAACAAATAATAATTACAGAAACAAGATAAACAAGTATGAGTAGACAGAACAAACACAGAAATCGCATATTTAACAAAAACATATTACTTAAATAATTACAACTAAATATTTATTAGCATTTACCCAAAACCAAATAAATAAATAAATTAAATTAAATAAACTGAAAATCCAACAGGGCAGTCCAAGAGTGAGGTCAGGGTCGAGCAAGGGTCAAAGCCAAAAAAAAAACAGTCCAATGCAAGACATCCTGAAAATAGGAGGACAACAATTAAAAGGTGCTGTTTGCAGAGTACATACAGGCACAACTCGATTAGACTTTTAAGCACTTTTTTAAGCACCTATTTTTATTTTTAAGACTGACAAGCAACGTATTGAACACCTGAAATGTATTCTCAGCAATACATAACAACATTCCATAGGAACTACCTATCGATTTATATAAAAAAATAATAATATTAATATTTCATAGTATTTAACCTATTTTAAATGTGCTTGTGAAATTATTGTTTTTTTATGTTTTCGTAGATGGAAAGAGAACTGAAAATTAAATTACATTAAATTAAAGGACTAGAAATACTATTACATTGCTAAAATAAAACCAATTTTAGTAAATAATACTAATACAGAGTAAAAGTACATGGTACTATTTTAGTTAGTTAGATTTGAAAAAAAAAAAATCGGATTTTCATTACGGACCTTTTTTAAGTGTAAACTTGTTTGAATGGTTTAATTGTTTAATTACAAGACTACATAAAAAGAAATTTGCACTAACAAAGGAAGTTTATTTTAAAGAAATATATTTTCAAGCTTAGGAAGGTTTTACTTATATGATGAAAAGATGTAAAAATGTAAAATGTAGCCTTTTATTTACACATTTTACACGTTTTTTCTTGTTTGCTCATTCTGTGTCTGCCTTTACAATCTGGCAAATTTGTTGCTTAAATAACTTTTATAGTACTTGGATTTTTTTTTACATAATTATAAACAAATGACTTTACAAAAATATATATTTTAAAAATAATAAAACAAATGACTTAATTTCATTTGAGGTATTTGAAATATTTTTTTACATTTTCTACATTTTTCAAAGCAGTGTTTTAAGAGCCTTATTGTTTATTTTGATAAATGTAATAACAGATTGCTTTGACCTGTAATGCCTGTACAATTTAGTGACGCTTTAAGACAGACTATGTATAAATCATACAAATACCTCATTCAAAAACGTTTCCAGCATACCAACCCCGTGACGTCAGACACAGCAATATTACAAGATGGGGGTGCCTTTGTGCTAAAAGCTTTAGTAAAACATGCCCTTTTCATCAAAATTGTTACATTAATCAAGTTTGGTTATTATATTTTTATTAAATCGGAAAGCAATTAACGAAATAATGTAAACTTGATTGACTGCATCACTTCTACTACAAGACACTGGGAAGAATTTTTGCTAGGAAGATCTGACACTCAAAGTTTACTCCATCAATTCATAGTCTGAAATCTTGGTAATTAGTGAAAGTACCTTTGAACTGACCGCAGATCTTGATGTAGTCTTTCTTGATCTGGTCTTCTCCATTTTCGATCCTTCCCTGGGTTAATCTTTACAAGGAACCTGCTGAATGGAAAAAAAATACTTAGTGATAAAAACCTGGACTATATCATGCTCTAAAATGTTTGAAATAAAAGCAGCATAAAAGGACAAGCTAGTGGTGGAGGTTTGCTAAAAAAATCTGTGAGAGAGGATGTTGTGTGTGAGTCAGACTGAGACAGACTGTTGTATGAATGTGTGTTTTTGAGTGTATGAATGTGAGAATGCATTCACAAGAGTGTGTGTTAGTTTGAGGATTTTGCTATTTTAAATATTAGGGTCCAACAGAGTAATTTGTTTAGTTAAGTTGTTTAAAATTATTATCATTGATTAAATACTTGCCCATATATAGATGTAAAGAATAACCAAAAGAAATAATGTATTAAAATGTCATTATATTTTATATTCGATCTGCTAATCATTTGTTGTGAAATTTGAATGACTTCCATTCAGTATATGAATAAAATAGAATTAGAATAGGAATAAAACAATAGAACTCTATAAAAAAATACTTCCTATCAAAATAAAGCAGGTGCTTTTACCTTAAGGAACTTTATTAGTATGGTTCCCTGCTTCCAGTTAGTTCAACTTCAGATACCTCCATAATCTGTACTCTGGTGCTTCATTTGGTTCTTGACTTAAGAGTAACTGGTGTCGCATTCCCGGTCCATCACAATCTGAGCTAGAAGGACAATATGACAAAAGACAAGACAAATATGAATACACATAACATACAGAATAAAACATTTAAAGATATAGTTTACTATTCTGCCACCATTTATTCATCCTCTACTTGTTTCAAAGCAGTTTGAATCTGTTCAACACTAAAGCAGATATTTTGAAGAATGTTAGAAACCTGTAACTATCGATATACATAGTAGGAAAAACTGGGTTTGTGTTCATTCATTTTCTTTTCAGCTTCATCCCTTTATTAATCTGGGGTCACCACAGTGGAATGAACAGCCAACTTATCCAGCATATGTTTTACGCAGCAGATACTCTTCCAGCTGCAAGACATCACTGGGAAAAACCCATACACTCTCATTTACACACATTCACTATGGACAATTTAGCTTACCCAATTCACCTGTACCGCATGTCTTGTGGGGGAAACTGGAGCACCCGGAGGAAACCCACGCCAACACGGGGAGAACATACAAACTTCACACAGAAATGCCAACTGACCCAGCCGAGGCTCGAACCAGAAACATTTTTGCTGGGAGGCAACAGAGCTATCCACTGTACCACCGCACCGTCTGAGTTTATGTTCAACAGAACAAAACAAAAATATTTTAAACCATGTGGAGGATAAAATATGTCATTATTATGTCATTATTAGATTTTTAAATAAGCTATGATCTCACACAGTGATAAAATAGCACCAATAAATCTTGTAATATTTTAATAATAAATAAAACATAAAATATATTATTTCAGTTCCCAACAACCAGTCTGACATATACAAGTTACAAAATATGTACAATATTGTACCTGGTGTGCTTGATGATGAAGTCAAACAATTAGTAATGCACTGATGTGAGAGTTGTAATTTCCTTCAGCTTGCATGATTCCTTTCTTTTCTGTAACAAATTAATACAATACAATCAATTTATACAAATATTATTTTTACTTGCCACAAAACCATTTGTTTGGACTTGATACATATGTACAAGATTAATGGTGCAATTCAGTTTCCAGGCTGTTTTGAAGTAATATAAAACATAAGATATGGATTTTAAGCTTATTTAACACAATTGATTTTATTTTTTAACAAGGTTTAATATTTCATAACACACTTAGCCTTCTTTTTAGCTAATTAATTTCCTTCATAAGTCATTTAACACATCATGTTTCAACTGTGGATTTTTTTTCAAACGTTTTGGCTTTAAAAAAATGTTTTAATGCAGACCAGTCTCAACAGTGGCCAGCATGAACCACATAACGTTACTCTGCAAACTTTTGCTGAAACTTGATAAAACACACATTAACAAGCAAATCAAGATCATTAGGATTAACGTTACCAAAAAGAGACTGTTCGTTCAGTGTTAGAGCTAAATCCAGTACAAAGGCAGAACTCGGCACCTATTACAACTGTATAAAACGGACAGCATATGATTCATTCATTCAAGCTCCCGTTTCGACGCTGTTCTTCATATAACACGTCTTATTGATCATTTAATTGGGAATGACGAGCGATTAAAAGGACATTTGTTACTTAAATGAATTTGTTAAAACCCCGAGCACAATCAACTTAACAGATTACTGAACTGACGGCTGCCATCATTCTTAGCCGTTTTTAGCCATATTATCCACATATAAGTTACAGTTTTTTCACTATTCAAAACAGGGGCTTTTCTAACAAATAAAAACATTACCTGACGACAAATATCTCACAAATATGATTTTAAAATAATAACTTACCCGATATAAAGAAGAAGATGAAATGGCGGACTTGACTTCACTTCCTCGTTTGAAAAAAATAACCGTCATTCATGAGGCTCCGCCCACTCCACCGTAATGCAAGGATGAAGCGAAACACATATTCGCCACAAGGGGGCAGTTTATGATTATGTTTTTAAATAAATAAATATAAATAATATATATATATATATATATATATATATATATATATATATATATATATATATATATATATATATATATATATATAATATTATATATATTAGGGTAAGGGTAATTAGGCAAGTTATTTTATAACAATGATTTGTTCCGAAACTGTAGAAAAAACATATAGCTTAAAGGGGTTAATAATTTTGACCTTAAAACACTTTTTAAAAAAAATAAAAAACTGCTTTTATTCTAATCGAAGACTTTCTCCAGAAGAAAAAATATTATCAGACATACTGTCAACATGTCCTTGCTCTGTTATGTAACATGCTGTAATTCTAGAATATTTACTGTTATTTTTAATATTCAATAGCTTGTTATATAAAAACTAACACTTTAAGATATATTTACAATTAACTAATTGCTAATTAACATGCTTATTAATAGCATATTGTCTATAAAATTTGTGTACGCTGTTACAGGTGCACACACACAGAACCAGGATAGACTTTTGGGCCTTTCTATGTGGAGTTTGCATGTTGTTTCTGTTGGTTTCAAGTTTCTTCCATAGTGCAAAAATTTGCAGTATAAGGGAATTTTGGATAAACTAAATTTGCTGTAGTTTGTGATTAAGATAATGTGTGGTGTTTCCCAGCACTGAGGATTGTACCCTCAGGGCTGTGTTGCAGAAGCATTAGTATCTGATTGCAGACTTGCATATGCAAGCTGAGACACACAGTTTGACATGCAATGTCAGAAACAATGCACTCAAATAGGGCTAGTGACATCAAAGTGAGGGGTAGGGTTAGGAGCGGGGTTAGGTGTGCGCATTAAAATTGGTCAGATTTATTTTTATTATTTTTTGTGTTCTGTAGAATAAGTAAATAAAACTGTGTTGTTTACAAATATCAGCTTATTCACGAACACATTCATGTTATTCACATTCTACTGCTCAGTTATCTGACATTTTTTTCTACATAGTTATTTTATTCATAAACAAAACATTTATGTCTATTTAATATTCAAATTAAATAAAAAAAGCACAATGTTGTATGTGGCATTTAATCAAACAAAATCATTGTAAAAATGTAGAATTGCAAAAAAATAACACCAAGAAAACAGCACTTTAATTCAGTATTATTAGATTATGAATTCATTTGTAAAATTGTTCATTAAAAAGTAGTACTAATAGCAAATTAAATCCACCCAGTAGGTGGCGGTAGAACACTGTCTTAATTCATTCAAATGGAGAAACTGAACAAAACATTAATGGATCAAAACATAATAAATGATGAAACTCATTGCATTTATAGACATTTATAGACATACCAGGTAATATGAAAAAAAATATTAATTTTACTCATGCTGGAACATTTACATATAACAGATAATATAAATTTATATTCATAGCAGCCTTAAAGTAAAAATAAATCCATTATTGAGGAAATAAACTGAATTAATACGTGATAAGGTTACAAACATATACTTTCCCAGATAAGCAATGGCTTATTCCTATTCTTAATAACCTAAAGAATCATTTTTAATCTCAAAAAGTCTTATTTAGAACATGCAATGTTATTATTTTCAGAGAAGGTGTAGCGCTCTCACTGCCTGATGAGGGACAATAATGTTAATAAAACACAGGAAACACAGAACTGCTGCTGCTTCACAACAGAGTCTGTGTAATGTTTGAGCAGCAAGCCCCTCCCACTCATTAGGTATGCAGTCCACAGGCAGAAGTAGCCGATCGGAAAAATGTAAATCCTTGCATTACATTACATTTATTTGCAATATTTATTTTCTACTTCATAAAACAAAAGTGTACAGACTTAGAAAGACAAATTAACTTTGATTTTCAATTTCTAATAATTTGTAACCACTTCAAAGGCTCCTGTTCATTTATAGTTAAACCGGAACTAAAAATACACAACTCGCACTACAACCGATGTGTCACACACGGGCCACATCTGGCCCACATACAGTAGGCCACAACTCACACTAGACCCGCTGTGTCACACACGGGCCACATCTGGGCCACATATGGCAGGCCACAACTCACACTACACCCGGTGTGTCACACACGGGCCACATCTGGCCCACATACAGTAGGCCACAACTCACACTAGACCCGTTGTGTCACACACGGGCCACATCTGGCCCACATATGGCAGGCCACAACTCACACTACACTCGGTGTGTCACACACGGGCCATATCTGGCCCACATACAGTAGGCCACAACTCACACTACACCCGGGGTGTCACAGACGGGCCACATCTGGCCCACATACTGCAGGCCAGAACTCACACTACACCCGGGGTGTCACACATGGGCCACATCTGGCCCACATACAGCAGGCCAGAACTCACATTATACCCGGGGTGTCACACACGGGCCACATCTGGCCCACATACAGCAGGCCAGAACTCACACTACACCCGGTGTGTCACACACGGGCCACATCTGGCCCACATACGGCAGGCCACAACTCACACTACACCCGGTGTGTCACACATGGGCCACATCTGGCCCACATACGGCAGGCCACAACTCACACTACACCCGGGGTGTCACACACGGGCCACATCTGGCCCACATACAGCAGGCCACAACTCACACTACACCCGGTGTGACACATATGGGCCAGATGTGGCCCATATGTCTCCTGCCATTGCCAGAAGTGAGCCATATGTGCCTTAGTTGGCCCAGATGTGGCCCAGAACTGTATGCTATCTGGGTAGTGTCGCTATAATCTCACAATTAAGTTAATAGACCACAATTAGCACGACGTTACAAGCAGTATATTTTCGTTGTGCTTAAAAACAGCGCGGTTAACATTAAAAATGTACAACTACAGCTGTTTGGTTAAAACTTTTCAATTACATGCACAACAGATACACACACACACACATATATATCAATATAAGTATTAATAAAAAAACTGCCATTTATTAGATGGAATTGACATTTCATCACTTACCGATCAATCCGTTGGATGAGACCAGGAGATCCAAAGGCGGAGAGAGCACAAATGCGCGCGCTTGTAGTAGTGATAACTGAAGTGTCCTTTGCGAACGAGTCGGCTCCATTAAGTGAACGGAAAGAATCGAATCCCGCCTGAAGCCCTGTTTCACTTTTTGTATTACAACTTCAAGACGCAGAAATATGTTTGATTACCGTTTCTTTACACGTCTTGGCCACACGTAATCCATACAGTAATTACATGTTAATATGTGTTCCCCTGTGATAACGTGAAAACCAACGACGACTGAGTTAGATTTGAACAGAACGAGTCCAAATGATTCAGTACAAGTTCAGTAGATAAACAAATATTTAGATACAATTTATTTTGTGACAACGAAAATATAACCTATAAAATTTGACCTTAACAGTAAAAAAAAGTATTATAATTTGTTTTTGCCGATTACGGAGACATAACCTCCAGATGGTGAGCGGGCGCACGTGCTCATGTATCCGGAAAAAGGAAGCTTAGTTCGGCAAGACATTCTAACGTTTGTCCCTGACAATGATGGGTCTGCTCTGTAAATAATGTATCGTGAATTTATTTTTAACAGGTTTTCATGCGACAATGTAGTTGTTTAAAACTCAAATCTGCTGTTTTATTTTAAAGATGGTTTGTATTTTCTAATGTGCTTTGCCGATTGCGGAGATATAACCTCCAGTTGCTGAGCGGGCGCAGGTGCTCATGTATCCGTCAACAGCTGCCCTTCTTCGGCTAGACATAACGTAATGCCAAAGACCTTCTGGGTGTATATTTCATGAATCGATTACATTTTTTTCAGGTCATATCGTTCTGAATAAAACTCGTTTTTAAAATTAAATAAAAAAAGATTCAGTTGTATGCATTTGACTGTTTTGTTTTTTATTCATTGCATATTTTCATTATTTAATTGAATTAACTGAATTATTTCATTAAATTATTTTCATATTTCCATGTTATTCGATAAATAAAAGTAAATGTGCAGTTCACCTAAAAATAACTATATCCTTTATGCTGTTTCAAACCAGTATGAATTAGTTTAATTTTGAAGTAAAACATATAATTTGTAATTAAATTGTAATTTACCTATAAAGTTTTATTTAAGTATAAAAGCTGCAACAGATAAATAAATAGTAAAATACCAATACAGATGCAGCTTCTTGAATAAAAATAATGGCTTAGCTTTAACGTTTAAATTACTATAATTAACACGAGTAAACATTTTTTACTGATTATTTACAGTAAATTGTTGTGATTACATCAACTGCATTACTTTCACAATAAAATTCCGCCTACAATATATTACTGTGAACTTTCACTGTTAAATACTGTGAAGTGACATTCATGTAATTTACTGTGAAAAATTACAGTTAAATGTTGTGAATTTCTGGAAATTTTTTACAGTGTACATATTTAAGACATCACGCAGCTTAGGTCACGTGTCACGTCCGTAACGATTTAATGAAAAAGTTTATATTGTGGAATAAATATTATAACAAATAAAATGAAACTTTGTATACAAAGCCAAAATATGTCCATACTAATTATGATCGCCAACTCATCTCAGGTCTTTGCTTTAAACAACTACAATTTTGCGTTACGGACGTGACCATTTTTGAACTCCTTATTAATATAAGCCAATGACTAACGCATATTTGTTCATTATGATGCTGCATTACAATTACTGACTTACATTACATAACATCCATATGTTATATCAAGAACTGAACATTTCAGTTAGCTATAAACCATTTTAGTAACATTTCAAAAATAAATGTTTAATAAAGAGAACAACATTTTACATGCCATAATCTTGGCGCATAATCTTGGTGTTTTGGCGATGCAGCACCTTGTGTTGAAGCACTTCTTGGTCAGTTACCCTATCTACAAAAGAAACGTCAAATAATAGATCAAATAGTTAAGATACAATTTATGCCAAACTAGGAATGCTGATTTCGATTCATTTTGCCAATCAACAACCGCTCGTTAAGCGATATTAACCGTTAACAGATTAATATCAAAATATTATTTAATAAAAAAAAATTGACGTGCCTATTTTGTCTGACACATTAAATATTGCATTTTAAAATACTGATTTAGGTTATTTTAACATGCAAACAGCATACAGAAGGAGCATCTTCACGCACCTGCAGTGTTTTTAGCAGCACAGAAAAACTGAATAAACTAACAAAAATAATAAAATAAATCCTGCTCTAAACCTTTTTACTTAAATGACAAATTAAGATTACAAAACGAAAACATTGACTGAATGCTTTTTAAGAATCGGCATAGACTGTTTGTCCAATCGTGTTTTTTTTTCTTCCGTCAATTAAAAAATATTAGGCTAGCTCAAATAGATTGCTTTACGGAAAAAATGCATTCAATTAATGCTCCGCTGTTATAATATTACAAAACCTGTCAACATAGAAGTCATTAGTTTAAAGATTATGTCTTAATTATGATTTATTAGCCTATTTCCTCTGTCTTACTTGCGGTTCATGTGCGCGCGCGCGCTGAGTATAGTGAAAGATAATGACAATAAACCATAAGGCTTTGAACCTATACTTTTTGTTAAATATAGGCTAAGGATATAACAATTTTGTTATTTACATGTGATACTGTATTAATTTGCATACATGTTTTAAAAGCTGTAAAATGAAAGATCAGTTTGGTGCGAAGTTATCCTAAAATATTTGGCTTTGTTTGATTTGTAGATTAGGCTATGTAGGCTATTTAAAAATGTATAGAAGAACTAATAATAACTGTTATTTTCCAAATGGAAAAAATTGGTTTGTTGGTTAGTCTGCACTAAATCATCAATATACCTAGTTGAGTTTATGACGCGGCTCCAGGCTGCACAGACGACCAGCATCAGCGCTGGTTCGTCAACTCCTGTGTCAAACTGTGGCCAGAATATCCTTCTTTCATTTAGCTTCTTTGGCAAAATACATCTGTAAGCACGTGTGTTTGCACGTGTTACTGTTCTGCGAGTTAACAAATATGTGTTGCTCAGAGGTCGATCACAACGAACGCGCTTTTTCATTCCAGAGACGTGAGGCGCTCCGCAATGCATTTTATATTTCAAAGGAAAACCCGCCTCTGCTTTCATTTGATTGAAGAATGAAAGACGCCACTGAGGTAACATGCTTTTCCTCTGGAGCTCACAAAGCGGGCAATGGCAAAACGCGAGGCGCGCATGCAGGGCACAAAATCAATAACCTCCATGCATTTGGTCTTTTACCATTGCTCAAAATGCGCACGCCGTGGGTCAGGCTGCAGGCACTTGCACAGGCCACAGCGGAGTTTTCATTTCATGCAGAGCATAAATATGTTTTTTTATTTTATTAATTAAATAACTATTTATAAAGATAAATTATCATAGCGACACAATTAATTTTCCAAGCCCTTTATCCAAAATCTAAGCACTTTCAAAGCTGGAAAATAGGCTATAGCCTACATTAAAATGAAAACATTTTCAAAGATTTTAAGCACCCGGCAAATGTGCTTGAGTGCTTATTAAAATTATTTTAAAGGCGGCAAAATAAGAATAAAATCTTGATATTGATCTACGCTTTAACTACATTATAGGAGTATTTAATTTGTTAGTAAATCGCACCTGCAGCTGTAATGTCATTCAATATTTTACACAATCGGTTATAAACTATAGCCTAAAAATATAAACATTATAGTCATCCATCGTACATGCCTGCAATTAATGGCTATTTTTCACAAAACCTTTCATAATAAAGTTTTCTCTCTCATCCTGGTCCTCTGTTTAAATTTTTTCAACCTGTCCTGAAGTGACTGCCGACGAGAAATAGAAAGCAAGCGCGAGTGGACAAATTAAGCTATTTATTCAATCGACTAACACATTAACTAGAATAAACTAAAATAAACTTTGTCAAATATAATATTGCCATAACTGTGACACAACTAGATTTTGAATATTCGCCACGTAGACACGGTCTTGCGCACTAACAGTCGGGCAATGATTCAACTCAAGTTTGTCTGGAAAGGAGCCCGATAAACATAGGCCTATTATGGCTGATTATGTTTATTATCAATTCTATATTAATCAGAGAATAAAAGCACCATGTTAGCATGCACCACTGTTTCCGAATTGAGTTTTGAACATTCGAACGTGCGTTAACCTTTAACAACACACATGCCATAATATGAATTAAATATAACAAAGTGATATCTATTTAAGTTTGATAAATTGTGCAACCTTACCATTCAGATGTCTCAGAGGTTAAAGTTTATTGGTTTACACACCCAACAGATATCCACAAATAGGTCTTTTGTCAAGTTTTGAAAGCATTTATCTGATTTTCATAATGTGTCAACTGTCAATTTCAGAGCAGTCACGTCCGTAACGAAGACAAGTCACGTCCGTAACGATAGTTTTCCCTCATTAATGCAAAAATGAAAAACTAAATAAAATGAATTATAAATGTCCCATGCAGAGCCAACCCTTATCCTTTTGACGGTTATAAATATTTTTGGCTTCTGCATTTTTATTCACAGAATTTTAACCAAGTATGTCAACTCACAAAACCCATGTCTTTTTTTTGTCACGTCCGTAACGCATTCATTTTGCCGTCATTTTAAATATAAAACACCTGCATAGACTGATATTTTTTGATGCCTAAACTCTATGGTTAAGGGGTAATAAAAATATAAACAGATATTTCAATATTCTGTTAACATATACATTCTCCGAGTATATACGTTTCATTTTTTTTCTGCAAATGTCACGTCCATAACGCTGGAATCAGCCATATATATATTTATATACAGTTGAAGTCAGAATTATTAGCCCCTGTGAATTATTAGACCTTATTACTGACATTAAAATGGTTTTGAAAAAAATTAAAACTGCTTTTATTTGAGCTGAAATAAAACAAACAAGACTTTCTGCAGAATAAAAAATATTATCAGATATACTGTGAAAATGTCCTTGCTCTGTTAAACATCATTTGGGAAATATTTAAAAAAGACAAAAATAAAAAATAAAAATTCAAAGGTGGGCTAATCTTTCTGACTTCAACTGTGAGTGTGTGTATGTATGCATGTAAGTATGTATATATATATATATATATACATATATATATATATATATATTGGTCTATAAATATAATATAATTTCATACAAACAATATAGAGAAAATGTCAGACACGTGGGCCTTTAAAAATTGATCGGAGAAAGATTTGGGCCTTAAAGTAAAAAAGATGGATGTGTGAACGGTCTTTTCCAGAGAAATTCCATAACGTTCTTGTCTGTGTGAACAGCGCCTTTTTTGAGTATACCGGTAGAGTTGTTCTGGAGATTTAACAGATATTTACTGGTATCACTGTGTGAAAGGGGCATCTATGTGATTGAGGTAAAGTTGTTTATATATTCACACATTTGGACTTTCTCCTTAATAGTATGATTCCAGAAAAGTATTCTTTGAAAATTCTATAGAGTGAAATCATATAAACAGCAAATGACTATCAAGGTACATCGTTGTTTACAGTCAAATAAACAGCGCTAATGTTGTTTTAAAATCAGATTACATGTGATTGCAGACTGAATATTCATAGTACCATCGTAAACATTATAAGGAGCACATCATAAGTTGTCACTGAACGAATGTGTAAATATAAAACTAACTTTACCTCAATCTCTAGGTGTCACTGTAAAAGGTTATTCAAAACGTTGCTAAGCCTTGACACATTTGCTTCAACCGTTTCGTGGACCCTAACTTTGCCTACCACTATTTAATGTTTTCTTCATCAAAATGTGCATATCTTTCGCAGTATTTTACCTTCAAAGATTATTTGTTGTGATATTAGAAACACAAACATGGAAAAACCCAAACACATTCACTCATATTGTCCTCTCAAAACTCCTAGCTGCCTGCTGTATTGTTTTGGTCAGCAGACACACAGATAGAGGTGAACTCAATGCAGAAACTAGTCGCAGATTGTCGCTTTAATAAACTGTAAAGTGTGTTTTATTGTTGTGTAAACACGAAAAAAAGAGTCAACGACTCACCTCAGCTCTGAAGACTCGACGCTGAATGAACGCGTCAGTGCTGACGTCATTACGGTGAGGCGGGAGCAGCCGTGTATCAACAAAACCGCGCCAAATTAAAAGTTGACAGACCAAAACAATCGCTAATGTAAACAAAAACAATCACCATTTTCAAACATGTGAGGTGAAACGTTTTACTATGCACCTAAAAGCTAAATTTACCATTAAAAATGCACACGTATTAGGCATATATTTCATGGCTGACAGACACGTCTAAAATGATCAATCCCTGAAGTAGCTAGAATTTGCTTTTTAATAAAATGTAAGAAATAATAAAAAATATAAAAGACCAGATAAAAGTAACGATAAAACGATAACGATTATTTATCATTAAAAGTGTACCACATTTCTTTCCTGAACAGGCACAAAACAAAACAATAACAGCAGTACAAATTACAGAATTACAGGCAACGAACATTCACATGAAAACGTAACATTATGCAAATAAAACAATTGTATTTCGATGTTGTACCTAATTATATAAATTGAATCAGGAGGCCAGTGTTGGGTAAGTTACTTTAAATAAGTAATATATTACAAATTACAATATATTTACATAATTTATATTACAAATGACGACTACTGAACAATTGTAATTTCATTACATTACTAATTACTTAATATAAAAAGTAATCAGATTACTTATTACTTTAAAGTTACTTTTAAAACATAAAATACGCTAATAAAAATACAAAACAAACTGCAGCTCTTTCAGCAATTTAATATTTACTGAGAAACATTACAATGGGTTAATCACAGCAGTTTGACGTATTCACCAGACTTAAAGAGATCGTTCACACAAAACTTACAATACTGTCATTATTCACTCGATCCAAACCAGTTCGTCTTTTTTTAACACACAAGACATTTAGAGGAAAACTGTACACCTGTAACCACTGACATTCATAGTATGCAAAAGCACTGCAGTGTTTGGGTTTTCTGTGCGTGTCTGAGGTAATTAGCCTAGCGAAATATGTATATTTCATACAAAGTATGAAGCTGATTGGTCAGTTGCGAGCATGCGCAATATGCGCTCCAAATATGTGTGTGTGTAAGCTGCACACCTTCATTTTAAATAACGAACTTGCTCATGCAAAAGACGTGATATGTGAACAGCCCCATACGCAGCTAAGTTTCTCTTCACATTCAGAAGATATCTTCACTCCCAATCCGCTGTGTTTTTGGGCGCTAATGTCCTCCTTGGTGATGAGTATTATTGTCGTTGATTGCTTTCTGTTCAAGTGCTCGAACAAGCTGCTGGTCAAGTTAAAAGCAGCGTAAAGCTCTTTAGAGACTGGACATAGACTGACTTTCACAGCAATATTTTAGTTTTTACGCTCAATGAAATCAAAGTAATGTCTGTATTTCCACTTGAAGAAGCAGCCGCTCTCGTCAGCAGCCATTTCAGCTCACGTTCTCCAGCAATTTAATAGTGAATGCTTGCAGTGGAAAACGTGATTTAAAAGAAGCATTTTTTCCTTCTAATGCTATATTTGTAATATAAGTAGACTTCAGTAACTGTAATCAAATCACACACAGTTAAAATGTAATTCGTTACATTACTGAGTTCCCCAAAAATGTCATTAGAATACAGTAACACATTACTGTGGAATGCCGTACACCCAACTCTGCAGGAGGCAAAATTGCAGATGACTACAATAATAAAAGCTTCAGATAATGTTGTTTGGTGAGGAACTCCATCTGTAAGTCCCACAATGAAGCTGCTGTCAAAACTTCAGATGATGTTTCTTCATCCTAAAGCTGGTGAGGAGCTTTACACAAACTGATTGTGTTTGCGTGTCTGAGTAGACTAGACGAGTGGCCAAAACTCAGTTTCTCTTCAGCCTGAATCCTCTCCTGCAGTTCCAGTTCTTGAGTCTTCAGGTCTTCACACACTTAATGCACAAACACAGACTCTAAGATGTCTGTTCAGCTTTGAAGCCTTAAAAAATGTTGTGTTTTGTTTATTTGTAATTTGTCTCTGCAGTGTGGATCAGCACATGTTTGTTAAGGTTTGATAATCGGGTGAAACTCTTCCCACACTGAGTACATGTGTACGGTTTCTCTCCAGTGTGAGTCCTCTCATGTGTTTTCAGCAATCCTGAATCTCTGAATGATTTGCTGCAGTGTGAACACACGCAGGGTTTCTCTCCAGTGTGGATCATCTGGTGTCGTTTCAAGTCTCCAGCTCGAATAAAACTTCCCCCACACTCAAAGCACACAAACTCTCTCACACCAGTGTGGATCTGCTGATGTTTTCTCAAACATGACTGCTGTGTGAAACTCTTTCCACACTCAGAACAGGAATAGGGCTTCTCCTTTGTATGAAGTCTGAGATGTTTCTTCAACTCGTAAGGCCTCAGAAATGTTTTGCCACAATGATCACACTTGTGTGTTTTCTCCTTAGTGTGGATCATCTTATGTGAATTCAGGTTTCCTGAATGATTGAATCTCTTGTCGCAGTGTGAACACTTGTATGGTTTCTCTCCAGTGTGGGTCCTCATGTGAATCTTGAGATTGTATTTGCAACTGAAACTCTTTACACACTGAATGCAGGTGAAACATGTCACAGCTGTTCTGTCCACTGAAAAATGATCTTCAGTGTTTGTATGAGTTTCCTCTTCACTCTTGACATGATGTTTCTCCTCGTCTTCACTCAGTTCTTCACTCTCCTCCTTCACGATCACTTCTGAAAATTAATAAGTCACATTTTATTAGTCTCGTTTGTATCCGTACAGTAATATGATCATGAATTAGGGCTTATGTGTTTGGCTGAGATGTGTAAGTGGTCAATTATGTTTGCAACTTGGCTTTTAAACACTAAATATAATTACTTGGCCCCTTTAAAAGTGTCATACACTTAAAGATGTACTTTCAGTAGGCACGGTTGCCATAAAACCGAGACCTGTCATCAATGACCGATGCCATTTTCAAAATGTGACTGTGCAAGAAGTGGATGTGTTTGTGGTTGGGTGGTTAATTTTGGTATTAGCTCTTTCTTAGTTTAAAATAAAAAAAAAAAAACTGTCAAAAAAGTGTATATGGTGCGTGAAGAAGCCCCCTTGGCTCATGTCAAAAGATTCAAACCCAAAGCCTGCAGGCCAAAATCCGGCCAGCCATGTCATTTTATGAGGCCCACAAGAGCAGAAGATTAAAGAGTCCCTGTTATGGATTTTAAAAAATTACCTGTCATGCAGTCTGTAGCACAGTTTTAAAGGTGCTTTCACACCTAGACTTTAGTCTCGTTTGCCCAGTTAGTTTGGCATATGTGAATCTAGCAATCACGCTCGGATCTGTGCCAAAACAATCGCCTCATTCAGGTGATCTCGGCTCGATTGAAACGAACTCTGGAGCGGAATAATTGTAGTGAGAAAGCAAACGATCCGAGCCCGATTATATTACAGTGCTTTATGGATATGTAATAGGCATATGGCTATATGAAGAGAGAATTAGGAGTAGGGTGGGAGGTGATTCCAGACATCCCAAGTCTCCCAGAAGTTCCGAAATGTCCGCAAACGAGTGATAATCTCCCGGAAATTGTGCGTCTCCCTCCCGGTACTCAAATAGGTAGCACACCCATCTCACTCCTCCCCACCGCATCCGTCCTCGCTCTTCAGACACGTCGCGCGCACCCTATCAAACACCCCAAACCCAGCGGTCTTTACATCGTTTATATTGTTTTATTGCTCCTCGTCATAACTTAAAAATAATGACGCATGACAGCTGAGCGGGACGCTGCAAAATAAACCCTGACACTCTGACCAATGTGAGGAGAGTTTACTCACACGTGACTTGTTTTGGTTCTTTTAGTCCATTTAGAAACTTTGCAGTGTGAAAACGAACCACACCAAGAACAAAGAGCAACAATCAACCTATTTTAATCTCTGTTTCCGAACAACTGAATGATTCACAGATGTGAAAGACCAAAAGAGCTAAAACAAGTCACGTGCGAGTAAACTCTCCTCACATTGGTCAGAGTGTCAGGGTTTATTTTGCAGCGTCCCGCTCAGCTGTCAGGAGAGGTGGTGGTTTGGTGGTGATTGACAGGGTGCACGACGTGTCTGAGGAGAGGTGCGGTGGGGAGGTGTGAGAAGGGTGCGCGACGATGCCTATTTGAGGACCGGGAGGGAGACGCAAGATTACCGGGAGATCATCACTTGTTTGCGAACATCCGGAGACTCGTGAAACTTCCCACCATACTCATAATTCTCTCTTCATATAGCCGTAAGCCTATTACATATCCATAAAACACTGTGATATAACCGCGCTCGGATCGTATCGCTTTCTCACTGTAATCGAACCGCTCCAGGGTTCGTTTCAATCGAGCCGAGACCACCTCATTCAAGCGATCTCTGAGCGATTACTTTGGCGCGGAACAGAGCGCGATTGCCCTGTTCACATATGCCAAACGAACCGCGCTAACTGGGCAAATGAGACACGTTCCGAAACAAAAGTGTAGGTGTGAAAGCACCCTTAGTGAAAGAAAACATTCAGCAGAGGTTTACATTTGAAAGTGCACCACGTTTAAAACTATTTAGTCTCAAAAACAGAGGCAACCGATTTGAAACATTGTCATATATGAGGCGTTACCGTACGTTTACACCCGAAGCAGCAAGAGCGTCAAAGTAGTCATTCATTTTCAATGAGAGCCGGCGGCAATAAGTGGCAAAGGGCAGCGCGGCGCATCTTCGCTGGTTTGGCCGTCAAGGAGAGTTGAAATCAAGTCAACTTTATGGTAATGAGCAATGACGCGGTCCGGCGCCAACCAATCAGAATGAAGAAGTCCACCGCTTGGGAGAAGCTCAGAGAACACAGACCTGTGAACTTTGGTTCTGACCACAGTTGTTCCCAAGGGTTTGATTTTTGTGGTCGCCGGATTTCCAATTATTTAGGTTTTCTTACAGGCACATGCATTAAATAAGTTACTGGCGAGTTAATGATGTGCATTAATGTTATATATATATATATATATAGCTTTTAAAAAGCGGGAATCTCATGCGACAGTACAAAACAGTATTGCTGCTTCAGGATATTTCAGACATATGGACATATTAAATAATTAAATAGAGCAAAGCCACACGTAACTTGATCTTCCATTGTTAAATGAGTTTGATAAGAAGTGCACAACATTTTTATGCTAGAAACATCTTTTATGCAGGAATGTAACTGATATGCTGCAGCGGCCCCTTTAAAGGGCACCAATGGTAAAAAATCTACTTTTCAAGCTGTTTGGACAGATCTGTGTGTTGGTATAGTGTATAGACCGTCATACTGGGGTGATATGAACACACCCAGTCCTTTTTTTTCAATATAACTACAAAAAAAAGGGTCGGCCAATTGGAGCTGTTTTCAAATCGATCGCACCATTACGTAGGTGTGCGATCCCCCCGCCCACCGAATTGATTGACAGCTGCGCGCATTAACATGTTCCGGTAGTCGCGTGTATATGTCCACAAGACCAGGCAGACATACGCAAAGCAACCGGGAATAAAAGGTCTGTTCTGTTCGCTAGGATCAGCAATCATCATCAAATGTGATTAAGAGTGAGTTTCACATGTTTAAAGTGTTTTAAAACAGAGTATGTGTGTAATTAATTACAGCGATTTACTTCAGCTTTACTTCATCAGCACAGCCGCGTGTCAGAACAATTATCAGTATAAGACAGTATAAGATATAAGTATAAGAAATCAGTATAAGACAGCATCTTGTAATCATGTTGATGGGTATTTTGATCTGAAACTTTATATACACATTCTAGAGACGCAAAAGACTTATATTAAATCTGAAAAAAAGGGGTAACCTAGGTGCCCTTATATGAGATTAATGTAGTAAACTTTGACGCTCTCGCCGCCGGAGCTGAAGGCAGACAGTGTTGTCGCCAGGGTGGCCAGAGCTACCTTGGACGCTCTCGCCGCTTTCGGTGTGAACGCACAGTAAGAACTGGAAAAACCCGCCCTTACCTTCGCGCACTACACTAGTGTTTGACTGTGAGATGCAGCTGTGATGAATACTGAACATTAGCATTAGTTTAGCTGTAACTTGGTCTGCACAATTAATCAGAATAAAATGGTTATCTTGGTTTGAACCTCCACACGATCTTAATGCAGCATTTCTATGATTCTGCCAATGATATTTTCAAAGTCAGGAGAGAAGCATGGAGGTCGCACAAATCTTTGTGTTTTATACATGTTGCTTAGCAACATGAACACCTCCATATGATGTTGACAATGTCACATCCTGTATTTATAAAGTATAATTTAGCCAGAGATATAATTTCTGTCTTCATGTAATGACGGCCGCAAAATCACACGTGAGCTGACTGTGAGCTGTTGCCACAGAGAGGACGTGTGGGCGCCTGTAAATGAGGTCTACTTTAGTGAACAGAACTTGCATAGGCTGTTTTATTCATTCATTTTCTTTTCGGCTTAGACCCTTTTTTTAATCTGAGGTCGCCACAGCGGAATGAACCGCCAACTTATCCAGCATATGTTTTATGCAGCGGATGCCCTTCCGGCCGCGACCCAATACTGTGAAACTGCATAGGCGGCTTACGACAGGTAATACAGTTGAAAATAGCGTTCAGTTTGTTGCAGAGAGCGATTCTTTGAGAGCTGCATGAACGTATGATTTGCATGTGCTTTTTTTTCTTAAAGTGACGACAGCCATGACATGAGCAGCACTCTGCTGCGAAAGTGAAACTGAAAGTGCGCACATCATTTAAATGAGCATATCGGATTTTAGAGTTATGATTAAGACAAGCATTTGATGTTTTTTTTTCTTTCATATCAAACAGAAAGTGTTGTACATGAGAATAATTGTTTAACAACGTCCGTATAACTACTCTAGCCTAGATAACGCTACAATGCAATGCAGGAGGGAGTCTGATAATGATGAATGTCTCATTTTATTTTAGTTAAAAACTAGTCTAATAATTTGGTCAACAACAGATTGCAAGCATATGTGTCAAAAACATCGGTCACTGTATGAACTCTAAGATGTTTCTTAAGCTCTAAAGCCTTAAAAATGTATTCGTGACTTCTCTGTCCAGTGTGGCTCAACACATGTTTATCAATAGATGATGATCCTTACAGAGTACATGTGAACGGTTTCTCTCCAGTGTGAACACTCTGGTGTGTTTTCAGGTGTCCTGAATGTCTGAATGTTTTGTCGCAGTTTGAACACACGTACGGCTTCTCTTCAGTGTGGATCAATTGGTGTCGTCTCAAGTCTGCAGATTTATTAAAACTCCTCTCACACTCAGAGTACACAAACTCTCTCACACCAGTGTGGATCTGCTGATGTGCATTTAAATGTGACTGATGTCTAACTATTTATACACTGAGAGCAGAACTAAGGCTTCTCATTTGTATGACTTCTAAGATGGACCCTTAGCTGTGAAGGCCTCAAAAAAGCTTTGCCGCATTGATCACATCTGTGTGTTTTCTCTCCGGTGTGGAGCGGCATGTGTTTGTTAAGGTGTGATATTTTTGTGAAACTCTTCCCACACTGAGTACATGTTAATGGTGTCTCTCCAGTGTGAGTTGTTTTGTGATATTTAAGGGAACTAGCTAGACTGAATCTCTTGTCGCAGTGTGAACACACGTACGGTTTCTCTCCCGTGTGAATCCTCTGGTGCTGTTTCAAGTAATCAGCTCTAGTAAACGCCTTCTTACACTCAGAGCAGACAAACTCTCTCACACCAGTGTGGATCTGCTGATGTTTTCTTAAACTTGACTGCACTCCAAAACTCTTTCCACACTCAGAACATGAGTACAGCTTTTCCTTTGTGTGAACTCTAAGATGATTCTTCAGCTCTGAAGGCCTCAAAAAAGTTTTGCCGCACTGATCACATGTGTGTGTTTTCTCCCCAGTGTGGATCTTCATGTGTGAATTCAGGTTTCCTGAATGATTGAATGTCTTGTCGCAGTGTGAACACTTGAAGGGTTTCTCTCCAGTGTGGATCATCATGTGACGCTTGAGATCGTATTTAGAGCTTAAACTCTTTCCACACTGAGTGCAGGTCAAACCTTTTATGTCCGTTCTTTCCACTGAAACACCATGTTCAGTGTTTGGTTCAGTTTTGGTTTCACTTTTGACATGATGCTTCTCCTCATCTTCACTCAGTTCTTCACTCTCCTCCTTCACCACCACATCTGAAAATGAATGAGTTACATTTTAAGGCCCAATCCCAATTCGATTTTTGTACTTCTACCCCTTGATCCTTAAAGGTTCAGGACACCCTGGAGAACTTTTTTTTTATATTAACAGATGTGTGTGTGTTGAGCATCAGTTAAGACAATGTTAGCACCTGTCAGCTTTAATTGTGGGGAAAACTGGATAATTTTGAGCTTTTGTCAGCTAATTTCAGCTTCCGGGTTTAAAATGATTTTTGGGGCGGGATCAAAATCGGCGACGTAGCGCAGTAATGCAAGTGCAATGATGACGCGTCGGTTTCTCATTATTATTCATAGCGGAGTTTTCTTATCCTATGAGAAGAGCCGGCTGCTTAATTATTCATGAGAGCGTGCTTTCCTATGGCAGACCTGCCAGTTTCAAGCAAGCTGTGAGACACAGACCAACGGCACGTAGCCGTTCATGAAGGCTCGTATGTGTTTGTTTCCATGATCCACGGGGTTTGTTGCATGTTTTTTCCCCGCGATCCTGTCAGGGCCGATCATACAGCAAAGCTGTGCGTGTGCTGCAAGCATTTTTGTCGGGAGAGCAGTGCGAAAATTGAAGAATGGCGGACGCTGTCTTTTATCAGGAGTTCGTTCACATTCAGACACATCGCCGTGCTGCTGTGTTCGCCTAAATTCTCTATATTACCAGCAGGGCTAATGGTTAAAATAGGCACGTCAGGAGACCTGCTGCACTGAGTCTGCATTCAAGATCTATAATTTAGACCCGGGGATCGAGGGAGAACCCTCATTTATAGTGTTTACATGAACACACTTATCTTTATAATGATATAAGTTGTGGTTATGTGTTTATGAAATTACGAATAACAAATGTTGCAGGGCATTAAATTACTATTTATTTCTTTGCATTTTAACGTTGTAAACTATAAACTCATGCGTCTCCTCACGGTTTGTGTCTCAGTTTGTGAGCTAACTGTCAACAACAGTTATTCACTCCCCTTCTCCCCTGCTGGCCACGCCCACTCCTGCCCGATGCTCGCGGAGCTCCACGCCCATTAATCATGCATCTTTTGAAAAAATTCTGAAGTAGACTCTAACCAAAAGTGGGGGGTGTCATGGCCCTTTAAAACTAGTGTAAATGGGAAGGGCTTCAAAATTACCCCTAAGAATTGGGACAGCACTAGAGCACCTGCACACCACGTCATCATATGTCATCGCGTTCTCTTGCTTCATGTGAGGTCAGACGATGGCGACCGCTGTAGTGATTCCACTTGTGTTATTTTTTGGTATTTATCTTCAGGAAATCACTGAACGCATATATCATGTTATCATAACGATCTAATGTGGGACTAAGATCGTAACTGTACTGCGTATTTACACAGTGGCTATAATCATAATAATAATAATAATAATAATTCCTTACATTTCGATAGCGCTTTTCTGGGCACTCAAAGCACTTTACACAGTGGGGGGAATCTCCTCATCTACCACCAGTGTGCAGCATCCACCTGGATGACGCGACGGCAGCCATTTTGCGCCAGACCGCACACCACACACAAGCTGATTGGTGGAGAGGAGACAGTGATGCAGCCAATTGAATATGGGGAGGGTTAGGAGGCCATGATGGACAAAGGCCAGTGGGCAGATTTGGCCAGGATGCCAGGTTTAAACCCTTATTCTTTTCGAAGGACATCCTGGGATTTTTAACGACCACAGAGAGTCGGGACCTCGGTTTAACGTCTCATCCGAAAGGCGGCGCTCACTGAGCAGTATAGCGTCCCCGTCACTATACTGGGGCATTAGGACCCACACAGACCGCAGGTTAGGCGCCCTCTGCTGGCCTCACTAACACCACTTCCGGCAGCAACCTAGCTTTCCCATGTGGTCTCCCATCCAAGTACTGACCGGGCGCAGCCCTGCTTAGCTTCAGTGGGCGACCATGTGAGAGTCGCAGAGAGCTAGCTGCTGGCTAATCATCAATGTAAGCACAACAAAACAACACTAACATTATATCAGACACTGTAAACAGCCAATTCCCAGCCCCTAGACTTCTCTGACAGGGTGTATAAGTGTCATCAAGTGTCAGAATGTTGTTGGACTGCTGTAGAAGAGTTATGATTATGGATTATAGATCGCAAAATTTAGCGTTGTTTATTAGCAATTTTTTAAAAGCATGACAATAAAAAACGAACACGCTTATGAATATATTAAAAATGTGTGTTTGTTATACCAATTCATAATAATGACAAAAAAATACTCATTTGTGGATCTCCTGATGAATTTTCTTACCCCTTGGTTTCGAGTGTGATCTTCGAGTGTTCGAAGGGCTATTCACCCCTTCCCCTTAGCCCTATGCCTATTCAAGAAAAAGAGAATTGGGACACCCCTACCCCCTGACGTGAACATGCAAAACGAGGGGGAAGGGCTAAGGGGTAGAATTGGGATTGGGCCTAAAAGTCTAGTTTTTATCCATACAGTCAAATGATCATGAATAATGTGTTTGGCTGAGATGTGTAAGACCTTCATAGATATGACACATTTAGGCCTCGTTTACACTAGTGCGTTTTAGTTTGAAAACGCATAAGTTTTGCTACGGTTACGCCATCCGTCCACATTACGCCGGAGTTCTCGAGCGCCGAAAACGGAGCTTTTTGAAAACGCTGGAGAAGCCGTTTTCATTCTGAAACGCTGCTGCTCCGTCTCAGTGTGGATGGGGAAAGACGGAGACATCTGAAAACGGAGGCGGGGCTGCAAACGTTCGCCTATCTGATTGGGGCTTTTCCTCAATATTAAGTAGCCCACACACAGTTCAGTCTCGCATCCTCTTCTTGTAAGTTAAGACTTCGCAAGTTTGATCAAGGCTGCAGTCTCCCCCTTCTCAGTTTGATATGGAAAACATACAGAGGACACGGGTAAATCTTCAAAGGGAACAGTGTACTTTATAACTTCATTCACATCACCCTGGCTACGTTGTTTCACTTTCTCAACAATAAAATGTAAACATGATTTAAGGAACTGCCTATTTTCTTTTTAATATTAGCAACTTAACAGACAGCAGAAATGTTGAGGCGTCGTGCTGCATATATGAGCGTCATCTTCACTGTGTGGATATTTATAACAAAACGGAGCCGATAACAACTGCCTCCTTTCAATTTCAGTGAAAATACGAAACACAGCCTCTCTTTTGCTGAATATCAGTTTTAATAATCGATAATTATAAAAGTATAACATAAAATAAGTTTATACATTGTAGGAAATAAAGACGAGCGATCAGTCAATGTACCTGGATTAATCATTAACTTATCTTTGCGCTTAACCAAAACATGTTACCCGTGAACAAGTAACTTAATAGATTCCAATGACCAAAGTCAGGGAATTGGCCTATGTTGTAAGATAAAGACAACAACATGAATGAAATATCACGTTTAGCAAATATAGTGAGATTAGATCCAGCAGGAGATGCTTGATGAGCAGTCCGACAAGCAGAGCTCTCATCTGGGTAGAAATGCTGGAGCGCTTGCCCGAGAGTGTGTGTGTGGTCACGTGATGTGCGTTTTCAGCGTTTTGGTGTGGACGGAGAGCTGTTCAGAAACGCTGGGTAAAACGCGAGTGTGAACGCGGATCGTTTTCATTCTACAACGCCGTTTTAAAACTAAAACGCACTAGTGTAAACGGGGCCTTAGGGATGTACCCTCAGTAGGCATGGTTGCTTTGAACAGACAGCGGGCGCAATTGCCACCATTTTTAAAAGGTGACTTATGCAAGAACTGGATGTGTTTGTGGTTTGGTAGCTGTTTTTGGAAATTATTTGCTTTTTTCAAAGCTAAAAATATAAAAAGTGTCAATAAATGCCTGGACATTGAGTGAAGAAGCCCCATTGTTCATGTCAAGGGTGTCAAACTTAAGGCTCGCAGGTCAAAATCCTTTTATGAGGCCCACAAGGGCAAAAGATCAAAGAGCCCCATTATGGGTTCATATCTTACAAGCAGTGCAGAATCTCTGGTGTTTGATGAATTTGATAATTCTACGCTCTTGCCACAATCAACTGATCTTACACCAACGTGATACACTGCTTTCGCTTTTATGTCAATGGACCAGACACACCTCTAAGGAGCTTGTGGTCGATTTTCTAAATAATTTTTCCACTGTGTAAATATTACTGAATGTTTGTAGCTGTTATTAAGTGGTTTTATTGTTAAGAATAGAGTAAGAATAGAGGTCCGTTCTTCGTACGTGGATTACTCAGTTAGCTGGATTTGGATATTGACGATTTGACACGATCCAGGATCGTTTTGTTCTTCAAAGCTGATCCGAGAGTTGTTGTCATAGCAACAGTTCTGCTAGCTCAAACCTGATCGGGAGCAGGTTCAATTCATATAAACAGGATTAGATCGGCTCAGTTCAAGCAAAGATAATACTGAAAGTATGTGCCGAATTCTGATATTTTCTTACAGTAGTTATATACACTTGGGAAAAGGGTAAATATTTTTTTAACTATAAAGTTATGGTTATTAATAAAATAAATAAAGTTATCTATATTAATAAAACTTATGCAATCTGCACCCTCGAAATGAAAGTACAAAGACTGCCACTTGGTGGTGCAAAGAGAAAACTTATTGATATGAACTTTTTAGATCGCTTTAGTACAAATTGTGTATAATAGAAATGCACAATATGTGACTTTTTTAAAGCAATAATACATTTATGCAGTCATAAACATGTTTTGATAGTTAATATGCCAGTGATTTGATGCTTCACCAAAGTTGCAGACGCCTTTACTAATATCCAAACGCTTTTGTAAACAACCAGTTATTCTTTACACTGATTAAAAAACGGCTACTATAATAAAGAAAATCTTTTCTAAATGTAGAACTAAATACATTGATTTGCATTGAAATACATGATGAATACTCTTGACACATGAAAGTGTAAAGCCTGCAGCTCACAACAAATGTGGAAGGTTATTGTGTGTCATATTTAACAAGCCGTTTACTGCTAATTTGATGTAATTTTGCTCACATGGATAATTGAATATTAATCAGATGATGTCATTACGCTGCTGTGCCGTCAGCCAATCATTGCATTGCTGATCATGATTTCGAGGATCGATAGATCTGTCCTTCACAACACACGCAGCGATCTCAGATCAGTTTATCCAGACATTTTAATCTGATTCGCGAACTTGTTTGAAGAACCAAATTAGCCAGAGATCAGTTATCAAGTGGAACAGATCCAGGATCTGCCAAATCATCTTAGATCATTTAAGCGAGGTACGAAGAACAGACCCCTGGTGTGTAACTGCATTGCTTTAATGATTCTCTGCACTGGGCTCACACATATACTCTAGACGAGGCACTGCTGTTGAGTTGTGGTGGGTGTGTGATCTCACGGTGAACGCAGTTGACCAATCACAACAGACTGGGTCACCAAGATATGACCTTTTATAATGCATAATAGGGGCTCTTTAACATCTGATGCGATTAACTATTTATGCGAGTGGAGATTGCATACACAGTCAACGCAAGAACGTGAATGATGCTAAATGTGTGACGGGTTTGCATGTTATGCACTGAATTTCCTTCAATCATGTCTTTCGCTCAAGTTCAAGGTAATAAACTTAGATTCACATGCAGCGAAAACAACCTGTGAGTAATCTAGAGCGAGTGATGTAGCGTGTGTGTGTAAACTGCTGGTGCTGAGAAGAGTGCACGATAGAGCAAAGCTGGTACTGATACTAACCAAAAGCAAGATCGTATTGCTTTTTTAAAATATTGCAATATTGATGCTTATAAAAAGATTGATATTTCAGAAACTAGTGTGAAGGTTTATTTAATATTAATCATGTGATTAGCATAGAAGTATCTTGTGCTTGTTACTGGTTGAATTGAACAAGTTGTCAAATTGGAATCATGACACTGAGAAACAACAGTATCTGAACACACCGACACTCATCAGTCACTGACGGAGAAAACTCAAGCTTATTCACAGAGAGAGCTGGAGATTGGTCAGTTTCACTGCGGTCAGTGAGTGTCCAGTTTTCTCCAGTTATGATCAATACAGCAGCGAAAACGAATGTCAGATTAAAGAGTGATGAATAAACACAAACCTATTAGTTCTTCAGTCTCCTCCTGTTTAATTCTGCAGGGTTCTGGATCACTCATCTTCTCACTGTCCTTCAATAAACTCTGTCTTTGTCTTTCACTGATGGCGGCAGAGCTTCAGGAGAAGAAACAGAGAAATCCGATTCATTTACACTGACTGAGGAAATAAACACATTATGATGTTATATCTTGTGATACAATATGTGATTTGCTCATGTCAGGTGATTACAATAAAACTAACTTACATTTGTAGATCTGAATATAGATGAGCCTCAGACTATAAACACTCATTAAAGAGCAGCGGATCAGCTCATTTTAGACAGAGTGTTTAATGGATGAGCTCATCACTCCTATAATTAATTAAACCAATTTTATTTGCCAAAAATATTTATTGTTTGCATCAAACTTCACATATATTTATTTCCATTGTTTTCCTTCAGATACGTTTGCGATATTACTAATACAAAGCTGATGAACTCAAACACACAAACACAGTAAAACCAAAACACATTCACTCATATTGTCCTCTCAGAGCTGCTCTCTGCCTGCTGTATTGTTTTGGTCAGCAGACACACAGATAGAGGTGAACTCAATGCAGAAACTAGTCGCAGATTGTCGCTTTAATAAACTGTAAAGTGTGTTTTATTGTTGGGTAAACAGAAGAAAAGGCGTCAACGACTCACCTCAGCTCTGAAGACTCGACGCTGGATGAACGCGTCAGCGCTGACGTCATCGCGGCGGGCCGGAGCAACGGTGAAGCAACAAAAACGCACCAGATTCTAAGCTGACAAGCCAAAGCAATTGCTAATGTTGACAAAACAAAGCGAAAAAACCCACCTTACTCAATCATTCGAGTTGAATCTTTTAATAAGGCATGTAAAACGTTCTGTATTTACCAAATTTAAAGGTGCAGTAAGTTACTTTGACACCCAGTGGTTGAACGAGGTATTGCACACGTGATTCAAAACATTCACTCAGCTTCTTCTCTGATAAGTTTTTTTTCTGTGTTTTTTTCTTTTATTTTTTATTAACAATACAGAAATATACAGTAATATACATACATACATACATATATATGTCAGAATTTAAACAAAAACATTCAGTAATTAAATATATTATATTCCTTAAGAATAATATAAGTCTTCTTCGCTTTTTTTTTAATTAACAATGTTCTCCAAACTTGTGCAGCATTAGTCTCTTGAAGGAAATGAACAAAATGTTGGCTTTGATCCAGTCCATTTTTATGTATATGAAACTTTCCCATAGTAATAAAAAGTTGTACTAGAAAGGTACATTTTTTACATGTATTGACATAATAAGTGCAAATATCAAAATTGTGTAACTTGAATACAATATTTGTTTTCCTTCGAAGAACATTTTCCACATCCACCCAGAAAATCCTTGAGAATACACAATTAGAAAACATATGGACGATAGATTCCTTTTCCTTGCAACAAAAATCACAGGAATAATCGATATCCAAATTAAATCTCTCCAAAACCTCTTTAGCTGGATCTATAAAATCTAAAATTCTACACATATCTGCTTTTACTTTATTCATACAATTATTTCATAAGAACGCCAACCTTTTTTCCAATTTATATTCATGAATAAATTAGTACATTTTAGACTATTATATATATAACTGTATTACCTGTTATAATACTTCTGGACTGTCAGGAGGTGCTGTCACTTGAGGGCAGCTTTGAGTGGCAGGCGAGCGGCTGGCGACACTCAGAGGCTCTGGGCACTGTGGGTTGCCTCCGGGCCTTGCTCCTCCTGCGTCTTAAGGCTAATTTATACTTCTGCATCAAACGCCGGCGTATGCTACGCCGCTGACGCATAGCCCTTCGCCGTGGCCGTCGCTGACATGCATCTCTCAAAAAATGTAACTACACGTCGCAACGACACGTAGCGCAAGCTCTGTGATTGGTCGGCTTGGTAGCGCTGACGAGTCTGGGCGGGACTGATAGAGCGATTGTTTTCAAGTGTGGAGTCCCGTGAAGGAGCTCCGGATGGAAAGTTTTGTTTTGTGTTTACCTCATAGTTAAAGTTGTTGCACGTCCGCCTGTTCCTGCCTTAAAATGAGCGAGTTTGAGCCACTTGTACATCCCGGAAGTGTTCAGGAAAAGCAAAGCAGCAGCGAAGAAACTCGACACAGAGGAACATTTACACCTCACTGCCCACTAGCGTTTCGAAAGTGTTAATGCAGACCAACAGAGACAGTGCGCAGAAGTATAAATGCACTGCTACGCGCGTTGCCTGCGCCGTGAGTTACGCCGGTCACTTGACGCAGAAGTATAAACCAGGCTTTACTGGAAGTTGTGACTTCTGTGTGATGTGTCGTCATCGCTACTGCTTTCAGACATCTCATCCTGCCTTGATGGGTTCTTGCAGCTGGATGCACTGGGTAAAGTCTAGATCGGATACGCAATTGACCAGAAGTGCGATATGCACATTAATATAGCAGATGTTTTTTTTGACACAGTATAACAATAATTCATATTTTTAGTGCTGTGATGGTTGGGTGTAGGATTGGGGTAGGCCAGGGGTCACCAATCTTGTTCCTGGAGGTCCGGTGCCCTGCAGGGTTTAGCTCCAACTTGCCTCAAAACACCTGCATGGGTGTTTCCAGTATACCTAGTAAGAGCTTGATTAGCTTGTTCAGGTGTGTTTGATTAGGGTTGGAGCTAAACTTTGCAGGACACCGGCCCTCCAGGACCGACTTTGGATGTGCCTGCCTTAACTGTGAAATCTGGTGTTTGTGAGTTTTCAGGAAGAAAAATGTCATTGAGGTGTACAACTCTCTCTTAAAGGGCACCTAGGTTACCCCTTTTTTCAGATTTAATATAAGAGTTTTGCGTCTCTAGAATGTGTATTTAAAGTTTCAGCTCAAAATACCCATCAGATTTTTCATTATACCTTTTACAAGATCCTGTTTCATACTTATTTCCACCAGGGGATGGTTTTATCGTACTGCGCCTTTAAGACGAGTCTTCCCCGCCTACTGTTTCTACGACCCTTCCCACGTGCTAATCTCCTCCCTCGGCTGGGTCAGACAATAGACAGACTTAAAGGAAGAAGGTCTCACGTAGCGTTTGTGAGAAATACTACAGTAAGAACTTTACAAACTTAATCAGTATTTGTTGTGAAGTTGCATTGAGTCACATGCAATATCGTTTCAAAGTTCACTTGTAACAGGGTTAAAATAATGTTTAATTGTCTTTCACCAAAATGGCTTATTTTGTGGTTGTTGAGAGACCTCTTGTGGCAACAGTGTGTAATTGTTTCTTTCACCTTTCACCTGCAAAGCCCCGTCTACAGCAGAAATAGTTGCTGAATACAGAAAGGCGGTAGGTAAAATGTGATCCAGCTAAATGTGACAATTTTTGTATTTTAACACATATTAATAACACATACAAGCCCCAATACGAACATTAAGTGATGTTTTAGATTAAATCTGTCGAGTGATTGCCGTGTGTGACCAACTTTGTGTGGTTAAATTTGCTCATGCTATGTGTAGCTGGAATGATGACATTAATATGTGCAGGGGTGATGTCTTACTATTTGTTTGTTTTTTTTAGATGCATGTTTAAATGCATACTGTTGCCAGAGGATGTGTATTTCTGTTACAGGTATGTTGAACTTTTGTAAATAAATAATGTTTTTTTAAAATGACGTTATGTGGCAATACAGCAGAAAATGGTTGCTGAATACAGAAAGGCGACGCATGTTTAAATGCATACTGTTGCCAGAGGATGTATATTTCTGTTACAGAATAAACAACGCAGAACGCGGTTCTGTGTTTGCGTCATCAGAAAGAGAAGCGTTACACATGCACACACAAACACACAGGCCGACAAACAGAGCGCGCTTAGCTTTGCACTGTTTTTGCACTCAAATGTGACAGGATACAGGCTAACCTCCACTGCTGTGTGGATGTCTGTTATGTTATTGTACAAAATAAACCTGATTTAATGTCCACAAACCGGGATTGAAGCGTCTTCTTTTATAATTGTTTTGACACGCGGCTGTGCTGATGAAGTAAAGCTGAAGTAAATCGCTGTAATTAATTACACACGTGCTCTGTTTTAAAACACTTTAAACATGTGAAACTCACTCTTAATCACATTTGATGATGATTGCTGATCCTAGTGAACAGACCTTTTATTCCCGGTTGCTATGCGTATGTCTGCTTGGCCTTGTTGACATAAACAGGTGACTACCGGGACATGTTAATGCGCACAGCTGTCAATGAATTCTGTGGGCGGGGGGATTGCACTACTACGTAAAGTTGCAGTCGGTCTAAAAACCGCTCCAATTGGTGCACCGTTTATATGTTGTTAAATTGAAAAAAAAAGGACTGAGTGTGTTTATATCACCCCAATATGATGGTCTATACCAGTGGTCACCAAACTTGTTCCTGGAGGGCCGGTGTCCTGCAGATTTTAGCTCCAGCCCTAATCAAACACACCTGAACAAGCTAATCAAGCTCTTACTAGGTATACTTGAAACATCCAGGCAGGTGTGTTGAAGCAAGTTGGAGCTAAAACCTGCAGGGACACCGGCCCTCCAGGACCGAGATTGGTGACCCCTGGTCTATACACTATATATACACACATATGTCTGTCCGAATAGCTTGAAAAGTAGATTTTTCACCATAGATGCCCTTTAAAAAGCATGAATAAAGCTTTTCCTTTGTATGAACTCTAAGATGTCTCTTTAGCTCTGAAGCCTTAAAAAAGGTTTTGTTTTTATTCATGACTTTTCTCTCCAGTGTGCACCAGCAAATGTCTATTAAGGTGAGCGAACTGTGCGAAACTCCTCCCACACTGAGCACATGTGTACGGTTTCTCTCCAGTGTGAGTCCTCTCATGCGTTTTCAGGTATCCCGAATCTCTGAATGCTTTGTCGCAGTGTGAACACACGTACGGCTTCTCTCCGGTGTGAATCTTCTGGTGTCGTCTCAAGTCTGAAACTCGTATAAAAGTCTTCCCACACACAAAGCACACGTGCTCTCTCACACCGGCGTGGATCTTCTGATGGCCGTTTAAATGGGACAGAAGTGTAAAGCTCTTCCCACACTCTGAACATAAATACGGCCTCTCGTTTGTATGAACTCTGCGATGTTTGTTCAGCTCTGAAGACCTGAAAAACGTTTTGTCGCACTGATCGCATTTGTGTGGTCTCTCTCCAGTGTGGACCAGCATGTGTTCCCTAAGGTGTGATAGTTGTGTGAAACTCTTCCCACACTGAGTACATGTGAACGGTCGCTCACCAGTGTGAGTCATTTGGTGAAATTTAAGGAGACTAGCCAGTCTGAATCTCTTGTCGCAGACCGAACACTCATAAGGTTTCTCTCCAAGGTGAATCCTCTCGTGCCGTTTCAAGTATTCTGCTGTGGTAAACGTCTTCTTACACTTAAAGCAGACAAACTTTCTCACAGCAGTGTGGAGCTTCTGATGGTCTTTTAGATGTGTCGGATGTCTAAAACTCTTCCCACACTCAGAGCATGAATAAGGCCTCTCCGTTGTATGAACGCTGAGATGTCTCTTCAGCTCTGAAGCCCTCAAATACGATTTGCTGCACTGGTCACATTTGTGTGGTCTCTCTCCACTGTGGATCATCATGTGACGCTTGAGATGGCATCTAGAGCTTAAACTCTTTCCACACTGAGTGCAGGTGAAACATTCCAGGGCTGTTCTTTCCACTGAAACATCATGTTCAGTGTTTACGAGAGTTTCGTCTTCACTCTTGACATGATGTTTCTCCTCATCTTCACTCAGTTCTTCACTCTCCTCCTTCACAATCACATCTGAAAATTGAATAAGTCACATTTTAAGAGTCTAGAGTTTATCTGTGCAGTGAAATAATCATGAAGAATGTGTTTGGCTGAGATGTGCAAGATCTTCATAGTCATGACACATTTGAAGATGTACTCTCACTACGCATGATTCACTGAGACCGGGCGCAATCGTCATGATTGACCGAAGGTGACTGTGCAAGAACTGGATGTGTTCGCGGTTGAGCAGTTCTTTTTGGTTAGTATTAACTGTTTTACCAAAGTTTAAAATGTAAAAAGTGTCAAAACAGTATAAATGCCATGATGTTGACTGAAGAAGTCCCATTGGTTCATGTCTAGGGTGTCTAACGCAAAGCAAAATCCATCGAGCCATATCATTTTATGAACCCCATAGGAGCAGAAGATTAAAGAGTCCCTATTATGAGTTTGTGAAAATGACCTGTCATGCAGTCTGTAACACAGCTGTAGGTGAATGAAAACATTCAGCTGAGGTTTACATCTGAAAGTGTACTGTGTTTAATACTATTGATTCACTGTGAGATATTGAGATTATATATATATATATATATATATATATATATATATATATATATATTTATATATATATATATATATATATATATATATATATATATATATATTTCAGGGCTCGAAATTAACTTTTTTACTTGGTAGCACCGGTGCTCCCAACTTCAAATATTTAGGCGCACCAAAAAAAAATTTAGGAGCAACAGAAAAAATTTAGGAGCACCCACCAAAAATGAATGAGCACCGCTGCAAATTGTTTTTTTAAGGGATTTATTGTATTTTAAAACAACATTAATAGGACTGACAAAAACCAGAAACAACTATCTAACTAAAGCTGCGAAGACATTGATATTTGTGTGCAATAATTCCAAAATGAATGTCTAATAATTAGGCCATAGAATATTAATGATGATAAAAAATGACAATAATAGTAACAATGAATTGCATTTCTCATTATGATGCTGCCTTGAATGTGCTTGAATGTAGGTTATCTGCTATAAAAAGTCTGTTCCTTTATGAAAAATAATTGTATAGTTTGCATCAAACAAAAATGAAGCATTGCAGTAAGAAATATTGATTTTGTACTGCTGTTTTTATATGCATGTCAATTTAATAAATAATATTTCTGCTACAAAACAAACAAAAGATTATAATAAATCATTCAATTCAATGATGAAAGCTGCAAAGCAGTCATCAGTAAATAAAAAAAATAATAATATACACCTCAAAAAAGAATTGACAAAAGAAAGTTGCCATAAGTAAAGTCTCACTTCTATCACTCTTTAAAAGTTTTGGTTTCAGTTTGTGTCAATTTAAAGGTTCAGTCTGAGCTGATCTTCATGTTTCTGTGTTTGTGGAAGAGCTGGCGAGTCAGCCGACCCAATTTATGAGCAGGCAGAGCAGGATTCTTGCTGTGACCATCAGCGCAATACCGGTCTTTGTTATGAGCCGCTGTTTCAGTGTAAACTTAGTAAAGGCGAGCTTCTTTGGCGATGATATGTACAGTATTAGATTTGACTTTTAGCAGACATTTGCGCTGAACACGCAGTGAATGCAACACATGGAGATTCGGGCGACTTCTCCAAGAAGCGCGTACTCAATTGATCACAGCTGGCGGATCATTATTCACCACGTGACGTGTCATGATCGCTTTCATCTGCGCCTCAACTTTAGGTGGGGTTTGCAAACCTGTGTGCTTTAAGTTTTTACTCTTCAGCTGTTTGTATTTCCCGTGGTCATAAAAGCTCCTTCCCTGTCATCTGACAGCGGAATACCTTGAGTGATTTACAGCTAATATGAACCAATATAGCGGCAGGGAAGAGCGATTCAGCACGTTTTTAGAAAAAAAACAAAACAGGTCGCACCACAACCATTATCTGCAATCGCACTAATGCGCCCAAATATATTATGAGGTCGCATAGATTAATTTTCGGGCGCATATGCGACCAAAATGGTCGCAATTTCGAGCCCTATATATCCACACACGCACAACCTCACTGATTTTTAGGCTCGTTATTGAAGAGAATTGAATAAAAACAAACCTATTAGTTCTTCAGTCTCTTCCTGTTTAATTCTGCAGGGTTCTGGATCACTCATCTTCTCACTGTCCTTCAATAAACTCTGTCTTTGTCTTTCACTGATGGCGGCAGAGCTTCAGGAGAAGAAACAGAGAAATCTGATTTATTTACACTGAGGAAATAAACACATTATGATGTTATGTCTTGTGATACAATATGTGATTAGCTCATGTCAGGTGATTACAATAACATTAACTTACATTTGTAGATCTGAACATTGATGAACCCCAGACTATAAACACTCATTAAATTGCAGCAGATCCGCTCATTTTACAGTGATTGCAGGATAAGATCATTGCTATAGTGAATAATTTTAAAAAATAGCATTTATATCAGTATATAGTTTAAGTATTCACACCAATAAAGTAATCAGATTGTCAGCAACATTTATATTGTATTCATACATATTTATTTAAATTGTGTCCCTTCAGATACTTTATAATATTAGTAATACAAACGCTGATAAAGTCAAACACATTCGCTCATATTGTCCTCTCAGAGCTGCTCTCTGCCTGCTGTATTGTTTTGGTCAGCAGACACACAGATAGAGGTGAACTCAATGCAGAAACTAGTCGCAGATTGTCGCTTTAATAAACTGTAAAGTGTGTTTTATTGTTGTGTAAACACGAGAAAAAGCGTCAACGACTCACCTCAGCTCTGAAGACTCGACGCGGAATGAACGCGTCAGTGGTGACGTCATCACGGCGAGGCGGTGAAGCAACAAAAACCCGCCAAATTAAAAGCCGACAACCGAAAATAATCGCTAATGTAGATGAAACAACACCCTACTTAATCATGCGAGGAGAAACGTTTTATTAGGCGCTGAAAACATTTTTAAAACGCATTTAATACATTTAAAAAGCAAACATGATAGGCATTCACGGCTACCAGACATATGTCTAAAATACACTATTCCTGAAGTAACTAAAATTGGTTATTAATAAATGTAAGATTCTAAAAATGTTTTTTTTAAATAAACCCAAATAAAAATAAATATGAAAAAACTAATATTACATATACCATCTCTCATTGAGAGTGTACAGCTTTTCTTTGTTGAAAAAGTCGATAAATGAGTATCAGCCTAAAAACAGAGAATTACAGGCCATGAACATTCATATGAGAATTTAACATTATACAAATAAAACATTTAAATTTCGACACTTTTGCCTAATTACTACAGGAAAAATGTCATTTGGTTACAGTAATAATTACTTCATGTAAAAAGTAACCAGATTACTAATTATGGCACGTTTCCACTGAGTGGTACAGTGCGGTGCGGTTCGGTACGCTTTTATGGCTGTTTCCACTGTCAAAAAGCATACCACACCGTGCCATACCACTTTTCGGCACCCTTTCGAAAGGGTACCAAACAGGAGAATGGGTACCAAAAGGTGGAGCTTAACGTGCAGCTGAACGCTGATTGGTTACAGAGATACGTCACGAGCTCGTGGAGCTACACAACGTAAACAAAGGAACCGCCATGCTTTTTTTAAAAATACAAAGCCGAGACATTACATGGAAATACTACATGCATTTAAAAACGAGCCATGGATGACCCAAGCTCAAACAAACCTTGACGTTGTCTCGATGAACAGACACAAAGCCAAGAAGAAAAATCTGCCGTGTCCTGTTGTTGCTTTACGAGCCCTATATTTGACCTTATACGAGCGCTTCTATATTTGACATAACGAACTTGTTGAGCAGATGTTAACAACGTGTGTGTGATTATTGAAGTGTGTCCGTCATCTGATCCATTCAAAAAAAAAGGACAAGCGCGAGAGTGAAGCCAGAATGAAACGAAGAAAAGCTGTCAAAACACAGGAGCAAAATTGTTTTAGCAACCTGAATCATGAACAAACTGCCGTGTTTATCTTTGCCTTTTGGACTATTATGAACTGGGTATGACAAAATGACTCTCTTACAGAGCTTACATGTGCTGGTGAAGATTACAGACACAGATGAGAGGTTTGCGCTGACTGTGGGCTATATTGCATGTTGTTTATGAACCTAAATAAGGACTAAATGTCTGCTGTGTGTAGTTTTTCTGTAATTAATAATATATTGGAGACTGTAAGGGGCTGTATGTGTTCATATATGTTGCATTTATGTATTTATTTTATATAATTACAGACGTTACAGTAGGCTATTTCGCACTGTCATTGATCTGCAGTTATAATCAACTCCTGTTTATAGAAAAGTTAGTAATAAACATTTTTACACAAGTATTTATGTGTATGAAGCATCTGTTTTGTGAGAAGTGCTGCTCATTATGATAAGTGAAAGACCTGTACAGCTTTCCTGTAGACATTAATTCGAGCGAGCATGACGTCGATTTAAACTTTGTCATACACCACGCCCACCAAAAGCGTACCCTTTGTGATGGAAACGCAAGCCTGATAAAGGTGACCCGTACCGACCAGAACCGTACCGTACTGTACCAGTCAGTGGAAACGAGGCATAACTTTACTTTGAAGTTACTTTTTTAAAACATAAAATATACGCATAATAATACAAAACAAACTGCAGCTCTTTTAGCAATTTAATATTTACTGAAAAACATTACAATGGGTTGATCACAGCAGTTTGACATATTTTTAGTAAATGATGCCATTATTAATGTGAGACGAAGAAGATACAAACGCAAACCTCTCCTGTACTCTGACATTCCAATACTTCAGGGCTCATCTTGATCTGAATCAGTCAAGTGTGAACGTAGAGCACGACGTGACCAGAAGAGGGCGCGCAAGACTAATGAACGGAGAGGCAGTGAGATGTTACCTCTCTCTGACCCTCATCTGCTCTTACCCTCCCCTGACCCCCCCCTCCTCTGAATGCACACAGCCAGACGGAATCTGCCAACGTTTTTTTGCTATTTCTGCGGAGAATTTTGGTAAAAATTTGCGGATTTCTGCGGAATTATTTTGGGAGTATCATAACTAAAACCTTAACAAGTGAATTAAAAAGTAATACCTTTGTAACTTTTTTTCAATGTTTAAAATGCAAATCCAATTAGATTCACTGTATTTGGTAAACAAAGCAAGTCTCTCATATAATATCTCTACTAAAAGACAGAAAGTATTACTGTACACACTGCATTGTACAAAAATCAGATGAAGATTTTCATATTAGTCAATAATATTACTGAAATTTATTTAAAAACTGAATAAATATAGATGTACACACATTTACTCAAGTAAAAAAACAGAATTAATGACGGGCTAAAAATCTGTGGAAATCTGCAGGAAATCTGCGCGCGCAGATTCCGTGTGGGCCTACCCATCACTAACAGCTAGCGCAGCTGAACATGGAGGAGATTCTCTGGCTATGGAAGCCGGAGCTTCCGTACGCGGTGGGCACCTCGGGTAGATGCTATGTGCATAAATAGCTTAAAACTGTCTAAATAATGTGCTTGTAATTGCTTATATGTTGATTCATGTTCTTAAATATACCTAGGGACAACTATTAGGGCTGTAACGATACACCAAACCAACGATTCGATTCGTATCACGATTTTTGACCCACGATTCGGTTCGTATCACGATTTTTTTTTTCGTGTGGGGTGGGAAAAGATTTTTAAAACTATTTTTTATTAAATAACATTTGAAAAATCTTTATAAACTAAACATCAAAGAACAATATTAACTATGCAAATTATTAACAATATAAATAGCCAAAGCTACATCACTTTCGTTTTCTTTGTAACAAAATACTGTTGAAAAACCAAACAGAACTAAACTCCATTGTGTAGATGGTTCAATCAAGTTCTCTTACATAGAAAAAGTAAATTCTAGGGATGCTCATTTCGGTTAATTTTGCTAACCGACAACCGCCGCTCATTAATCGGTTATTAACGGTTAACTGGTCAGATTACTATTCGTTTTATATTAAACAAATTGACGTGTCTATTTTGTGTCTGACACATTAAATATTGCATTTTAACATAGGCTACCGATTTATTTTTAAATGTTAGCATATTAATAACAGAACAGAACAACAGAGCATCTTCACGCACCTGCAGTGTTTAGCACAGAAGAGCAGAATAATCTAAATAAAATGAATAAAATAAATAGGACTGCCCTAAATTATTTTCATTTAAATAATTATTTTTTATACAGGGCTCAACAATAAGGACTGCCCGGTGGCCCGGGGCCAGCGTGAAAGACACTCGGGACAGTAGACAGGATTGTTACTGGCCCCTATCGGCCAGTAACGATGAGAATGTTTTTTTTGTTTGTTTTTTTTTGTAACCTGGTAACAACCAGTACAGTGAAAAGATGGCAACATGGTAGCAAATTTAAACAATGAGGCTAAAAGAAAACGTTTCTAAAGGCTTAGAAGCAGACCATTACATGGGTACAAAATTAAGAAACTGAAAAAAAGAACAACAAAAAAAACAGTTGTCAGTTTGGCAAGCCATTTTTATAAAAAGTTATTTAGAATTGCATTAAAACACCAGCACATTTTTCATACTGCTCTTTCATTTGCATAAAATCTTGAATCTTGAATTTTGCTCATTATACATTTATTAACATATTTAAAATGTTTAAATTCTAGATTCACATGCATAATTTTGCCACTATTTAAAATATGTGGCTAAGAAATAGCTATTAACTTTTTAGTTTTTTTGGTGGGGCTAGTGAAAATTTTGACAGGGCAAGTAAAAATCTTAAGCAATGGCCCGATCGGACCTGTATAAAAAATCATTAGCGTTGAACCCTGTTATATTACAAAACGAAAATACTGACTGATTATTTTTAATAACCGGCATAGGCTGTTTTTTTCCAATCATTTTTCTTCCGTCAAACAAATATCGCAGACTTCCTCAAATTGCCCGCTCCACGGAAAATATGCATTTATTTAATGCCCCGCTGTTATTATTTTAATAACAAAACCTTTTACATTTTTAATAGAAATCATTATTTTAAAGAATATGTCCTGATGGTTTCCTCTCTCTCCCTCGTGGTTCAAGTGCGCGCGCTGCTTGATGAAAAGACAACAACGCGCGCATATGTAGACTTTTTGTAAACAGTTTTGTTGTTTAAATATGCTATTGCATTAATGTGCATACATGCTTTATAAGCCGAAAACAAGGCGCACCTCACTGTCTTTATGTTGACAAGGAAAAAAGAAGAGAAGAGGCGCGGTCCTCTTATGAAACGACTGAATCAGCTGGGTATCGATTGTGCAAAAGTGTTGCTGTCTGTGTTGTTACAATTGTAATATTTAATACTATTGTGATATTCAAGATTTGTACATTCATACAGCTCTGGATAACTTAAAACAGCGATTAGACCTTCAGAGCAGTGTTAATGCGTCCTGAAGTAAAGCGAAGCGGCTATAAACTCCAGCAAGATAGAGTGATTATATGCAGAGCCATATACCTTTATCTCTAAATAAAGTATAACTGTAGAAACTGTGTTCATCTTAACTGAAAGCTTCGTCCTGTTTCCTGGCCTCACGCATCGCGCACCTGTCAGTCAGCACGTAACGTTAACTCCCAAAGGGTTAAACAGAAAGCGCACAGCAAGGTTACAGAAAAGATTCCTCTGCAGAGGAGTCGGGGCATCTGGTGAACGCCCATCCCTCTCTGCGCAGCCACATTAACAACAATGCTTTGACAGCACTGGCAATGTTTCTGCCGTTGTCTGTTGAAAAAGCGGGGTTAAGTTGGTTTTGTTTTTGATATTCCTGACACATTCAGACAGTCCCTTACTAAGAGCTCCGTGCGAGCTCTCCCGGCTAAATGCTAATTGCGAGGGCTTAAACGTAGCAGTGCTCGTAATGTCGAGCGGAAAAAAAAGTGTTTCCTCACGTTCTTCTTCAACTAGCTCAACTTTTGCAGGCACGCGTGACGTTATTGGAAAGGTAGTCACGGGGTGTGTCGCGATTCCCCCTCATCACACCGCGACACAGGATCGTAGATCTGAGTGTCGCGATTTCGATTTCATATCGTGAATCGTTACAGCCCTAACAACTATAAATGTTCAATAAGACATGACCTATAAGTTTTGCTTACTATCAGAATTCTTGACTGAGTGGTCAGACCAATGACTGTAAAAAATATGGACGACGCGACAGCCCCTTTTCCCATTGAACGCCTTGAGGGCAAAACGCCTGCTTGACGGGCACAAACTGTCGCAAAACACTGCTGAAATTGGAGCCTTGACATGCGCAGAAGGACTGTCTGATGGAGCCAGAGGAGGAGCCGCGAAAATGAGCAGAGTCGAGCTTCCAACCAAACGCTTTATGAAAAATCAACCATGCCCCCCGAACTTCTCAGCATGCGTTTGCTGTCATATCAACACAAATGGATGTAATAACGTTAACAAATATGAGGGTTTTATATATTTAATCGCGCCAGCTCCGGACCGCAGCGCATAACCTACTCGCGGCGTCGCGGGCTGATTCCGGCTCGCATGCAGCAGCGCCGGCTCGCTCGGCTGCCGCATCTGGCTCGATTGACTCGGGCTGAAATCGGGCAGTGAGTCCAGGCATCCGGAGTAGGTCCAGCAGAGGTAGTCAGTCTGAGGGGTAAGTCTCTGGCAGGCTAGAATCTAGCTGGAACTGGCCCGAGTGTATTTTGCTATCTGGGTGGTTAGGCGTGTATCAGCAAACTAATAAAGCCCGAAAAAAGCCCTGACCTTAGCGAATAAACAGTGTTCCACCAGGATCATGCATGTCAGAAACTATAGTTTACTGCTGAACTCATTTTGTCATGGTAAAATAACACAGAAATCGAATAGTAACACTTCAGTCTCCTGCCGAAGCTCAGACGCGCTGCTTTGAGAAACTGTCAATCACAACTGTCAATCACGATGACACGCCCAGCATTAAATTACTGCTAAAAACAAACTGTTTACAAAAATGAAGATCTGCACCTATTTCAGCACAATAACCAGTGCCTTAATCCACCAGAACCATCTTTCGGGACAGTTTATTGCAAGTGTAATATTTTTTTTTATTTGGGCTCAAGTCTCCTTCATTAACACGGAGGAGGCGGGCTTTATGACTTGTACTGCAGCCAGCCCCCAGGGGGCGATCTAACGGCCGAGACCTTCACTCAAACACAGGCTTGCGGCACACTTGGGTCAGACGGTAAGCAGCATATAAGCCTATTGCATATCCGTAATACACTGTGATGTAGCCCTGTTTGGATCATATCGCTTTTTCACTACAATCAATCTGCTCAAGAGTTTGTTTCAATCGAGCAGAGACCACCTCATTTAGGCGATCTTGGATTGATTGTTTTGGTGCGGATCCGAATGAGATTGCTGGATTCACATATGCCAAACGGATCGAGCTAACTGGAGAAACGGACCAGGTTCTAAAACAAAAGTCTAGGTATGTAAGCACCCTTAAAAGCAGTGGTAAGCTCTTTAGAGACTGGACATAGACTGACTTTCAGAGCAATATTTTAGTTTTTACTCTAAATGAAATCAAATGTCTGTATTTGTACGTGAAGAAGCAGCCGCTCTCGTCAGCAGCCATTTAAAACCACACACACTGCTCACACGTGCCGTCTCTCACTATTGATAAGCTGTGGTGGGTGTTTCCTACCAGTCTCAAGTTGAATGCAGTTGACCAATCACAACAGATTAGCATCACTGAATGAATCACTGAGGTGTAAAACTCTCTAAAAGATTAGGAATAAGGCTTCACCTGTGTATGAAGTCTAAGATGTCTCTTTAGCTCTGAAGTCCTCAAAAACCTTTTGCTGCACTGATCACATTTGTGTTTTTTCACTCCAGTGTGGATCAGCTTGTGTTCATTAAGGGTTGATGACCATGTGAAACTCTTCCCACACTGAGAACATGTGAACGGTTTCTCTCCAGTGTGAGTCCTCTCATGTGCTTTCAGGTATCCTGAATGTCTGAATGTTTTGTTGCAGAGTGAACACACATTCTGTTTTTCTCCATTGTGAATCTTCTGGTGCATTTTCAAGGCTCTAACTGTAATAAAACTCCTCCCACACTTAAAGCAGACAAACCCTCTCACACCAGTGTGGATCTGCTGATGGTCTTTTAAACTTGACTGTCGTGTAAAACTCTTTCCACACTCTGAGCATGAATAAGGCTTCTCCTTTGTATGGACTGTAAGATGGATCTTCAGCTCTGAAGGCCTCAAAAATGTTTTGCTGCACTGATCACATGTGTGTGTTCTCTCACTGGTGTGGATCAGCATGTGTTTTGTCAGGTTTCCTGGATTATTGAACCTCTTGTCGCAGTGTGAACACTTGTACGGTTTCTTTCCAGTGTGAATAATCTGGTGTCGTCTCAAGCCTGCAGCTTTCATAAAACTCTTCCCACAGTCAGAGCAGGCAAACTCTCTCACACCAGTGTGGATCTTCTGATGGCCATTTAAATGTGACTTCTGTGTAAAACTCTTCCCACACTCAGAACATGAATACGGCCTCTCGTTTGCATGAACTCTAAGATGTCTGTTCAGCTGTGAAGTCCTCAAAAATGTCTTGCTGCATTGATCACATCTGTGTGTTTTCTCTCCAGTGTGGATCTTCATGTGTTCATTAAGGTTTGATGATTGTGTGAAACTCTTCCCACACTGAGTACATGTGAACGGTTTTTCCCCAGTGTGAGTCATTTTGTGATATTTAAGGAAACTAGCCAGTCTGAAACTCTTTCCACACTCGGAACATGAATAAGGCTTTTCTGTTGTATGATCTCTGAGATGTTTCTTTAGATCTGAAGGCCACAAAAATGTTTTGCTGCATTGATCACATGAGTAAGATCTCTCTCCAGTGGGGCTCATCATGTCAAGCTTGAGAGTCTGTTGGCTGAAACTTTTTCCACACTGAGTGCGGGTCAAACCTTTCACAGCTGTTCTTTCCACTGAAAGACTATCTTCAGTCTCTGACTGAGTTTCTTCTTTACTCTTGACATGATGTTTCTCCTCATCTTCACTCAGTTCTTCACTCTCCTCCTTCACCTTCACATCTGAAAATTAATAAGTCACATTTTAAGAGTCTAGTGTTTATCTTGTGCATGTTACCGACTGAACATGCTTACAAACTAGAAAATCAAAACACTGGGAAACAACAGTATCTGAACACACCGACACTCATCAGTCACTAAAGGAGAAAACTCAAGCTTATTCACAGAGAGAGCTGGAGATTGGTCAGTTTCACTGCGGTCAGTGAGTGTCCAGTTTTCTCCAGTTATGATCAATACAGCAGCGAAGACGAATGTCAGATTAACAACCTCACTGTTCTTCAGCCTCATTATTGAAGAGTAATGAATAAACACAAACCTATTAGTTCTTCAGTCTCTTCCTGTTTAATTCTGCAGGGTTCTGGATCACTCATCTTCTCACTGTCCTTCAATAAACTCTGTCTTTGTCTTTCACTGGTGGCGGCAGAGCTTCAGGAGAACAGAGAAATCTGATTTATTTACACTGAGGAAATAAACACATGATGGTATATCTTGTGATATAATATGTGATTATGTAACTTGCCCAAGTCAGGTGACGCCAATAACATTAATTTAAATTTGTAGATCTGAATATTAATAAGCCTCAGACTATAAACACTCATTAAAAAGCAGCAGATCTTCTCATTTTGCAGGATGAGCTCATCACTATTGTAGTTAATTGAAACACTGTATTTATATCAATATCTAGTTTAAGTATTCACACCAATTAAGTAATCAGGTTGTCAGCAGTCGCGAACAGAACAGAAACTGAGAAATTGGAAAAACCGTTGGAAAATAAAGAGCGCCAAAAACTATTTAACGTGTTTGCATCAAACTTCATACACATTTATTCCTTTCATTTGCCTTCAGATACTTTATAACATCATTAATACAAACGCTGATGAATAAATTCAAACACATTCACTCATATTGTGCTCTCAGAGCTGCTCTCTGCCTGCTGTATTGTTTTGGTCAGCAGACACACAGATAGAGGTGAACTCAATGCAGAAACTAGTCGCAGATTGTCGCTTTAATAAGCTGTAAAGTGTGTTTTATTGTTGTGTAAACACGAGAAAAAGCGTCAACGACTCACCTCAGCTCTGAAGACTCGACGCTGAGCGAACGCGTCAGTGGTGACGTCATCACGGCGAGGCGGGAGCAACGGTGAAGTAACAAAAACCCGCCAAATTAAAAGCTGACAACCGAAAATAATCGCTAATCTAGACGAAACAACACTTCACCCAATTGTGCGAGGTTAAACGTTTTATTAGGCACTGAAAACGTTAGAATGCATTTAACAAATTTAAAAAGCAAACATAATAGGCATTCATGGCTGCCAGGCATATGTCTAAAACTATTGCTGGAGTAACTAAAATTAGTTATTAATAAAATGTAAAAAATCAAAAATTATATTTTTAAATGAAAAAAATTAAAACAACGAAAGAACAAAAGTATCATTAAGAGTGTACAGCTTTTCTTTGTTAAAAAAAGTTGATTAAAATTAACAGCCTAAAACAGGGATGGGCAAACTTGATCCTCGATGGGTCGGTGTCCCTGCAGAGTTCTGTTCCAACACTAGTCAAACTGTTTGTTCACTCAAACTGAAAATTATTTCTGTCATTAATTATTAACACCCCCGTCGTTCCAACCTTCAGAACACACATTTAAATATTTTAAAATATATGACATAGCAATTGAATTATGAAAATGGTGAGATTAAAGCCAGTCCTATATTTCAGAGATCCGGTCCCCGCGTCAGGTCTGGTGCGCCCGTAAATAGCCTTTAAAACGCGCACACGGCGATGGAGGCGCACTCAACTCACAACAGAGAAAAGTGTGTGACATGATAGGAGCAGCTTAATTCATTACATGCTTTAGTTAACTAATTATTTAAACACAACTCTCTTGAGCTCTAAAAGGAAAAAACACATAAGAAATTTGCTGTTAAATTAATTTTAGCAGAGACGCAAATGCCAGTCATTTATTAGTTCGGGAAGATGTAGCCTAATAAAAATGTTTTAATAAAAATAAATAGTTTACTGCACAGTCCCACAGTAGGCTACACTATAAATAATATTTAAATTTATTTATTAATATTATTATTATTATTACAATTAAGCTAAAATTGACAAAACGCAGAACCCTTTGAAAGTTTGCTTTCATTTTGCTAAAAAGCGCACTTTTACAGTTGTGTAGAGAAACATCCCATTATGCAGCAGCAGTCAAGGTATAACACATAATAAATGCCTTTTGGGTTTAAAGATGAACGGCCTGCGAAGTCAAGTTTGCAGTGTTATAAATGGAATATAGTGCTTAAGTGGATTTACCGCAGATCAACCGAGAAACCTTGTGCGCTGCAGGTAGGCTGAATGATAATCTTTTAAAAATATGTAATTTATGCTATACTGCTATTGGCTCATGCAAAATTAAACAACATAAAATATATTGTAGATCTATTTTGAGAGATAAAATACAACATATCGAGTTTGTTTTGACTTGTAGCTCATGGCCTAAAATGAAAATAACCTGAAAACAAGCTATTAAAAAAGGCTTAATAAATAAAATAATTAATAAATAAAATGACGGGTAGGCCTTGTAACCTAATGGTTTATGATGGTTTACAATATCACGAAAAAAGCACACTTATGATAGCCTAAGATAAATCTTTGTTTTTACATTTAAAATGATTTAAAAAAAAGTCACATAGCATATTGAGTTGCCTGTTATCCGTGCCAAAATTTAACCAATTTTCACGGTAATAACATGTGAATTTTGGTATCTTTTTTAGGTATTTTTCTGGCTACACTAATGCATTAAAATGTAACTCAGTAATTGTTTTAAATGACATTAGATTGTAACATTTAGCTTTTCCCTAACAGTGATGTTGGTTGGATAATAGGCTACGTGAAGCGTGATGACTCGGTTAAGCTGATTTCACTATATTAATTTACCAGTTAAATGAATAGTCAGATCGTGGGTCAGCGTGCATGTGTGGGCATAATTTGACGTCTTTACCTAAAACTTTAAACATTCATAGGCCTGTTATTTGAAATAAAATGGAAATAAGGAGAATAACATATATGATTTAAAGCACTCGTTTGGCACTGAAGCCATGATCCGTCTGCATTAATAAGCGGTATGCATTACCATCGTTAATAAAATTCGTAATAGCGAAACTGCATATTGTTATTACTATTAAAACGTAGCCTATATTACTGCCTTAGGTCAGTAACTTAGGCAGTAATGCAAAGTAATAATAAATGTGAATAAATAGCCTAAATGAAAAAAACAAGAGACCAAAATCAGTCACCAGGTCTAGTGCCCCCCTATGGATTTAAAGTGCCCCCTCAGTTTTGACTTCCTGGCGCCGGGCCTGCACTGGCCCTACAGTTTGCCCACACCTGGCCTAAAAACAGAAAAGTACAGGCCATGAACATTCATATGAGAATTTAACATTATACAAATAAAACATTTAAATTTCAATACTTTTGCCTAATAATATGAATTGTATCAGGAGACCAGAGTTGGGTAGGTTACTACTGGAAAATTGTACTTTGATTACATTACTAATTACTCCATGTAAAAAAGTAACCAGATTACTAATTACTTTGCTTTGAAGCTACGTTCAAAACATTTGAAATATACCAAGACTTAAAGAGATAGTTCATCCAAAACTTACAATTCTCTCATCATTCACTCGTTCCAAACCGGTTTGTCAGCTTTATGGTCAAAGTCAGCTTTATTGTCAACTCAACCACATGTACAGGACATACAGAGAATAGAAATTACGTTACTGTCAGACCATAGGTGCCTAACATATAATATTAATACAAGAAGTAGAATGTTGAGAAAGAATTTACAATAAATACAATTATACATTAAATGTAGGGATTAAAATTGTTGCTCTTTGTTCTTGGTGCGGTTCGGTTTCACACGGCAAAGTTTCTAAATGGACTAAAAGAGCTAAAACAAGTCACGTGTGAGTAAACTCTCCTCACATTGGTCAGAGTGTCAGGGTTTGTTTTTTAGAGTTTATTTCCTTATTAAAGTCATGACGATCAGCAATAAGACAATATAAGCGAAAAGCTGCTCTTTAATATTGAATGGTGACACCCACAGACATCGTCACCAAATATAGATCAGAGATAAGATTTTCTCATACATGGCAGTTGGCTTATGCATTATAGGCTTTACAAAGAATAATAACAGATACACCCAGACTGCAGTTCTGTCATCTTTTCCTAATGGATAAACAGCTCTCGTTAATAATTCAGCATGCTTTCACTTTCATATTTGACATGAAACGCACATTTAAATATAGGAATGACATCCCGCCCTACTCCTCATTCTCTCTTCATATAGCCGCATATATGCCTACTCCATATCCGTAATACACTGTGATATAGCCTGGTTTGGATCATATCGCTTTCTTACTACAATCGATCTGCTCAAGAGTTCGTGTCAATCGAGCAGAGACCACCTCATTCAGGCGATCTCGAAACGATTGTTTTGGCGCAATCTGAGCGCAATTGCTGGATTCACATATGCCAAACGAACCGCGCTAATTGGAGAAACGCACCAGGTTCTGAAACAAAGGTTTGAAAACTCTTAAAATCAGTGGAAAGTTCTTTAGAGACTAGATTTGAGTTTTTACGCTCAATGAAATCAAAGTACTGTCTGTATTTCCACTTGAAGAAGCAGCCGCTCTCGTCAGCAGCCATTTCTGCTTGCGTTCTCCAGCAATTTAATAGTGAATGCTCATTAACTTTTCCCTGAGATAGGTTGCGGCTGGAAGGGCATCCGCTGCGTAAAAACTTGCTGGATAAGATGGAGGTTCATTCCGCTGTGGCGACCCCGGATTAATAAAGGGACTAAGCCGACAAGAAAATGAATGATATATGTGTCAGGGTTGTGGATGGGAAATGGGGAAAAAGGAGCGAGGACTCAAATGCAGGGAAATGGGATTTTATTAAATAATAAAAATAAAATAAAATGCAAAATAAACTACCCCGAGGGGGAAAACATTAGCAAAACAAATTGTACACATACAAACAGGACTGGGCAGGCTGGCAAGGATGAGGACTGGAAACAGGACAGGACAAGACTTCGAACAACAACATGTGATGACAAACAGGCACAGGACAGCAAATGTGAGGGGAACTGTAGAAAATTCACACAAACAGGTGAACACAATGAACTAATAATGGGATAACAAGGAGGGTGGGACAACACAATAGACGGGAGAGCGCATGACACAGAGAGACAACACAAGCCATGCGCTCACATAACAGGACAAGAACATGCAGCCAATGAGAGAACTCATTAACCGCATGTTTGTGACAACACAAACACAACACTGAAGCACACGAGAAAAGCACGTGACCACAATGTAAACACATAGCCACGTGCTCTGACAGACGCAAGACACGAGCACACGATGAATGACAACACTCACCGTGCGCTCACACACGCAGCGTGCATGTTTCATCCCAGCGCCGACCAAAACCGAAACCAACTGGATTGAGACGCTGGGAATGAAACTCCGCGCTGCAGACAGACGAAAACACAAACACGAGTACAAGAGCGCGCGCGTCTGAGGCACGCAAAGACCGCGCGGCCGCAGCAAGCACACAGAGACACACAATGACAGAAACAGAACGAGACTGAGCTAGTGTCAGAGCTCTGCCACCAAAACAAGAATTTACAAGACCAGAGTGGCAGAACCATGACAATATGAATGAATGCTCATTAACTGATGTTGCAGTGGAAAACGTGATGTAAAAGAATCCTTTTTTCTTCTAATGCAAGGGGGTCTCAAACTCCCGGCTCACAGGCCATTTACAGCCCCCTCCCTCCTCCGGCCCGCAACTGATGTTTAAAAATATAACAAGATTCGGCCCCCAAAACATTTGTTTTGAATCACTATAATTGTTGTGCATATGGTCACGTATGGTTTTGACCCCCACCTATTGGCCAATTAAAGGACTGCTCTATTTTAAACTGTATTTCAGTTTTACTTTCATTTTTCACGTGGTCGCCAATGCACATTATTTCTGTTTTAAATTAAAAGTGCTCTAATTTTACTAAAGCTCTGTTTTTGTAAATATGCAAGGGTCATTTGATTATTATCAGTTTTATACCGCCTGTATTTTATTGAACAAACACTTTTTCATGGCTTACACGTTACGCTGGTGGTGTAAGAAATACGCTTTTCTGCTAATATTCAATTCAAATGGCCTCATTTGATTCATTTTCCTCATATGCATATTGAGATTTCTATAAAAACTATGTGCATTTTACTGCTGGTTGAATTGAACATGTTAAAGTAAGTGAATATATATATATATATATATATATATATATATATATATATATATATATATATATATATATACTTTCCCCCTCTTTGTTGTAGTTTCAAAAACAGAAAGATATTGAGAAGAATAGGTGCCAGTAAAGTCAGTCCATCTATAAGCTGATCTGAATCCCACAATGAAGCTGCTGTCAAAACTTTAGACGACGTTTCTTCGTCCTAAAGCTGGTGAGGAGTTCTTCACACACTTAATGCACAAAGACAGATCTTCTGAGATGCTCAGTTTAAAGGGCGACCTGTAAAACCCTGTGGTGGGCGTTTTCTATCAGGGCGTACTCACACTATGTACAGTTGCCTAAAACCGGGCCGAAGCACGCTTGTCCCGAATCCTTCTCCCCCTGACAGCCTGCGCTCGCATCGCATTCAGGCCCGAGCAAGCTTAAATCCTCAATGATGAGCTGTTCAGTAGAGACGCGCTCTCGCTCAGCACAGTGGAGATTTCTTTAGTTATGTCATTTGACATGCAGTCAAATATTTCGCCGAACAGATCAGCCACTTTTGACGCTCAAAGTCCTCGTGCTGCAGGAGTTAGGAGGTTTGCTGAAGGTGCAGCTGTCGTGCAGTGAGGGGTTTTGCGTATTTAATAATCTACGACAGTTTGCGTTCACTGAACAGTAAGACTGATTAATTAACACATATGAAACAGTCCCTTAAGAGTCACGTCTTGTCTTCAGTTTCGGGCTTAGGTGGGCTTTGCACTCACATTACAAGTGTACCACGCCAAAGCCCAAGTGAACCACACTCTGGCACACCTCTTCCAACCGGGCCAGAGCCGGCCAAGTGAACTGCTCCTGAGCCCGATTCACACTTCTCAAACCATCTGGGAAACAGGCCTGGGCAATGTTCGGACAGCCTAGTGTGAGTACGCCCTCAGACTCATGTTGAACGCAGTTGACCAACCACCACAGATTAGAATCATGCAAAAGAAAAAAAATCACTGAGGTGTAAAACTCTCCTAAAGATCATGAATAAGGCTTCTCCTTTGTATGAAGCCTAAGATGTCTCCTCAGCTCTGAAGTCCTCAAAAATGTTTTGCTGCAGTGATCACATTGGTGCGGTCTCTCTCCAGTGTGCGTCAGCATGTGTTCAGTAAGAGATGAAGATCGTGCAAAACTCTTCCCACACTGAGAACATGTGAACGGTTTCTCTCCAGTGTGAATCATCTCATGTGTTTTCAGGTATCCTGAATGTCTGAATGTCTTGTCGCAGTGTGAACACTTGTACGGTTTCTCTCCAGTGTGGATCAGCTGGTGCATTTTCAAGGCTCTAGCTGTAATAAAACTCTTCCCACACTTAAAGCACACAAACTCTCTCACACCAGCGTGGATCTTTTCATGTTCATTTAAACTTGTCTGTCGTGTGAAACTCTTTCCACACTCTGCGCATGAATACGGCTTCTCCTTTGTATGAACTCTGAGATGCATCTTCAGCTCTGCACTCCTCAAAAATGTTTTGCCGCACTGATCACATGTGTGTGTTTTCTCCCCAGTGTGGATCAGCTTGTGTTTTTTCAAGTTTCCTAAATTATTAAATCTCTTGTCGCAGTGTGAACACTTGTAATGTTTCTCCCCAGTGTGGATCATCTGGTGTCGTTTCAAATCTGCAGTTTTCATGAAACTCTTCCCACAGTCAGAGCAGACAAACTCCCTCACACCAGTGTGGATATGCTGATGTGCTATTAAATGTGACTGATGTCTAAAACCCTTTCCACACTCAGAACATGAATACGGCTTCTCGTTTGTGTGAACTCTAAGATGTCTGTTCAGCTCTGAAGGCCTGAAAAATGTTTTCCCGCACCGATCGCATTTGTGTGTTTTCTCTCCAGTGTGGATCATCATGTGCTCCTTAAGGTGTGATGATTGTGTGAAACTCTTCCCACACTGAGTACATGTGAACGGTTTTTCCCCAGTGTGAATCATTTTGTGAAATTTAAGGAGACTAGTCAGTCTGAATCTCTTGCCGCAGTGTGAACACACATAAGGTTTCTCTCCAGAGTGAATGCTCTCGTGCCGTTTCAAGTATTCAGCTGTAGTAAACGTCTTCTCACACTCAAAGCAGACAAACTCTCTCACACCAGTGTGGATCTTCTGATGTTGTGCTAAACTTTTCTGTCGTCTAAAACTCTTTCCACAGTCAGAACATGAGTACGGTTTCTCCTTTGTATGAACTCTAAGATGTTTCTTTAGCTCTGAAGGCCTCAAAAATGTTTGGCTGCACTGATCACATCTGTGTGTTTTCTCTCCAGTGTGGATCAGCAAGTGATGCTTGAGATTCTCTTTGCGGCTGTAACTCTTTCCACACTGAGTGCAGGTGAAACCTTTCACAACTGTTCTTTCTATCGAAAAACTATCGTCAGTCTCTGACTGAGCTTCTTCTTCACTCTTGACATGATGTTTCTCCTCATCTTCACTCAGTTCTTCACTCTCCTCCTTCACTATCACATCTGAAAATGAAAAAGTCACATTTTAGGTCTAGTTTTTATCTGTACATGTTATCATAACCATGTGATTAGCATAGAGGTATCTTCTGCATGTTACCAATTGAACTGAACATGCTTATAAACCAGAAAACCAATGAGAAACAACAGTATCTGAACACACCGACACTCATCAGTCACTAAAGGAGAAAACTCAAGCTCTTGAAGAGACCAGGGGCCTCATGTACGAAGACTTGCGTGGAAATCATACTAAAACATTGCGTACGCTCAAAGCTGTAAATGTGCGTACGCAGAAAAAAATTCAGATGTATGAAACACTGCGTACGCCGAGTGTCACGCATATTCTTTTGAACATCCGAATGAACGTGAAACTGAGCGCAACATGCACGAGCACAAAACCCCTCCCTGCCTCCTCCCCCGTATGAATATGCTAATGACTATGCTAATGGAAAAAACCAACGAAAAAGCAACGGCAAAAGCAAGCAAGAAGAGAAACTTTGAACAGAATGTGAATTGGAGGTGCTGCTTTCAGAGGTAGACCGGAGAAAAGCGGTGTTATTTGCAAGTTTGTTCTCCGGAATTAACAACAAAAGAAAAAAAATAGAGTGGGAGAGTTTAGCTGATGCGGTTAACACAGTTGGGTCTGAACATCGCACTGAGTGCATTAAAAAAAAAGAAATAATGTGGTTTATATCTGTAAAATGTTGCAGTACCCTTAGCAGTCTCAGTGGCGCAGTTCATAAGACGCATGTCAACATGTTTTGACACGTTCAAGCATGAACTCGGCTCGAATCCAGCGTCTGATGAACACTTTCTTCTTTTTTTCCCCGCTACATATCAGATTTTGCCCACTATTTATCACGAGAAAGAAGTAGGAATCATTAATAAGTTTGTGCATCATATTTTATTTGCACATTATTGAATGGAAATGTTTCTGATTCACGCATGCAAATTCATCTTCAGATAGTGTCTTTATAGCAATGTGCGTGCAGTAGATTGCTCAGATTACATTGGGAAAACAGGCGACCGCTGCAAATTGTGCTTTAATGTTTAGCTGGTCAACTGCATGGTATGGAAACCTTATATACCTACTATATGAACCCGTCTCATACAGCTGCCATTGCACGGCTCAGACACTTTGTAGAGAGGAATTTAACACAACTGCCTCTAGGAGTCGCCAATGGAAATAAAACAGACACGCACAAAAAATGTGCGTACGCCAGCCAGAAAGCTGCCGTGAAGCTGCGCACATTCCCACGTTCAGTTCATTGTTAGTAAATCCAAACGTGAGCGATTCTGAGCGTGAAACCTGGCGTACGCAAAGTTTTTGTGCGTACGCAGCGTTGATACATGAGGCCCCTGGAGATTGGTCAGTTTCAGTACCATTTATTAGATTTTCCTCATATCTGTAAAAAACTGTATACATTTTACTGCTGGTTGAATTGAACACGTTAAAAAGCCCCTACTTTGCATTGAAAAAGGTCATATTTTGGTTTTATGGGTCTCCAACAACAGGCTGATCTGCGTGCTAGGTCAAAACACACAATCATTGTCTTATAATATGCATGTGTTTACCCAATTATCCCAGCGGCTCCCATATGAATCGTTCAGCGATTCATTTGTTCCCAAACCCTTCCTTAGCGCAAAGCTAATCTGGAGAGGTCTCGCCTTAAAGGCGCAGTACGACAAAACCACCCCCTGGTGGAGAAATGTATAAAACAGGATCTTGTAAAAGGTATAATGAAAAATCTGATGGGTGTTTTGACCTGAAACTACATTCTAGAGACGCAAAAGACTTATATTAAATCTGAAAAAAGGGGTAACCTAGGTGTCCTTTAAACCTAATTCTGTAGGAGACAAATTGGCAGACGACTACAATAATAAAAGCTTCAGTTATGCTGTTTGGTGAGGAACATCATCTATAAGCTGATCTGAATCCCACAATGAAGCTGCTGTCAAAACTTTGGATGATGTTTCTTCATCCTAAAACTAGTGAGGAGTTTTACACAAACTGATTGTGTTTGGTGTCTGAGTAGACTAGACGAGTGGCCAAAACTCTACGGTTTCTCTTCAGTCTGAATCTTCTCCTGCAGTTTCAGTTCTTCAATAATAGCCTTCACACACTTAATGCACAAACACTGATCTTCTGAGATGCTCAGTTTAAAAGCCGACCTGTAAAACCCCACACACCGATCACCGTCTCTCACTCTTGATAAGCTGTGATGGGCATTTTCTCAGTCTCAAGATGAATGCAGTCGACCAATCACGACACACTGGGTCATCAGACCAATCACCCCGAGATTAGCATCATGCAAAAGTACGGTTCGGAGTAAATGAATCACTGAGGTGTAAAACTCTCTCTTAAAGATTAAGAATATGGCTTCACCTGTGTATGAAGTCTAAGATGTCGCCTCAGCTCTGAAGTCCTCAAAAACGTTTTGCTGCACTGATCACATTTGTGTGTTTTCCTTCCAGTGTGGATCAGCTTGTGTTCATTAAGGGTTGATGATCGTGCGAAACTCTTCCCACACTGACTACAAGTGAACGGTTTCTCTCCAGTGTGAGTCCTCTCGTGTGTTTTCAGGTATCCTAAATGTCTGAATGTTTTGTTGCAGTGTGAACACACGTACGGCTTCTCTTCAGTGTGAATCATCTGGTGTCGTCTCAAGTCTGCAGCTTTCATAAAGCTCTTCCCACAGTCAGAGCAGACAAACTCTTTCACACCAGTGTGGATCTTCTGATGCTCTGTTAAATGTGACTTCTGCGTAAAACTCTTCCCACATTCAGAACATGAATACGGCCTCTCGTTTGCATGAACTCGAAGATGTCTGTTCAGCTGTGCAGACCTAAAATATGCATTGCCGCATTGATCACATTTGTGTGGTCTCTCTCCAGTGTGGATCTTCATGTGTTCATTAAGGTGTGATATTTGTGTGAAACCTTTCCCACACTGCGAACATCTGAACGGTTTCTCTTCATTGTGAATCATTTTGTGATATTTAAGCGTACCTGCAAGTCTGAATCTCTTGCCGCAGTGCGAACACTCATACGGTTTCTCTCCAGTGTGAATCTTCTGGTGCTGTTTCAAGTATTCAGCTGTAGTAAACGTCTTCTCACACTCAAAGCAGACAAACTCTCTCACACCAGTGTGGATTTTTTGATGTTGTGATAAACTTTTCTGTCGTCTAAAACTCTTTCCGCACTCAGAGCATGAATAAGGCTTTTCTGTTGTGTGAACTCTAAGATGTTTCCTTAGATCTAAAGGTCTCAAAAACGCTTTGCCGCACTGATCACATGTGTGTGTTTTCTCTCCAGTGTGAATCATCTGGTGTGAATTCAGGTTTCCTGAATGACTGAATCTCTTGTCGCAGTGTGAACACTCATACGGTTTCTCTCCATAGTGAATCCTCTGGTGCCGTTTCAAGTATACAGCTGTAGTAAACGTCTTCTTACACTCAAAGCAGACATGCTCTCTCACACCAGCATGGATTTTCCTATGTTGTGATAAATCTGTCTGTCGTGTAAAACTCTTTCCACACTCAGGACATGAATAAGGCTTCTCCGTTGTATGAAGTCTACGATGTTTCTTTAGATCTGAAGCCCTCAAAAATGTTTTGCTGCATTGATCACATTTGTGTGTTTTCTCTCCTGTGTGGAGCAGCTTGTGTGTTTTCAGGTTTCCTGGATGATTGAATCTCATGTCGCAGTGTGAACACTTGAAAGGTTTCTCTCCAGTGTGGATCATCATGTGAAGCTTGAGAGTCTGTCTGCGGCTGTAACTCTTTCCACACTGAGTGCAGGTGAAACCTTTAACAGCTGTTCTTTCTACCAAAAAACTATCTTCAGTCTCTGGTTGAGTTTCTTCTTCCCTCTTGACCTGATGTTTCTCCTCATCTTCACTCAGTTCTTCACTCTCCTCCTTCACCTTCACATCTGAAAATTAATAATTCACATTTTAAGAGTCTAGTTTTTACCCATACAGTCAGCTGGGTCATGGACGAAAGTGTGGCGGGCGCTGCCTTCACTATTCTGCCACCCAAGGCGGCCGCTTAGGTCGCCTCTATGGACGTGAGATTGTGCACAGCATGCAGCATTTAGGTAGAAATGAAGGGTCGTAGATGTTTGTTTCTATGATCCACAAGGTTTGTTGCATGGCTTTCCCCGTGATGCCATCAGGGTTACAGATACAACCAAGCTGTTTGTATGTTGCAAACATTTTTGTGAAGAGAGCTGTAGAATGCTGGACTTTGTCTTTCATCAGTTGAGTTTGTTACCATTCAGACTGAACGGGTGTGTCATTGCTATTAATTGGGGTTATGGTTGAGGATAGAGTGATAAGCTGGTGTTTAACTGCATTGCTTTAATGATTCTCTACATTGAGTTCACACATATACTCTGGATATACCCGTTAACGTCAATACCTCTTAGTATCAAAATGGCATTTTAGAACAAGAATGATCCACATCGTGTTTTACTTAGCATTTCTGAACAGCCCTCCGTCCGCTGAAAACGCACATCACGTGACCACAGACAGACACACACACACACACAGCCACACACTCTCATGTGCTCCTCTGAGCTCAAGAGTGCAGTGCACGTTGGACAGTTTATCAAGGATTCAATTCAATTCAGCTTTATTTGTATAGCGCTTTTACAATGTAGATTGTGTAAAAGCAGCTTCACATAAATGGTCATAGTAACTGGAACAGTGTAGTTCAGTTTTTAGTGGTTCAGTTCAGTTCAGTTTAGCGCAGTTCAGTGTGATTTTAAATCATAAATGAGAGTTCAAACACTGAAGAGCAAATTCATCGATGCGTAGCTCTACCAATCCTGAACCATGCGAGCCAGTGGCGACAGCGGAGAGGGAGAAAAAACTTCACCTGATAGGAGAGCGAAGAAAAAAAAGGATGTACCGCTGGATCACGTCTCACTTTAGTTGTTAAACGTGACATTCAGACATTCCGGGAAGTTCCGGGACTCTTAGCATTTGCAGGACTCAAAATGCCCGCAAACGAGTGATAATCTCCTGGATATCGTGCGGCTCCCTCCTGGTCCACCCCTGGATCCCTCCTCGCGCACTCTATCAACACCCCCCCCCCTCCTCACATGATGACGATGCCATTGTCCATCGCAACGTTTCACTTTAGACATTGTACGATGCCAAATTGGTCAACATCACGCAACCCTACTGCCATTGTTCACGCACTAAACAGAAACGACTGTGATTGGCCGTGAAGGTCATCGGTTCACCAAACTCACCACTGAGTGTAACCACAGATACAGGGACACTAAAGTGTTTTAAAGCTGAGATTCATCAGCCGATCGCTCGTATGTCAGCTTATAGACAAACCAGCTGACTGAAGTGACTTAAAAATGCTCCGGTGTCCATGCAGGCCCGGAATGGCTAATCGGGAGGACCGGGAGAATTTCCGGTGGGCCGGTGCGTTTTTTGGCCGCGAGGGCCGGCATCCCTAGCTCCAGAATCTGTTGCTCTCAGCAGTCACACTTTTTAAATTTCTTTCTTTATTTATTTACTTGACCACAGCCTTCTTATTCATCATTTTACCTCATCTCTACTCTTTTTATCTATTTTCTCGCAGCTCAGTGAGCAGGTTGCAGCCTGCAGGTTAATGATGATATAACTTATAATATAGCTGTTGTGGTTCAGTGGATAGCACGTTAGTTTATGATGCCGCAGACCCGGGTTCGATCCTCGACTGAGTAATTTATTTTTTACATTTTTATTGTTAAGACATATAATACTGTAAGGGTTGTTGAACATTTTAAGTTCCAAATAAGCTGTTTTCTCAAAAAAAGACGTGATAGTGTCATTAGAAACTGATTTGGAAATGACCTTATTTTAATATAGTCAGTCGTGAACTGAGGTGGGCCGGTCTGAGGCTTGAAACTCCAGGGCTGAAAAGGAGTCCCATTCCGGCCCTGTGTCCATGTATCTGTGTTTATCCTGAAAATATAATATTCAATATTGTTTGCAAATATTGAAGAAATGCAGCAAAATTACAGCCGGCTTCCTTGTGTTCCTTCCTGATTTGAATTGTTGACTTGCTATGTTACTTTACTGCGATACACTTACACTCTGATTATTTGCTAAGTAACCAATCAGAGCACTCTCTTCAGCCGTTGCCGATTCAACATACTGAATTGGGCTAATCGTTTCAGACATTAATCCGACGGGAGGTGACATGTGGACAACACCAAACAAACTAGCCAGACTAACGCTGACCAATGAAGCCCAAAGGCCGACCACTGGCTTGGTGTGTCCCAGCCCTAATTTGCATTACCAATGCATTGTCAACATATAAAAGACTCAGGTGTTAACAAAAGAAATAAAATGACGCTACATTAAAGCCCGCTATCATCATTTTGAGGACGATTTGGTGAATGTAATGTTTGGTGAGAGTTTATAGATTGTAGAGAGGAAAATGGTTCCCTGTGTAAGACCAAAGTCTGTCAAATTTGTTCGTGCTGGAACGATTCAATAACTAATTTTCTGATGTCAAACAAGAGCTTCAGTTTCAAGAAAAGACCTCCTAATCATGTCTTGGAGTTCATTTGGATGTTGTGGGCTGAATGATGATGACTAACCATGAGGAAAATAACCTTAGAGCTCTGACTATTTATTTATATATATAGCAAGAGTCCAGTTTTCTCCAGTTATGATCCACGCAGAGGCGAAAACAAATGTCGGATTAACAACCTCAATGTTCTTCAGCCTCATTATTGAAGAGTAATGAATAAACACAAACCTATTAGTTCTTCAGTCTCTTCCTGTTTAATTCTGCAGGGTTCTGGATCACTCATCTTCCCACTGTCCTTCAATAAACTCTGTCTTTGTCTTTCACTGATGGAGCTTCAGAAGAATAAACAGAGAAATCTGATTCATTTACACTGATTGAGGAAATAAACATGATGTTATATCTTGTGATAGAATATGTGATTTGCTCAAGTCAGGTGTCGCTAATAACATTAACTTACATCTAAAAATCTGAATATTGATGAGCCTCAGACTATAAACACTCATTAAACTCACACTCACATCAATCCCATTATCTCCCTTCATATATTGCTCATACAAACACTGATAAACTCAAATACTCAGATTATATGTTGTGAAATTACAAATAAAAACATGTTAAAACACAAACACATTCACTCATATTGTCCTCTCAGAGCTGCTCTCTGCCTGCTGTATTGTTTTGGTCAGCAGACACACAGATAGAGGTGAACTCAATGCAGAAACTAGTCGCAGATTGTCGCTTTAATAAACTGTAAAGTGTGTTTTATTGTTGTGTAAACACGAGAAAAAGCGTCAACGACTCACCTCAGCTCTGAAGACTCGACGCTGAATGACCGCGTCAGCGCTGACGTCATCACGGCGAAGCGGGAGCAACGGTGAAGCAACAAAACCCCGCCAAATTAAAAGCTGACAAGCCAAAACAACAATTCATGATTGAATGAGATATTTCTAAAATAAACTATTGCTGAAGTAACTGAAATTTGTTTTCAATAAAATGTAAGAATGTTAAGTTGTTTACAAACACCGAATTAAAAAAAAAAAGTATCACATCTTTCATTGAAAGTGTACAGCTTTTCTTTGTTGAAAAAGTCAATAAAAGACTAACAGCCTGAAAACTTTCAAAAATTTTACGTGTACCTAATTATATTTATATCAGGAGGCCAGTGTTGGAGGCCAGTTTCTTAAAAAAGTAATAATGACAAGTTACTGACTACTACTGGAAAATTGTACTTTGATTACATTACTAATTACTTCATGTAAAAAGTAATCAGATTACTAATTACTCTGCTTTGAAGTTACATTTAAAACATATCAAATATACCTATAAAAATACAAAATAAACTGCAGCTCTTTTAGTTATTTAATATTCACTGAGAAACATTACAATGGGTCGATCACAGCAGTTTGACGTATACATAAGACTTAAAGAGATAGTTCAACCAAAGCTTACAATTCTCTCATCATTCACTATTCCAAAGCTGTTTGTCTTTTTTTTTTTTTTAACACAAAAGAACACATGAAGAAAACAGGATACCACTGGTATCCATAGTATGAAAATCACTGCAGTGAGGTATCCTCTTCACATTCAGAAGATACCTTCACTTCCGATCCTGCACACAAATCCAATTTTGCCTGTTTACGCCGAGTTGTGCCACTGTGTTTTTGGGCGCCAATGTCCTCCTTGATGACGAGTATTGTCATCGAATGCTTTCTGTTTAAGTGCTTGAACAAGAAACTGGTCGAGTTAAAAGCGATGGAAAGTTCTGGACATAAGACTGACTTTCCAAGCAATATTTTAGCTCAATGGTATCAAAGTAATGTCTGTATTTCCACTTGAAAAAGCAGCCGCTCTCATCAAAGAAGCATTTTTTCTTCTAAAGACTGTATTTGTAATGTAATGTGTGTGGCCAAAACTCTACGGTTTCTCTTCAGTCTGAATACTCTCCTGCAGTTTCAGTTCTCGAGCTTCAATATTAGTCTTCACTTAATGCACAAACACAGATCTTCTGAGATGCTCAGTGTGGTGGGGAGAGCGTGGCCGAACACCCAGAAAGGGGAGAGAGCGAGTGGAGACACCGGCGGCTGGTCAGTGGCCCAATCAGAAAGAATTATTAACACCAGTTTTCTCTAGTGATTGAGCCGGAGAGACACTGGCTGCGTTCGAAACCGCCTACTACTCAGTAGGTACTGCATTTAAATGTAAACGCACTACTCGGCCGTTCGAAAAGTACGCTCTATACCAGTGGTTCTCAAACTGTGGTACGTGTACCACTAGTGGTACGCAGGCTTCCTTCTAGTGGTACGCAGAGTAATCCAATATCAATGTCATATATACAACATATATTTCAAAATTGATCAAAAATGGTTCATATATGAATATGATGACATATAGCCTATATTTATGAGGTCCAAGCAACATTTCCAGGTTGTTTTATTTATTTTTTTACATATAAGCACAGTACAGTGTTAATGTTCAAACTATTTATAATGTTTAAAGTGGCTGATAATAATAAAAATTCTTAATAATAGTAGTTAATCTGTCACGATTTTAAACTGCAGAGTTGTAGCTGCCTTACTGGGCCTACTACGCTACTGTATTTCAATACTGGTCATTATGGTGGTACTTGAAGGGACAATTTTTTTCTGAGGTGGTACTTGGTGAAAAAAGTTTGAGAACCACTGCTCTATTCAGTATGAATGTGAAAAGTATGAATGGAATTCAGACGTACTACATCCGCCATTTTGTCATGGTCACAGGACCTACCTGCGTCAGTTGCGTCGCTCTACTCCCATTCATTAATTCTCTCGTGGGGCATTATGTGATAGGATGCGCACTCCAGAATCTCGCCGGAAGTAGTAAGTCATCCGGGTACTTCTCGCATACTGATTTTCGAATTCTATGAATTCAGACATAAATGCGTCCCAAATGGCATACTTATGCACTATTCTATGCCATTTTGTAGTATGAATAGTGTAAGTAGTGTGTTCACACTGAAAACTCTAAAAATAATAAGTGCACTTTAATTACCCGGATGATGCACTCATTCGGCCGCTAAAATGAAGTGTGTAATGATGGACACTTCACGCACTCAACGACCGCAGGTTTGCTCACGTAGCGGAAGGGGCGGAGCTATCGGGCGCACATGTTGGATAACTTTATTTATTTTGGATGATGAAAGCAAAATTATCCTACGAGAGCGATTATTATAGCGCCTTCCGATGGTGAATGCGGTTATACTCACGGCAGGTATTATTTGATAATTCGGTCGTTTATTTCACTGATTTGGCAACCGTCAAACATCATCAGGGAAACGTTTTGAATATCCGCTTAGTAAAAAAACATTAGTGCGCCATTTGGGACGACACTACATACATATACTATGCTGTTGAGTGTGTAAGTACATAGTGCATGAGTGCATAGTGTGCCATTTGGGACGCAGCTATACTGATTTTAGCGTACTATATAAGTATGGAAGTATGCGGTTTTGGACGCAGCCACTGCCTTAAGAGAGCTGGAGAGACCAGTCGAGAGAGAGCGAGCCGAGCCACTGCACGCACTTTTAAACCTTGTGCTATCGGACACTCAAAATAAAGAATAATTTTCTCTTATCTTATCGCCGACCATGTCTTCTTCTTCCCACAACAAAGAACCTTTCTACACTCAGTTTAAATGCAGACCTGTAATACCCCACACACCAATCATGAGCGCTGTCACTCTTAATAAGCCGCGGTGTGAGTTTCGTTTCAGTTTCTCACTGAACGCTTAAAATCAAATGGGAGTCGTTGGGATCATTAGATAAAAATAAATGCATATTATAAGACAATGACAGTGTTCTTTGAACATGAATTCACATCAGCCTGTTGTTGGAGACCCCAAAACCAAACTTTTACCTTTTATAATGCACAACAGGGGCTGTTTAACTGAGAAATCTGGTGTTAATATAAAGAGTTTTCATTTCGTTGAGGTGTAAAACTCTCTCTTAATGATCATGAATAAGGCTTCACCTGTGTATGAAGTCTAAGATGTCTCTTCAGCTCTGAAATTCTCAAAAATACTTTGCTGCAGTGATCGCATTTGTGTTTTCTCTCTCCAGTGTGCGTCAGTATGTGTTCAGAAAGAGTGGAAGATCGTGTGAAACTCCTCCCACACTGAGTACAAGTGAACGGTTTCTCTCCAGTGTGAATCCTCTCATGTGCTTTCAGGTATCCTGAATCTCTGAATGCTTTGTTGCAGTGTGAACACACGTACGGCTTCTCTCCAGTGTGAATCAGCTGGTGTCGTCTCAAGTCTGTAGCTTTCATAAAGCTCTTCCCACAGTCAGAGCAGACAAACTCTCTCACGCCAGTGTGGATCTTCTGATGGCCTTTTAAATGTGACTTCTGTGCAAAACTCTTCCCACACTCAGAACATGAATAAGGCTTCTCCTTTGTATGACCTATAAGATGTCTCTTCAGGTCTGCAGGCCTCGAAAACGTTTTACCGCAGTGATCGCATTTGTGTGGTCTCTCTCCAGTGTGGAGCATCATGTGTTCATTAAGGTTTGATACTTGTGTGAAACCTTTCCCACACTGAGTACATGTGAACGGTTTCTCTCCAGTGTGAATCATTTTGTGATATTTAAGGATCCCAGCCAGTCGGAATCTCTTGTTGCAGTGTGAACACTCAAAAGGTTTCTCTCCAGTGTGAATGCTCTCGTGTATTTTCAAGTATTCAGGTCTAGTAAACGTCTTCTTACACTCAGAGCACACAAACTCTCTCACTGCTGTGTGGATTTTCTTGTGTAGTGATAAATCGGTCCGTCGTCTAAAACTCTTTCCACACTCAGGGCATGAATAAGGCCTCTCCGTTGAATGAACGCCAAGATGTCTCTTCAGCTCTGAAGGCCTCAAAAATGTTTTGCTGCACTGATCACATTTGTGTGGTTTCTCTCCAGCGTGGATCATCATGTGATGCTTGAGATCAAATTGAGAGCTTAAACTCTTTCCGCATTCAGTGCAGGTCAAACCTTTCACAGCCGTTCTTTCCATGAAAACACTGTGTTCAGTCTTTGATTCAGTTTTGGTTTCAGTTTTGACATGATGTTTCTCCTCATCTTCACTCAGTTCTTCACTCTCCTCCTTCACCATCACATCTGAAAATTAATAAGTCACATTTTAAGAGTTTAGCTTTTATCCATACTGGTGTCATTATGCTGCTGCGCTGTCAGCTAATCGTGACATGAACTGCACTCGGCAGTGAAAGTGAAACCGAAAGTGCAAATCATTTAAATCAGGGGTGTCCAAACTGGGTCCTAGAGGGCCGGTGTCATACATATTTTAGTTCCAACCGCATTTGAACACACATGAACCTGCTAATCAAGCTCTTACTAGGTATACAAGAAACTTCCAGGGAGGTATGTTGAAGCAAGTTGCAGCTAAACTCAGCAGGACACCGGCCCTCCAACCGAGTTTGGACACCCCTGATGTAAATGATCATATCGCGTTTTAGAGTTGATTACGACAAGCATTTGATTTGTTTTCTTTCATAGTGAGCACAAAGTATTGCACACAAGCGTTTAACAGTGTCAGAATAACTACTCTACCCCAGGGGTTTTCAAACTTTTAGGACACATACCTTCCATCAAGTTTGTCCAATTTTCACTACTGTCAATGCGAGCGCACATTGAAGAAGATGCCCAGAGGCGATATGAACGTGGAGATGCTTATTGCTCAGTGAACACTAATCATTTCTTCATCGCTAGAGCTGGAGCTGCTGTTTGAACCATCCATGCTTGTTCGAGTCACCAGTAAATTTAACAGCAAGCGTGTGAACTTCCGCTCCTCCACTTCTTCTGTGTTATAACCGGGTGTCAGAACCTTATAGTTGTGCAGCGCCATCTAAAGCCTGGTTTATACTTCTGCGTCAAGTGACCGGCGTAACTCACGGCGCATGCAACACGCGTAGCTGTGCATTTATACTTCTGCTGCCGTCTCTGTTGGTCTGCATTGACACTTCCGAAACGCTAGTGGGCAGTGAGGTTTAAATGTTCCTCTGCGTCGAGTTTCTTCGCTGCTGTTTTGCTTTTCCTGAACACTTCCGGGATGTACAAGTTGCTCAAACTCGCTCATTTTGAGGCAGGAACCGGCGGACGGGCAACAACTTTAACTATGAGGTAAACACAAAACAAAACTTTCCATCCGGAGCTCCTTCACGGGACTCCAGACTTGTAAACAATCACTCCATCAGGCTCGCACCATTCACACGGCTCTCTCCAGACTCGTAAGCGATACCAAGCCGACCAATCACAGAGCTTGCGATACACGTCGTTGCGACGTGTAGTTACATTTTTTGAGAGGTGCACGTCAGCGACGCTGACGGCCACGGCGAAGGGCTATGCGTCAGCGCCGTAGCATACGCCGGCGTTTGACACAGAAGTATAAATCAGCCTTAACGTCAAAAGAGTGATTTAGCATACTCTTCTGCTTGACGCCAATGAAAAGCGATTGGGTTTGAACACTGAAAAACGTGTCGTAAAACGCTGACGATAAACGCAAACTAAAAACGTCCCTGTGTGTAGGAGCCTTTATTCAGATTAAGGCAAATAACTATTAGAGATGTCCATGTAAACGTAGTCAGTATGTCTCTTTAAAGTAAGTGAAAGATCCAGAAGGACACAGCCTACTGCTGATCTGATTCAGGAGGGCACTTTTTCGTCAGATGGCTCACCAGTTTTACTTTCATTCACAGTTATTATTTTTAAAAGCACCTGCTCCATTTTATTTGTATATAATTTACCTGAACGCATTAACTCTACAGGTACCTGACATTAATTATATTCCCTCTAGTAAACGCATTAAAATCATCATTATAATTTACTCAAGTGCGCGCTTCACACAGTTTAGAAACCGCTGGTCTACCCTCTAGCTGGGCTTCGCTCCAGCAAATGTGTCTGAAAATCTAATATTCGATATTGTTTGCAGATATTCAAGAAATGCAGAGAAATGTAACAACCTCACTGTTGTTCAGCCTCATTATTGAAGAGTAATGAATAAACACAAACCTATTAGTTCTTCAGTCTCTTCCTGTTTAATTCTGCAGGGTTCTGGATCACTCATCTTCTCACTGTCCTTCAATAAACTCTGTCTTTGTCTTTCACTGATGGGGCTTCAGGAGAACAGAGAAATCTGATTCATTTACACTGTTTGAAGAAATAAACATTATGATGTTATATCTTGTGATACAATATGTGATTTGCTCAAGTCAGGTGACATTAACTTACATCTAAAAATCTGAATATTGATGAGCCTCAGACTATAAACATTCATTAAACTCATCACTCACATCCTGAAGTCTCCTTTCAGATACTTTGAGATGTTCCTCATACAAACGTTGATAAACTCTTGCACACTAACAAAGTAAAACTCAAATACTCAGATTATATGTTGTGAAATTACAAATAAAAACACAGAAAAACTAACACTAAGCTCATATTGTCCTCTCAGAGCTCCTCTCTGCCTGCTGTATTGTTCTGGTCAGCAGACACACAGATAGAGGTGAACTCAATGCAGAAACTAGTCGCAGATTGTCGCTTTAATAAACTGTAAAGTGTGTTTTATTGTCGTGTAAACACGAGAAAAGCGTCAACGACTCACCTCAGCTCTGAAGACTCGACGCGGAATGAACGCGTCAGCGCTGACGTCATCACTGCGAAGCGGGAGCAAAGGAAGATCAACAAAAACTCGCCAAATTTAAAGGTGTTTTTAGGCACTAAAACCGCTGTTAAAATGCACTAAATTCAAACGTAATAGGCTTATTTCATAGCTGACGGGCATAAGTCTAAAACTGTACATTCCTAAAGTAATAAAATTGTTTTTAATAAAACATAACAGCATTTTTTTCTTACAGGTTCACTCATTGATTTTCTTTTCGGCGTAGTCTCTTTATTAATCCGGGGCCTCCACAGCGGAATAAATAATTTTACGCAACGGATGCGCTTCCAGCGGCAACCCATCTCTGGGAAACATCCACACACACTCACTACAGACAATTTAGCCTACCCAATTCACCTGTACCTCATGTCTTTGGACTGTGAGGGAAACCGAAGCACCCGGAAGAAACCCACGCGCACATGAGAAAAACAGGTAAACTCCACACAGAAATGCCAACTGACCCAGCTGAGGCTCAAACCAGCGACCTTCTTGCTGTGAGGCGACAGCCCCACCTACTACGCCACTGCCTCGCTTCTTACAGAATCAGAATAATAAATTAATCATATAATGATATTTAATTATTTACATGTCAAGAGCAAAGCTATTTATTCTGGTTTAATCTCCATCGACTTAAGTAGAAGTTTTTTGTTTCTAAAATTTATTTACGTCTAATGCAAAACACTTTTTGTACAGGGGCGATTAATCGAAGATGATTTTCATGTCCAATCTTTCAGTGATGCTGGTTCCAGTAAAATCTCATTTAAAATAAAAGCGTCGCTGTTCTAACCCATTATTAAGATGTTATTTGTAGATTTATCCATTATAGAGTGAAAGTATTACTAGCACATGTTCTTTAGGCCTGTGACTCTGAGCATTTCAAGAGTTCAAACATTTGGGCACAACAAATAATAACGTTTGGTGGTGCAATACACATTAGTTGTATTTAATTATTTGGACGATAAAGACTATACAGAGTTATTTCACATATTTTCACACCATTTTCTTGTCCAAATATCTACATTTAAAAAATTACTATATATATATATATATATATATATATATATATATATATATATATATATATATATATATACATTTACATTTAGTCATTTAGCAGACGCTTTTATCCAAAGCGACTTACAAATGAGGACAAGGAAGCAATTTACACAACTAAGAGCAACAATGAATAAGTACTAAAGGCAAGTTTCAGGTGTGTAAAGTCTAAGAAGGGAAGTATTAGTAGTATTAGTTTTTTTTTTTTTTTTTTGTACAGTTAGTGTGATGTTCAAAGAGGCAATTGCAGATTAGGAAGTGAAGTGGAGACTAAATAGTTGAGTTTTTAGTCGTTTCTTGAAAGTAGCGAGTGACTCTGCTGTTCTGATGCTGTTAGGGAGTTCATTCCACCAACTGGGCAGATTGAGCGTGAGCGTTCGCGAAAGTGATTTCTTCCCTCTTTGGGATGGAACCACGAGGCGACGTTCATTCACAGAACGCAAGTTTCTGGAGGGCACATACATCTGCAGAAGTGAGAGCAGATAAGAAGGTGCTAGGCCAGAAGTCACTTTGTAGGCAAACATCAGAGCTTTGTATTTGATGCGAGCAGCAACTGGCAGCCAGTGCAAACGTATGAGCAGCGGAGTGACATGTGCTCTTTTAGGTTCATTGAAGACCATCCGTGCTGCTGCATTCTGGAGCAGTTGAAGAGGCTTGATAGAGTTAGCTGGAAGCCCGGCTAGTAGAGAGTTGCAGTAATCCAGTCTGGAGAGAACAAGAGCTTGAACAAGGAGTTGAGCTGCATGTTCAGATAAGTAGGGTCGGATCTTTCTGATGTTATAGAGTGCGAATCTGCACGATCGAGCAGTTCTAGAAATGTGGTCATATATATATATATATATATATATATATATATATATATATATAATACACCATTGGCAGATTATTTAGCTTGTTGTAAGGAAATTACTTCATTATTATTTCTGAAAACAATTTCTTTGTACTTTTTAAAGAACCCTGATTTAATAATTCTGATATTTGGGAAAGCATTCAATATTCAATATCTCTACCTGAACACTGTTAAGACTTCCCAGAAAAACAGCTATTAAAATGGTCTGAGAGGGAACAATCAAACATCTGATGAAATTCTATTGATATGGAAATGTATATTTCGCAGAAAAATTAAACATCGCAATATCAGGTTTCTGTAGATGTAAAATAATTCCGTTAATATCAGTAGGCTGTTATTACTGTTATTCTCAAACATATGGTAAAATAAACAATACTGATATTAGGACAATGTGTAGGTGTACTGTTGGTTAAGATGCTCAATTTTGTATAGGCCTGGAATGGTGGACTTGAACAGACTTTACATTTGTCCTGGTCATTAATGCACAGTAAAGTGATGACATCAGAATACAACAATATATAATTATGAAGTTGAATTATTATGTTTGAGACATGCTTGCAATCTGTCATTGAAAACATTATTAGACCATTTTTTATCAGTAGCGAAATAAGACATTCATCATTATCAGACTCCTTCCTGCATTACATTCAACATTAATTAGACTGGACTAGTTATACTCGCACTGTTAAATGCTTATTCTCATGCACAATACTTTGTGTTCGCTATGAAAGAAAAACGTATGCTAGTCATAATTATAGCTTTAAAATGTGATTTGTTCATTGAAATATGGTGTTTACTTTCGGTTTCACTTTCACTTCCGAGTGCTGTTCATTTCATGTCTGCCATCACATCACAAAAAAACACACATGCAAACTATACTTCATGCATGGCTTCCAAACTGAATGATATTTACAACTTTATTACCTGATATTCACAGCCTATGTAGGTTCTGTTTACTAAAGTACACAGGGGCGCACACGACCTCTCTAAACACACAGCTCACGGTCAGCTCTTGTGCGATTTCACAGCCACAAATACGTCATTTAATGAAGACAGAAATGACATTTTTGGGTGAATTATACCTTACAGTCAGAGGTCGCGTTAACCAAATATTTTCCGTCATTGACAGATTTTTTTCAGCAGTGATGGAAAAATCTGAAGGTGATCCGTCATTTTGACGGATTATGCTGAAAGGGATCTATTGTAATGTGTAGCTAACTGTAATTCCCACTCCTGTCCAGGTGATGGCGATTGTCCTTGTTTTGTCTCCTCTTGTAATTGTGTGTAGTTGCAAAAACCTGTCAACACTCCCGTTTTTCCCGAGAGTCTTACGTATTTCCGATCCATGTCCCGTATCTCCCGGAATGCAAGATCATTATTAAAATATGAATGAACAAAGCAATTAGAAAATATGCAAATTAAATGACGCTCAATAAGAGGTTATGACGGGATTTTTACAACCCTCTCTATCAAAATGACGGACAATGAGAAAGTCTAACGCGACCTCTGCTTACAGTATGTGACTCTCATCTCCATTTAGAGGTGTCCATGTTGCTGAGCTAAGTATATATAACAATGTGAAGACTTGTGCGGCCTCCTTCATGCTTCTCTCCTGACCTAGAAAATATAATTGGCAGAGTCATAGAGATGCTGGATTAGGATCGTGTTTAGGGTAGAATCAAGATTGTGATCTTTTTTTGATTAAAGCTGCGGTCGCACTAGAGTTTGAGCTTGCGAAATTCTGTTGTACAGGATAATTAAACAAGATAATTAGACATTAAAAAAGCGAGCGATTGCTCTATATTTTACATTTCTGTCCAGAGAGGACATGTTTTGATCCTCGATTAGCAGGCCCGGATTAAAAACTCAGGGGCCCCTGGGCCATTGTCTTGTAAGGCCCCCTACCTGGCCGCACCCCTATAGTTGAATTAATAAATAAGAATAATATAATAATTTTTAAATAAAATGAATCTTCAATTTGTTGCCCACATATTTAAATAAATGATATATATTACATTTATATTTATAGTCTACAAAGATTTAACTTATTTTTCAAAGCATTTAATAAAAATACTAATATAACTAGTATATATAAAACTATAGTATATAATTTTTAAAAAGGGTATTTTAATGTATTGCTTTTACAAACTTATAAAGCATATTGGCATAGCATATAACACACAATGCTTCTCCAATCCAGTTCTATGAATCTGAGTTCTATGAATCGGATTCATAATACACACTTATTAATGTATTACTGTCTCTCTCCTCCTCTCCCTGTATTTTTCTGTATTTTTCTGTATTCTCTACTCTTCTAGTGATGAAGACTTGATTATAAACCTAAAAGTATCCGAAATCACACACACTATACCTCTTCTCTTCCGTCTCTCTCCTCTCTCTCTCTCCTTTTTCTGTCTGTCTCTCACATGATAAATCCAGTCCACGCTGCGCTGCCGTTAGCCTCCTCTGCCTGGTTAATTCTTGCTACTTATTTAACGTTAACATAACGTCTTCTTCTGTACCCTCATTTTTCTGATCATGGGTCTGTTTGAAGAAGGTGTGTATGGAAAATGCCTCAATAAGATGCCTCCTCTCCTCTTTCTCTCGCGTTTGCTAAATCCACTTGTCCACTCATTTTTGATTTATGATGACCGATACTAACGTTACACTAAAGTCCGCTCAGTTAAGTGCGGGTTATTTCAAAACTGACGTTTCCGCGAGACACTTGTGACTTTATATCACATTTGCATTATTTTAAAAAAATGTTTCCTTCCTGTTAAAAATAAATATATTTCCAATCTGATATGTAATGGGGAGAAAAAAAGTAGCACGAGTTCAGCTGATGGTGGATTCAAACCGAGTTGATGATCAATCGCGTCAAAAGATGATGCTGTGCGCTTTACGAGGTGCGCCACTGAGACTGTAGTGCTGAATCGCTCTTTACTCATCTTGTCTCAATCAATCAGGCATCGATGGTCATAAACCCTGAATAGCTTATTCCAACAAGATGCGCTATTTGCAATTAGTCTAAAAAGACACTCTGAAATTGCCTTTTTTCTCCCCCCTCGCAGGGGCCCCTAGTGCGCACGGGCCCCTGGGCCTGCGCCCATAAGGCCCATTGGTTAATCCGGCCTTGTCGATTGGTCTCACACAGTCAAGTGATGTGATTTCGCAGGTCAGAGTTCGCCAAGCTTGAACTTTGCTCAGCAGTGAACTGCGAAACTTGATGCACGACCTTGCGTATCCAGTCTGATGCATTGGCGTGCGTATGAATTGAAGTCTGTGGGGAAAAAAGTCCAGTGTGACCGCAGCTTAACCATGCATCCCTAATCGGGTACAATTCCCTATTAGCAAACGATCGGAATTCATTGACATTCGCATAATTTAATGGCGAAAACTGATGTGTATCAATAAGTTTGTAATAAATGGTTGGAAGATAAAAGTTAATCAACGTCTAAAACTCTTTCTTAATGAACAAGAAGGAGGCTTTTCTTTCGTATGAACACTACGATGTCTGTTCAGATGTGAACGCCTCAAAAACGATTTGCCACACTGATCACACTTGTGCGTTTTCTCTCCAGTGTGCGTCAGCATGTGTGAATTCAGGGAGGATGAAACTCTGAAACTCTTCCCACAATGAGTGCATGCGAACGGTTTCTCTCCAGTGTGAACCCGCTCATGTGCGTTCATGTGTCCTATATGACTGAATGTTTTGCTGCAGTGTGAACACGTGTACGGTTTCTCTCCTGTGTGGATCATCTGGTGCTGCTTCAAGTGTCCAGCTGTAATAAAAGTCTTCTCACACTCAAAGCACACAAACTCTCTGACACCAGTGTGGACATGCTGATGCAGTTTTAGATGTGCGTGCTGTGCAAAACGCTTTCCACACTCAGGGCATGAGTAAGGTTTCTCGTTTGTATGAACTCTAAGATGGATCTTCAAGTCTGAAGGCCTCAGGAATGTGTTGCTGCATTGATCACACGTGTACGGTTTCTCTCCAGTGTGGATCATCTCGTGTGATTTCAAGTGTCCAAACTGACTGAATCTTTTGTCGCAGTGTGAACACTTGTACGGTCTCTCTCCAGTGTGGATCATCATGTGAAGCTTGAAAGGGCGATTATAACTGAAACCCTTTCCACACAGAGTGCAGGTGAAACATTTCACGGCTGTCCTCTTCATTGAAAAACTACGTACAGTCTTTGACTGAGTTTGGGTTTCACTTCTGACATGATGTTTCTCCTCATCTTTACTCAGTTCTTCACTGTTCACCATCACATCTGAAAAATTATGTGAATAAGTTACATTTACACAGTCTAGTTTTTACCTATATAGTCAATCGGCTCCAATTATGGCCATTTAACCAGACGCTAAATAAGTCTTTTATGTCTCCAGAATGTGTCTGTGAGGTTTCAGCGCTCCTTAAAGTCCCTTTAAGGCAAGTCATTTCACTCGGCGGCCATCACTCAGGCATTCTGTTTGAATATGGAAACATCAAATTCTCCAAAACTACTTGCCAAGCTTACGATTAAACTTAAAATAACGAATAACCAATAAAACTAAACAACATCTGTCTATTTAGTTTCATTTCTAAATATTCGTATCACACAAAATCTGCATAAACTGATGTCTGGTCCCAGCCCCTCCCCCAGAGAATTGTCATTCTATGGCAATCACTGATTGGGTCCTGTACTAGAAGGCGGGTTTTATTCTTGATATAGCAATAGCTGATTGGCTCCTGTATTAGAAGGCGGGGCTTCATTCGCCATATTGGCAGTTACACTTTTCCCCATTCAAAAGTTCACGAGTGGCATGTCTTGTGTATTCTATAGTCTTAAGCCCCTTTCACACAGTGATACCAGTAAATATCTGGAAAATTTCCGAAACGACTTTACCGGTAAATAAAAAAAAAGCGCTGTTCACACAGACGAGGACGTTATGGAATTTTCCCGGAAAAGACCATTCACACAGCCACTCCAAAATAGCTGTAAATTCTGATATCACTGACCAGAAATGAGCTCTAAACAGCTGCGCTTGTATTTGTAAACATTTGACTACATTACTAACTCTGTGGATGGATCAGTGTTAAGAACAACTTCGATGAAAATATAGAGGAACGCTTTCGCATGTCGAGATGTTCATGATATGTGTGCGTGCTGGCGCTCATGGCTGCTTCACGCGCACACGTGACGCGTCAAGCAACTGAAGGAAGCAGAGCTTGAAGGTAAACAAACAACAACTTATCATAAGCATCGTATCGATAATTATTTCCACAGTCGGCATTAAGAAGGAACATATAAACGTGATCTGACTTACATCCAGCAGCTAAATGTGTCTGGAAAAATATTCAAAGGCTTTTATTCTCATAAACCATACGGACGTGAATGCGTCTGACTGTTCTGATTGGTTAAAGTAGACGTCTAACGTCAGCACGTTCCTGACTTGCGCGCGCTCTTTCCGGCAATCCTTCTGTGTTCACACAATGCAGCATTACGGCAAATTACCGTTAATGTTACATCTTCTCTTTCCGGAAAATAGCTGGAACTATTTTCAGAAAGAGCCTGTTTACAGTTTTCCGGAAAGGTCTGTATGTGTGAAAGGGGCTTTTGTTTCAGCTCAATATACACATCAGATCATTTGTTATACCCAGTTGAAAATGTCAAAGTGAATTGTAACGTTGTTGTGCCTTTAAATCAGGGGTGCTCAAACTTTTTGTTACGAAAAGTGCAAATACTAATCTTCTTTTGAGGGCTATGGGTCGACGGTAAATATACCAAACTGTACTGCATTAAAGTTGGCATGGTATTTTCCAAATGTATTGATATTTCAAAGATAAATAGGAAAAAATACTTGAACCGTATTAATAGCGATACATTTTTGTACATTTTATTATGAAGTTTTTCCAATAAGACATAAACAATCCTATTTATAACAATAGAGTCTAATGCGGAGTGATGCTGCCTTTGCCTTGATTTGGTCGCTGATGTTTTCTGCATTGTCCTCTGTCGACTGACAGCATTTACTTTTAAAAAAAATCTGATTTATTCAAAACGTTAAATAATTTATTCAAAATGTTACACACTTTGTGTCAGCTTTTTTAATTTAATAAATTTGTATTTTTGGAGCTTTGGTGTTGCCGCCTTTGATGAATATTCAAAACATCTAAATGAAAAATTTAATTTTAGTTAGCTTTTTTGTAGCTCAACAATTAAACAAAGGGTTTAAGTTAGAAATGATGATCTCTGTTAAAGGCATTTCCTACAATCTCCTTCCTCTTTTCTCAGATAGGATGACGGTCCAAATCAAAGGTTACCATAGGCCTACTTTAGCCTGTGGACTATAGTTTGGGCATCTCTGCTTTAAATGCAAATGAGGAGCTAGATCTCTCCGCCCACTCAAATCAAGTTCTGCCACATCCACCTTTGGGACACTATCATACACCCAGCGCAAAAAGGCACAAGACTTGTTTGGCCCGACGTGTTATTTTCAAACTAGCGCAATCTTAATTTTCCGTTTTAAATAAACCCATTTCAGAAAGATTGTGGAAAAAATCGTGATATATTTATGCCATATTGCACAAGCCAAATATATATAACACAGTATCAAATAAACACAAACCTATTTTTTCTTCAGTCTCTTCCTGTTTAATTCTGCAGGGTTCTGGATCACTCATCTTCTCACTGTCCTTCAATAAACTCTGTCTTTGTCTTTCACTGATGGCGGCAGAGCTTCAGGGGAACAAACAGAGAAATCTGATTCATTTACACTGACTAAGGAAATAAACACATTATGATGTTACAGGCCCGTAGCAAGGGTGGGTTCAGGTGGTTCGAAAGACCCAGCCCTGACTGACAAAGGTCCAGAATTTGTCCCATACATGAGCTCATTTGTCCTGTTTTTACAGGTATTCTATAATAAATTGTGAAAATAACCCATCGGAGAAGGTTTTGAGAGGAATCCTGTGTTGGCTGTCGCTTCGTCATGGCTGAAGAAAGTTGAATGTGCTGGCTGGCCAGCTTGTTATTTGCCTAAAATAAGACAACAGGCTAGTTTTAATTTTAAACTTTAACAGATTCAAATTATTTTCCAATGATATATGATGTATACATTTGAATAATAATAAAAATAAGTATAGTTTTTATATTTCTTTACTCTGAATGTTTAGAAAATGTTTTTGACATCAAAACATGTGGTTATATAGTGCTTAAAATGTCACTAAAATTCAGTATTTAAACCTCCTAATTAAATATAAAATAAAGCAAATAACTGCAAAAAGGTCCACTTTTGGGAAAAACCCCCACCCCTTTCACCAGGCTGGCTACAGGCCTGAGTTATATCTTATGATACAATATGTGATTTGCTCAAGTCAGCTGACACCAATACAACAAACTTAATGTGGCAATTAGTAGATTTTTTTAGACATCAGTATAGTGAATATTGGAATAACTCTAACTTTTGACATGAAATAAAGAGGATTTCAGCAGCTCTGATGATATTGATGAACTGTAAACACATTAAACAGCCATTTAGGATCAGCAGCAGATCAGCTCTTTTTATATATCATTGTATTTATGTTTAAAGGATAAAACAATTACTATTGTAATTAATTAAATTGTATATTTTCACGTTTACCTCAATACTTAGTTTAAATATTATCCACGTAACGTTACGCATAGCAAATAAAGTATTTTGATTGTTAGCAGTAGCAAATCTATGTAGAGAAACTGGGAAAACAGAAAAACCTTTTAAGAATAAAGAGCTTAATGTAATGTTTTCTCCCTCTACTGTCGCCATATATTCCCACTCTTTCCATTCACAGATTATTCTTCACGATATTGATAATACAAACGTGGAAAAGGAGTTTCCTCACACAAGTAGTTTTCCTCTCAGAGCTGCTCTCTGCCTGCTGTATTGTTTTGGTCAGCAGACACACAGATAGAGGTGAACTCAATGCAGAAACTAGTCGCAGATTGTCGCTTTAATAAACTGTAAAGTGTGTTTTATTGTTGTGTAAACACGAGAAAAAGCGTCAACGACTCACCTCAGCTCTGAAGAAGCGACGCTGAATGAACGCGTCAGCGCTGACGTCATCACGGCGAGAGGGGCGCAACGACGGTCATCAGTTTTGCGATCCATAATTGTTAATATTCAATGGAGGAAAACATGGTTATTACCATATAAATTCTGTATTCCTAATAAAATGAAAGAGGTGCACTTTAAAATTTTGCACAATATTTACCCATGTAATGCACTTTTATCCAAATATTGTGATGTTACTGATATTTGCACATTTTGTAAGAATGAGAGTGAAGACATTTGTCACTTATTTTTTTCTTGCGATGTATCATCACTGTTTTGGGATGATTTAAGCTCATATTGTTTTTCCAAGGTTAATATGAGTGGTAATTTGTACCTTAAGGATGTTATTTGCTATTTTGAAAACCAAAACAAGGCGTTAGAAGCCACTGTGAACTTTCTTATACTTGCTGGGAAATTTTATTTTTACAAACAGAGGTTTCTTAAAAAAAATCCAATCTTTATTGACTTCTTATGTGAAATAGAACATTTAATTAAATCTCTTAGATTAATTGAAAATAAGAAATGTACTTCTTTCTTGAGCAAATATGATGAGATCTTTCATGCTACTTGAATATTTATTTCTTTTTTATTATACTGTCTTTTTTTTAGTTTTTTTATGTACTGTGTTGTAGTTTTACTCTTATCTTGTGTATGTAATGTGATTGTTGTGTAAAAGAACTGTTATCTTTTACTATATTCTAAATTGTATTATACAGTTTCTTGAAACAATAAAAAAAAAAACTCAGAAAAAAAAAGTTAGTGTGCAAGTGAATAATAAAGAGTTATGTTTCCTCCAAAAAAAAAAAAAAAAACGGTCATCAGTTTTGCAAAAAAAAAAAAAAAAAAACAGGTTATCAGTTTTGCTAATCTCAAGTATACATTTAATAAATTGGATCTTTAAATCCTGTAAAAAGGTCCACTTTTTGAGAAAAAAAGAACCACCCATGTTACCAGGCTGGCTACGGGCCTGAAGCCAAATAACAGAATTATCCACCAAACTACTGATAAATCAAAACAATCGTTAGTTTGGACAAATCAAGCCATTTTAATTAGTAATGTGTGGTGAAATGTTGTTTAAAAGACACTAAAAAGAAATCTAAAAAGAAAATGTCTTTCATGGCTGACAGATACAGCAAGCATAACATGATCTTTTCCGACAAGTAAACAAGTTTAGTTTTTTTTAAACAAAATATAATAATAATATAATAAATAAAAACAACAGCTTAAAGCAGATTAAAAATTAATGACACATTAACAACAAACATATTGTGTATATCCTTTGAAAGTGTAAAGTAGGCACAATGTACACAAGTTTAAAAAAACTCAATAAAACATACAAGCAATGAACATTTGTTAAAAAAAAAAAAAAAAAACGTAACATTATACAAATAAAACTAGCTTAGTATTTTACTATTTTCCATAATGACTTCATACTCGTTTGTAGAGCAAGTTTGACCATTTTCTGCTATGCATTGTGGCTATGCATTTCTCTTATAGGCAACTGAAAATGAAGTTCTAACACACATTTAAAAATTGAGCGCACTTCAGCATCGCAGGTCAATACTGACAATCAGTCTTTACAAACTTCTCGTGATGGGCAAAGTGAGGCTACATGAATCACTAAGGGCCCTATCATACACCTGCCACAATAAGGTGCAAGACATGTTTTCCCAGATGTGTTGCCATTTTCAGACCAGCGCAACCTTAATTTTCACGTTTTGCGCCACATAGTTTAAATAGCAAATTTATTTGCTTTACTTTGTGGACTCATGGGTGTTCCGGTCTAGAAAGGAGGTGTGTTAAGGCGCATTAGTGGTGCGTTGCTATTTTGAGGAACAGCTGAAAGCAGGTCTAAAGTTCAGCACAGAACGCATAAGCTGTGCGCAGCATGTGTGTTTGGATATAACTCGTTTTTTTAGCACACTTTGTTATTATTGTTCATTTAATAGTTTGCTAGAAATTTTAACTGAATTTGGAAATAGTTGACACAAATCTTTGTGCTTAACAAACTTAATTAATTATGTAGGCTAACGGATGTCTGTGTACAACACAGCTTCGTAATCCACGAAAAAAGGAAAGTGAAAGTCAAAGTAGGAGGAGCCTTGTTCTTTAATCTCGCAGTGCAGATGATCTGTATAACTGTTTTCTTGCTAGTGAAGCGTTCAGTTTTTTAACTTACAAAGTACGCCATGTAAATAGAAAATGCGCTATGGTGCGACGCAACTGACTCTTTAATGGAATGTGAGATAGCACTCTGATTGGTTTATTCTCAAAACACACCCAGAACTCATTAAGAGAATAAACACAACCCTGCCACAGCGCAAACCATATTTTCATCCTTAAAATAGCAAAAATGGATTCAGACACGCCCTTAATGCTTTTGACCCCTGCACTTTAGACTCTAGGTCGTTAAAATAAAGCCCAAACTCAGTCAAATCAAGTGTCAAAGCTACGAATCGTTTCGAATCCCGTCTCTACAGTGACACCATGTGGTCATGTTTTATGTACTGCTCTGAAACAGCTTCCGCAAAGAAACAGTTCAGCTAATTGAGGTATTAAACCCCACGTTGTAGAGTTGAGGTTTTGAGTGATTTAGTGAAGCGATGAGAGTTCCTGACTAGCCTGCAGAGATAATAGGTTTGAATCCAGGTTTGATGAAGCTATAGATGTTAGGTTTGAAATGCTCTGTTCTTGTAACATGTTTTGTTTTAGCATTGGTTTGACATCTGAATGGACACTTTGTAAATATATATACGTCTTGTTTTGGTCATAAAAATTACATTATTAAAAATCATCAAGTCATAATTTCAGTGTATTTGTGCAAGTCGGGATTTGAACTCGGGCTAATTGCAGCACAGATACTCTGTGCACACGCACAGTCCACTAGGCTACATGAGATATTTTTTTCTGACCCTGTCAGTCAAACGCAGATTCGCCAGGTCTCAAAACACTTCTGAATTGACCTGAGCTGTGTCCGAAACCACATACTTCCATACTATATAGTATGCTGAAATCAGTATGCGAACCAAGTAGTATGTGTGAATTCGTAGAATTCGAAAATCAGTATGCGAAAAGTACCCGGATGACCTACTACTTCCAGCAACTGAACTCCAACTGACGCGGGAAGGTCACGTGACCATGAAAAAATGGCGGATGTAGTATGTCCGAATTCCATTCATACTGTATAGAACGCACTTTTCTAAAGGCAGAGTATTCAATTCAATTCAATTCAGCTTTATTTGTATAGCGCTTTTACAATGTAGATTGTGTCAAAGCAGCTTCACATAAATGGTCATAGTAACTGGAACAGTGTGGTTCAGGTTTTAGTGTTTAAGTTCAGTTCAGTTCAGTTTAGCTCTGTTCAGTGTGATTTAATCATTACTGAGAGTTCAAACACTGAAGAGCAAATTCAACGATGCGTAGCTCTACCAATCCTGAACCATGCGAGGCAGTGGCGACAGCGGAGAGGGAAAAAAAACTTCACCTGATGGGAGTGAAGAAAAAAAACCTTGAGAGAACCAGACTCAGTTGGGCACGACCATTTTAATTTCTCCGCTGGCCAAAAGTCTTGTGCAGAACTTCATTCGCCGTGGTTTATGCTGGAAGATGGCCTCAATGAAGACTCGTCTGTCCCTGGAGCGTCGCTGGA